CCGTGCCGGTGGTCTCTTTTCTATCTCTAAGTCTAATGTTAGCAATTGGTAAAGCTAAAGCTTGCGTTTTTGAGAAAAAGGCATTCTTGAGTAATATTCCGCCTTTTCTAGTTGCTCAGCAGTGGTGCGAAATGTTTTGAACCCACGGGGGCCACAGACGCGAGAGTAAAGCTGCCTGCCGCGATTATCTGCCACGGGCTAGGAAGGAGACTGACGGGGCCGGGGCGCAGGGCATGCTGATGGCGGTTGTTTGTTGTGTAGGTGCCCTACCTTCACCTGCCCGCGGTACGCCGCGAGGCCACCCGCGGCGACCGCCGACCTAGGGGGCGGGGCTCCAAGCCGGGGCCCTTCGGGGCCCATTCTGCTCTTGCTTGGTCTGCTCTATCACGTTCCTCGTCCCATATGGCTTCAGAAGCTGCAGCGGGGGGCAGCTGTCGGGGCCGCCTGTGTCGGTGTCGTTCGCTCGTGTTTCCTTCGGGGCTGGGCGTAGGTTTTGGGCATGGGTCTGGTGTCTTGCGTAGGTCTTGGGCATTCCTTCTAGCTTGTGCGGCTGGTGTCCTTCTGCACTGGCTGCACCGGGTGACTAAAAGCGCACAAAAATGACAAAGCATGTGGCGCCTTTGCCTCGTTCGGTGAAAGTGTGTGAGCAGGGGGGGCTGTGTCTGTGGTGCGCTCGTTTGGTTGGTCAGCTGATACCCCACTCGGCACGCACGGACGCAGCCACAGATCCGCGCAGTGAGTCTGTCAGCGGACCTGCAGGGACATGGGCGGGGCCAGCGGGCTGACTGCGATGCTGGCGGCGATGATTTTTTAGTGTCGCAAACAAAGTGGCTTTTTTCCAGCGCGTCGTGCTTCTTTGTCTAGTAATTGATGGATGTGTTTTGTTTCTTCTTGTTTCTTAATTGGGCGTTGCCCGATCGTCAAGAACAGGGCGAGCGATGATTGCCAGCTACGCTGTAGGGCCATCGGATAAGAAAAAGGGCAGCTAGAAGGGCCAGGCATGGGCATCGCCGGGTCGAGGTGAGCCCTTCTACAGACGAAAAGGGGCGCGCGCTGCATAGTGCTTTTCTTCCCAAAGCAGAGCGCGGAGGGCAGCTTGCGCGCCTCGTAAAAGGTTAGAAGGGTCCGCTTTGCTTTTGTTTTTCATCTCACTTTCATGACTTGGCGGCTGTTCTTGAGTCCGTAATAAGCGGATGGGGGGCCAACTACATACCAGGAGCACTGGATGAATATGGAAAAGGGCCACCAGAAAGGGGGAGGCACTGTCGGGGCGGGATGAATCTACAGACGAAAAACACCGCCCGCTACATTTTCGCTTCTTCTTTCTCAAAGGGGAGGAAACCCTGCATGCCTCATCTATTTACTTAAAAGAGGGTAAAAGGCTGGGGAGTCATGATAGACATTCATATGCCAAGTCAATGCGCTTCGGTTCCTTGTTCTGATTTTATCAGTTTCAGTTCTCTTCGTTTGTTCTCACGGTAGATGTCTTGTAGATTACGCATTTATTTCTCACTCAACACGCAGTCAGCGGCGACAGGGAAAAGGCGAGCCTTCTTGGCCAGCCCCAATGGGATTGGCCACGGCCTACTCGTGAAGACAGTGAAGAGGCAGGGCCAGCATGCACAGCTAGTCCTTATCGTCATTGTTTTCTTCCAAGCTTCGAGAGAGAGAAAGCGTGGGGCCCGGGCTCGTCTCCTTCTGCTGCAACTCTATCAAGTTTCTCTTTCAGTTGTTACTACCTTGCCTCCCTCGCCCCCTCCCGTCCCTCCGCCACCGATAATGGTACAGGTGGATAGTAGAGTCTTCGGAAAAGAAGTTACAGTTAGGCACCACCAGAAATTTCTCTACAGCTCTTCATACATAAGTAAGTATCTAAACAAGAAGAGTAGTGACTGAATCTAGAAGAATTCCCGGAAAGTGACAGGGCTGAACTAATCGCTGGAAAAGTTTCCCGGGGCCTTCATTTGTCTTTCTGTTTTTTTTCTGTTTACATTTGGGGCTGGCGGGGTAGTGCAGTCAGCTTCGCCCCCGTTAGTATTCTTTTTAGTACTGCGAGAGCGAGAGGCACCTTCGGCATTTCGGTATTGCATGCCGCTTGTTTTTGAGCCTCCTCGCATCTGTTGGTGTACATTTTACCTTGGGATCTGAGCCACTGTCTTCTACCAAACCCAACCTCTAACACGAGGGAGCCGCCAGCAACGTGCTCGAACACGGCTTGAAGAAATTGAAGCAGCTTTGGGAGCGCTCTCTTGACCTCGTGAACGCCTGGTTCCTCAACGGGGTGCTACAGATTTTCATGGCGGTCTGTTTTGGGCATGTCTTTCAGCACATAAGCAGTGCAGTGAGCGACCTCTCCATCTCGCTATCACATGTGGCTTTGCCTATAGGTATAAGCGATGGAGTGGCTCATACCGTGGAACTCGTGACAGACGTCGTGCACGTGGAGGGCCCCGCAAAGCTGCTACCAGTCCTTTCCGAATCCTTGCGCGGAATGCTTGCGCCTGACCCTGGTCCCGGCGGCGTTCTTCCCTTCGGAGGAATGTTCCAAGCGGCATTTTCGGAGGTCATTCCAAAGGACCTCAAAAAACCCTTTTACCAATTCATGGAGAACGCGCTGGGACTGCTCACGAAGTGTGTCGGCAAACTTGGAAGGGCTGCCAAAGACGCGGCGCAGCGGGTTTTTTCGAAGATCTGGGAGAGCCGCCTTGCGGGTATATCCATCGGCAGACAGATTCTAGGCGCCTCCCCACTCGTATTACTCGCCTCGAACGAAAAAGCGCAAAGCAGAACCTGCTCAACTAAGTCCAACGAGCCGCGCGAAAGCTGTGCTATCGAGACTAAGTTTGCCGAGTCTTTTGAACTTTCTTCCGAATTGGTGAAGGCCCCGCGAGCATCAGGCCCGTCATTTATGGACCGCGCGAAAGGTTTTCTCTCCTGGTTACGTGGAAGTGGAGATCCTAAACCCAAACAGGGCCTTGCAGACGGAGACGATGTTAAACGAGCTTTTCGCAACGCTTGCGAAAAGTTGGCTGGCATGGCGGAGACGGTGGGCAGGTTCGTTCGGTCTGTGGGCGTGTATATTATCGGGACGCTCGTAGGTGTTTTCTTAGGGCAGGTGCTCTTGGTCTTTGCCACGCACATGACGAATTTGTTCCTGCACCTTCCTTTGTTTGCCTCTTTAAATGGGGTACGGCCAGTGATCCGCTTTTTCTTCCGGGCCTTGTGCCAGTATCTGGCGCAGAACCTCAATCTCGGAAAAAAGGTTGGGCCATTTTTCCTCGACTTGTTAATAGGCATATTCCAGACTCCGGACTTTCTGAGCCATATGCTCTTGCATTCTGCAATTGCCAACGAGGTGTGGCAGTACTTCCCGGGCCCTGGTGCCGGACAGGCGAGCACTTCGTTTCTTCATCGGAAGTCAGTGGATACGGAGGACGCAGCCGCAGCAACAGCACTGCCAGACCCTTCGGAGGGCAGTCTCGTTTTGCCTTCATCCCTGCAAGTGAAAGGCCAGGAGGTAGAGACCACAGCATCACCCAGCGGAGCGCCACATCCAGTAATTCCCGACAGACAAAGTCCTAAAAATAAAGCGACACAGCGTGACGAAAACGGCGCGCAGACTAAGTCAGGAACCGCAATACCAACAAGAACGGTGGGCAAAACCGCAGGCGCCACTACGTCATCCGCACCTCTTGTGAAGATTAGCGGAAAAGGGTATGCGCATGTTCCCCATAGAGCATCATCAGCTGCATTGGCTGCGGGGGCAAAGCCTGCGCGAACAGCTCCGTCAAATCGAGGCGCGGACCCATCAGCGAATGCCGCTGGACGAATGGTGCTGGACGTCTCCAGGACCGTGGGAGGCTTCGCTGCGCCGACGGCTTCGACCGGCAATGTGTCAGCGTTATGGCTGCAGCATTATTGTTTCACCAACAGGCCCGTTGCTACTTCTACTTCTTTGATGGACCTTGAAGAAGGTCAAACGAACGGGATGAAAAGAAGACTATATTATGTCTTAGGATTAAGTACTAGGCGGGTGAGCTGCATCAGCGGCGACTTGGAGCGGCTGTTCGCCTCTGCTATGGCATCGCGCCGGCTTGGTCACTCCTCATTTTTTGCAATTTGCCGCTGCTCTCTGAGCGCTTCATCCGGTGGCGCGAATTTGTGTAGACTATTGCAGAGCAGCTAGCGGGGCCGCAGTGCTGAATGGTGGACGCACATGCGCCAGCATTGGCCGGGTGGGCATGCAGAATTCTCCCACCTTTCCCTGCCGCGTGAGGCAGGCCACCCGGCCCATGCGATCGTCCTAATGCGTCTACTGAGGGGCCAAGGAGTCACTATGCGGGCATTGCCTCTTTGTGGAGGCTCCATTCCCCTGGAGCTCTTAGCGCCACTTCCTGCAGGGGTAGGCGGATTCGCTTTTTCAGTTTGGGCGAGATGAAGTAGGCGCACCAAATGGCCTTCTGGTTCTGGGATAGTTCAGTCAGCGTCCGTCCCGATCATCTCTCTCGCCGCTCCCGTCTTCCATTTTCGATTGATGCGCGCTTGTGATCATTGCAGAAAGGCGTAAGGGCTCAGCTGGTCTCTTCCCTCTGCCAGCCGCGTTACACTTTCATGCCAGCAATCTTCGCCGCTTTGTGCCTTTTGGTTACAATGTCGTGGGCGTAGTGACGTGGGTGCGCAGCTTTGTGTGTAGATCTACATCGGTTTGTTCCTGCGAGGCGTGCCATTGCATTGGCAGGGCTGCTAGCTAGTCATCGAAGAAACACGTCTATGCATACGCCGGCAGGACCATTATACGCCAGATTACCCTAGAAGCCCCTGTAATGGCCAACGCGAAGTTAAAATTCGACCAACAGGCCAGGGGGCTGCTGTCTGGGAGTATTCTTCAAGCGCTGAGCATACTCGCGTACCCCAACTTCCCCAGTAGTTCATATCGCTGCATAAAAATAGAAGTCTGATTGTTCTATTCATCTAGTTTTACATGATCGGTGATATGACTATGCTGACTGTCTGAGGGCCATGTTGTCCATGGCATCACTGCCTCATATAATGAAGCTCCCCCGTGTGAGCTTGATGACTAGCCCTTCATATAGGATTCCAGCCACAATGTTTCTGGACGTACATCGGCAGCAGATCGGCACGAAAAGAAATATCTTCGAAAATATCGAGGCGAGACTCGAGGCATCGCTCGTCAATGGATTGTCGCAGGGTTCAGAGATTTTCACACATATGAAGGATAACCTGCTGACCCGGGTCCAAGAAGCCCTGAAACATCTGAAAGATTTCTTTTTGCTTATGGCTCAACTGAGAAGTATGACTTTCCACAAATTATATATTGTAGTAGTAGTTGGCCTCCACCTATAAATATGTTGAAGATCCGTGGCAACATACCGATCGCACCCCGACTCGCTTCTTAAAACAAATCAAGCAAAACAAGTGTACATAGATAGCAAAAATAGACGATGCCAGCACGACGATATTTCGCTAGTACAGAATACATTTACATTATACAGCGTCGTACTCGTAGTTGTAGAGCGAACAGTGTTTTGGGAAACATTGTCTGTGCCTTTGCGGCACAGGATGGTGGTGTCTGTTGAGAAGCAAAACTGAATAGCGTAATCAGATGTCTCCTGCCAACCTCCGGGAACTATTGCGAAGGACCCCTTAACGCCACTGCGATCCTGTGCTGCTCTCTAAGAATTTATCACTTCCTGTAGATTTCGAACCATGAAGATGGACACTATGAAATACTAGCTCTCTGGAGTGGTTCCCCAGGGGCAGGCGTCAAGGGAATTCCAAAAAATTTGCTAGAGCAATGAACTGCAGATGAATGTGCAAGGAAAGCAAGCAGATGCTTCGGTCCAGTGTTGAGAACTTTGATCCAAATTTCAACACTTTGATCCAAATTTCAATACTTTTATCAAAATTTCAAAACTTTGGCCCAAATTTCAAAACTTTGGTCCAAATTTCAAAACTTTGATATTTAACGTTCAAAATTCAAAATCAAAACTCAAAATCAAAATTCAAAATCAAAACTCAAAATTCAAAATTAAAATTCAAAACTCAAAATTCAAAATCAAAATTCAAAACTCAAAATCAAAAATCAAAACTCAAAATCAAAATCAAAATTCAAAATCAAAACTGAAGATCAAAATCTAACATCACAACTCAAAATCAAAACGTAGAACTTCAAGACTCTGGTCCACATTTCGAAACCTTGATCCAGTGTTGAGAACTTTGATCCAAATTTCAACACTTTTATCCAAATTTCAAAACTTTGGCCCAAATTTCAAAACTTTGATACTTAAAATTCAAAATCAAAATTCAAAACTCAAAACTCAAAATTCAAAATCAAAATCAAAATTCAAAACTCAAAATCAAAATTCAAAATTCAAAACTCAAAATTCAAAATCAAAACTCAAAATCAAAACTCAAAATCAAAACTCAAAATTCAAAATCAAAATTCAAAATCAAAATTCAAAATCAAAATTCAAAACTCAAAATTCAAAATCAAAACTCAAAATCAAAACTCAAAATCAAAACTCAAAATTCAAAATCAAAATTCAAAATCAAAATTCAAAATCAAAATTCAAAACTCAAAATTCAAAATCAAAATTCAAAATCAAAATTCAAAATTCAAATTCAAAATTCAAAATCAAAATTCAAGATCAAAATCAAAACGAGGGAAAAACTTTATACTGTAAGAGATTGGTAAAAAATTGGTGATTATCTTTCTCGCGCTGTTTGTATTTCCTTTTTGTTTTTTCTGTACATACTGCACCGAGCCCGAGAACTAGAGGGGTAAGCGTTGACTATTGGCGTGTTTCCGCATGATGATGATCCGTCACTTCATGATGATGATCCGGTTTTTAAGTAAGAGATTCGGATCATCATCATGAAGTGAAGGACCATCGTCATGAAGTGAGGGCCGCGGCGGAATAACTACAAGCAAAGGAGAGTGCATAAACATTATAGCAGCCGTCCCTTTCTACCATGACTCTAATTTTAACGGGGTGATCGCTGGAATTATGGGACTTCTGGTGAATGTGATTTCTCGTCTCATCATTGCAATGGTCGTGACGGTTGCGCCCCCTGGCGTTGCGGAGGCCCTGATGCTCGTGCTACCGACAGCTTTGTGGGGGATGCTCTTAAGAATGATTTCTAATGATCCTCCTGGGCTCGGTGTTCCATTTAAATCCACTTCCACATGATATTGGAACGTTCCATCTTCATGAAAAGACGCTTTTTTTTCTATCCATCATGATAGTGAGAGCTTCTTCCACACTTAAATCCACTTCCACACTGGAGGATGGGTAAAAATGACCTGAGAACAGCTTAAGATTTGAAGGGAGCTTTCTCTTGTTATAACTGAGATGCCAGGATGATGGAAAGGAAAGCTACCGCTTCTAATGCTTAGCAAGGCTCACGTTGTCGCCTTGTTTTCTGAGGCGTTCGACAAGGCCAAGATCCTCGAAAAAAGCGCAAAAGCACTGTTCGATGCGATTTTTGCGGAGGGTGTCGGGGGCTTGGGATCGGACCTGCAGGCCACGATTCTTACGCATGTAGCATTTACTTCTTTGTCCAGTACCTGATCTCAAGTTTAACTTGCATCATGTAGCAGCTACTTGTCTATCATTTTGTGTTAGTGTTTTTACTGTTCTTAGATAGTAGGATCCATCGCTTGATCGCTTGATGATCAAGGGTCGTTTTTCTTTCTTGGATGCCTTTTATTGTTTGATGCTAAGATGATCCTATCCACTGGCACCCGATGTTGGATATGGTGGAGATGATCATCTTAGCATCAAACAATGGTGGATATGATAGCTTTCTGTAGGTGGAGGTATTAAAGATGTGATACCTTTCTGTCAGTGTTGCTTCTAGAAGTATATCTTTCATCTTGCTTAGTTATCGTACTACTTGGAGAAGCCTGGTGAAGAGGGGCCAGCTCGTCCGAAGTGTGTTTTTCTGTAGGTGGAGAGAGACTGGATCAGTGACGAGGCGTAGGTATTAGGTATGAGGCGATGTCAGTAAGAATAGCTAAGATCATCTCGACGATGCTGACATCGTTGGTCTTTGTTAGTTATATCAAGTCACCAAAACCACCAAGCAACAGCACATAATAGTATACTTACAATGGAGGACACAAGCTTCAATCATCCACTCTCTAAAGACCGCGACATTTACGCCAAAGAGATAAAGCCCAAGCTGGCCACTTTCAAGGACAACGTGCAGTCGTTTTTTACAGGGAAGTCAAAGTCTGGTCTAATCAGCTTGTGATTTAGTTCAGAGACTTGCTACAAACGCGTGACTTGACTGGCTCCGTTTGTTTCGCGGTGTAGGAGCTTTTTACTTTTAGACTTCCATCACTCTGATGATGATCAGTGGTAGTGGTACTACTAGAATGTTCACCACAATAAGGATGGAGCAAAAGTATGAGGGCGAAACCCTCCATCAAGAAGTAGACCTGTTCCAAGAGCAAAGATAGTCTCTCTTCTGCTTCATCAATACATATGCTGCACAAGAAGTGAACTATAATCACGTCAAAAACCATACTGATCTACTTCAATTCCGATACTATCATTATTTTTCTGGTGCCCCATATGTTCATCATATTAATTCGATGCATGGTCAGTTGTACATATTGTTCACCATTTTTCGACTATACAGCGAAGTAAAACGTTTTCTCATGTAACTACAATCTGCAGAGTCAAGTCCAAATGCTCATATAATCATATTTATTGTTATCGCATTTTCGTATCTTCACAAATATTTTTTTCTCTCTTACGACTACATCTCAATCTCTCGTTATGAACTAAGAATGTCGGCTGAAGAGGCCGCTGTACGCAAAACAAGAGGAAATGCAGCATGAGGTATAATTACACAGGAGCGCGCCACAAAAGTGAAGTTCGTCGTTATGAATGTAAAAATCGTTGCAATAAAAATCATTGAAAGACACAGAAAGTTCGTAGTAGAAAATAGTGATTATTCTGATGCGCATCGATCACAAGAATTCGCCCACAGGTGGATAAATCTATCTGATACAGCGATCCTATTAACAGAAAAATAGTCGCCACAAGAGCATAGTTATCTAAACCATCACTGAGTGTTACCAGCATGATCGATAGCAGTTATCTAAACCATCACTGACTGTTACCAGCATGATCGATAGTAGTTATCTAAACCATCACTGACGATTTCCAGCATGATCGATAGTAGTTATCTAAACCATCACTGACGATTTCCAGCAGATTGACAGAGAGTCACACAGTCACGCAGTGTTTGATTTGTATTTTCTAGTTGTTGTGATGCCACTGCCACTGCTACTGCCACCGATGCCACTGACATCAGAATAAAGAACAGGACGTATTTGATGGAGTTCAATACCACGTCTAGTCAGAAAAAATAAACTGTGCGTTCTTTTTGCTGAAGAAGTATACATTCATAAGTAAGATTTGTTAAACGTCGCTTAACAGTAGTCGCCCCCTACATTGACGAAAGGGTGTGGATTCGCTCTCACTCTAGTAGGCGCGACTGCTATGCCTATGGCACGGCCATGAAAGCTCCTGCTGAGAGCCGCCGAAGTCGAGCCTTGAACTAAGCGCCATATTAGCTGCAAGAAGAAGTCGACTATACCTGCGAAAAATAGTAGCGACATTGTGCTTTTTCTTTAGCGCCACTACATCTTTTGTCGTAAAAACTAGCTTCCTGGCCGTGTGGTTCCCCAGGGTCGGGATTCGATGGCGGTGCGAGCCATTTGCTAGAGATGCACCCCCTCGGATATCTGGCACCTTCACCGTCTGAAACTTTTGGAATTGTGCACGAAGCTTGCGCGCCCTCTCTCAGGAGAACGGCGACGGGGCGCGGCTTGCTTTCATGTTTCTGCTTCAGGACACGTGGACACCCGGGACACGAGACCGCCGGCCCCAATATCCTCACGGGATAAGGGGGGTCAAATTTTGAAAGCTTGCGCCTGGGTGGTGGTAGGGTAAGTTGTTGACGCCTCGCATTGTTGGCGGTGGGTGAAGTAAGGGCGGCGAAGCCGAGTCGATTCCACGAGGGGGAAGATGTGCGCGGGCTCTGTCGTTCGAGCTTGCTTGCCCCATTCGGCTTCGGCGGGGTGTCCGGTGTCTGCGGTGTCACCAGGGGGCGGTGGACCTTTGGTGCGCTTATCACTTTGCCCGCCGCCTGAGGAGACGGGGACACCAAAGTGAGGGAGGCAGGGGCGCCTGCGCGTGAAAAACCCAGCACCGCAGCCGCACTGGGGTGAAGATTGGCGTCTCGCGGGTCCTCCTTGGGGGTGTGCGGCTGGAGGCTGCGAGCGAGGGGCCCTGAGGTGGGCCAACCTGCTGGCAACACCTTCGCACCCCTCGCCCTCGCCTGATGACTATCGCGCAGCACCGCGCGGAGGGACGCCGGAAAAAACGGCAAAAACGAGAGCCGGCAATGCGTTTGTGAAGCGGTAGTTGTGCGATCAGCTCCGCGTGGACACCCCTCGAGGAGAGTGCGGCTGGAGGTTGCGGGCGGGTAATCTTGCCCAGAAACTTGGCGCCCAGCCACCCTCGCTCTGGGCATGGGCAAGCCCTTCTGACCCCCCTGATCAGAACTGACCGCGCGAGGAGGCTGCAACCAGTTCCATCGCCGCGGGCTGATCCCGTGGGATCTCTCTAAGAGGGAAACCGCGGGGGGGGGGCGGGGCTGGCAACGTCTCAAGGTAACAAAGGAGCCGGGCGCGGGCCCCCTGCTTTTTGGGGGGCTTGGCTGCATGTATGTGACGAGGAACCACCCCAAGCGCGGGACGCCAGGGGCCGCGCCGACCGTGCCAGTTTGGGGGCTGCGTTGCTTTTCATCCTTCTTGGGTCGTGGGTGTTTCTGAGTCCATGCTGTAGCAGTGGGGTCTGCTTGTGCATGTTGCGCGGGGGGGGATCGTGGTGTGCTGAGGGGTCGTGGCATCTGCGCTCGGGGTGGTCGTGGTGCGTTTTGGGGGATCGTAATGCGCCTGTCAGGCTTGTCAGGGTCGCGCTGTGTTCGGGGGTCGTGTTGTCTTTGGGAGGCCGTGGCACGTTTAGGGGGGGGGCGTGGTGTGTATGGAGGGCCATTCCGGAGGGGTCGTGTTGAGGAAAAAATGCGTCCTCTGATGATCTTCAGTTCACAAGGAGAGCAAGGTTGTGGAACAGAAGAAAGTGGAAGTGCAGGGGGGACATCGAATAGTAGATGAAAAGGAAGGCGCTAGCAAGATCACCAGTGACACGATGACAATATCATAGACAGCAGCAACAAGTTATTGCCAGTGGGTACAGCTACAGCAGACTGCGTAGAGACCACAGGCGATTTTCTTCGTTTCCCTGGTGGACATTACTCCGGAATTTTCCTACATGCGATACGTTACGCAGGAGAGAAGTGGAGTTTTGAGAGGCCTTGCTTTGTCATGGTGGGCCACGAGATTGCTCGTTGACTCAACAGACTCTGACTCACAACCGCACGCGCAGCCTCTACTACACCTTCCATGTGTTTACGAGCACCTGTTGAAGCAGTCAGGAGAAGAAATTCGAAGTAGAGCTTCTTCATCTGCTACGGAACAACCCTAGTAAGCCAAGTCCCGTCAGGATAAGCTGCTCCCAAATTGCCAGACTTGCATGAGGACGCCATGTTAAGCCAAACAACTAACAAAGGACACAACCTAACAACAACTTCTTCTTTACATTTACCATTGAAGGTGACTGAGCGTGAGGTGAACAATCATCTTCAGAGGCTCTAGAATGCCTTCAGCTACATTCGTAGAGTCCTGAGCAGACTTGTATCTTCAGGGGCTCTAGAATGCCTTCAGCTACAGTTCGCAGCTGAATTCGCAGAGTCATGAGCTCTCCAAACAAAAGAATAACCCAGCATTCATGTTCTTCATCCTTTTTGGGCATCGTTCTCCTAGAGGTGGGCCCTTTCTAGCGTTCGTCGTGAAAGTCTTGCTCACCATAATGAACAACAATTATCGGTTGATGTTTCTAAGAATTCTGTTTACTGAAATTATAAATATATCTAGTAAGTCCTCTTCGTTGTATTCGTTCTTTCGTGAAGATCATGAATAAACAAATATTGATAAGAACGAGAGAAGATTCAGGTGGATCTGATGAATGTAACTAGACCAGCAGCGTTCCTGTTCCAACATATCGATAATGGAAGATCCATGAAATAATGATTAGTACAGAGAGATTGAACTTGAAGAAGAAGAACAGTGTGAGCAGCAGTGACCTCAGAGTCAGTGAGGCGAATGCAGACTGTAATATGTCCTCTCTGTCTACAACGGAGTAAGCGTCGGTGAGGCGAGGACCTCCATTAATATTCTGTTTGACCAACCTTCGGTTTTTAAGCGTGAGAAGAGAGTAACCGAATCAGTCTAATAATACATAGTGCACTCTCCATCCGCTTATACCTCTGAACCATTTACAATCTTGTCATCTAACTCTAAGCTTTCTTGAAGACTGTTCTTGTAGCAAGAATATGAATAATTTCTATTTCACTGATATTACAAATTCATCATGATATTCGTTGTAGAAGTAGAAGTTGTGTCAAAGAGATGGCATTTCATCTGCGGTAGAACATCTTCAGCGTAGACATAGCACCACTTGTACACGCACTCCGCATCGTCTCCTTCATCAATAATTAGCCGCTAGTGCTACTTGAGCCCGTAAATACTGGCTATATCATCATCATACATCTTCACCGTGCAGGTTTGAGGGACTCCGCCCTTGAATTTTCTCCAACCTCAGTTTTCTTTCTTCATGTTGATTGCAATTCCATCTACTTCGACTTTCGCAATTTCGCAATATATGTTACGACAAATATATGATATTGGTATCCTTGGTCACTTCAACTTGACGAAGACCGCTACATCAAACAACTAGGAAATAAAAGAGTCGAGAAAACAACATCAGCAACACTCGAGAAAGACGAAAATAAGAAGCATCTTCATCATCACGTGGAGGATCATGAAGATGGCACGTCGTGTCCAGAGCAAAGGCCAGACCTCGTTAAAAAGAGGTCGAGGTGGCAACAATGGAGAAGGAATGCGACTTTCGTCTCGATTTCTGTTGTATGCCTGTTGGGTTCTTGGGAAAAGCACTATGGCTGGTGTTATGAAATAGAAGGCTTACTTTCGTTTATATTTGATATTGGTCGCTAGTCATCGTTGTAACTGCAGTACTTCTAGAAGATGAGTAGTAAGCCGGATCTAAGATGATCATGTGACATCAAGATCAAAAAGAGCGCACCAAAGCTAAGAAAGATGTCCTTTAAAAATTCATGAACTACAATGTTCAAAGGGTAACTCCACTTCTCGTCCTCGAAGAGTTGTGCCTCTAACTTCGGCTGCAGCTGCAACTACTCGCCTGCCACTGTCTGTGGCATTTTGATGCTGCCTTTGATGAGTCTTCAGCTTATCTCGGTCGTCGCCGTACAAGCTCCTGAAAATACAACATCATATACCATGCTGGAACAACATACACCAAGAACTGATGTGCGGATGGGTGGAACTGCCACTACTTCGATGGTTGAACAAGAACAAGAAGATCAAGATGTTGTTGTGCTTCCTGACCAGCATTTTGATACCATACAGATGCGTGACGCTACTACGATGGTTGAACAAGAACAAGAAGATGCTGCTGTGCTTCCTGACCAGCATGATGACATACAGATCCGTGACGCTACTACGATGGTTGAACAAGGGCAAGAAGATCAACACGATGCTGCACTACTTCCTAAAAATACAACATCAACTACCACGCTGGAGCAACATACATCAGCATCAACTACCTTGATCCCTCATCCTCGAGAACAAAACCTACTACATCAGCATCGCGGTGCTGTTCGGGGGCCATCTCCACGACTTGCTCAGTGGAATCTTACTAGGGGAAGAAACGTGACAAACAACGCAGACAACGATGAGGACTCGTCTACTCTACTACAGACGAGCCAGGGGCGGAACCAAGTTGCTAACAAGAAAGGAGAACTTTTTGGTTAAGGCTAGTTATTTATCATTTTCATCCTGCTTATTGAGGTATCCTGCTCTCCGAGTTGTTAGAGGCCTGCCCTAGGAGTGCAAGAAGAGTGAATATTTATATTAGCTGGTGACGCGTACGCCTGCAATCTAGAAAATTCATCATCTTCACATTACCGCCCAACCCTCGGGGGGGGCTACAACGGCCACACAAATAGTACTAGCGCTAATGCTGCAGCGCCATTCGCCAGGTTGCGGGCCACTTTGGCGGCGTTGCGGATGCTGTTGCGAGTCATGTTGTGGAGCGCGTTGAAGGAGCTCTTGACAATCTCAATCCTGCTGCGCTGTGGCAGAAGATAGTGGATCTTCTGAAGAACGCTGCCCAGAGTCTGGTCGAGGGAGCAGTAGAAGAAGTTATGGTGTAAGAAAGGTGTAAGAAATTCAAAAGACCACAGCAACTCATTAGGTTATATGGATGCAGGGTTAGGGACATTAAACAACCTACAGTCTAGTCCTTTCCTCATTAATAGTTCGGAGAACTGGATCGTGCTGCGCCACCCATTTTATTTATGTCTTCATGCGAAGGCAGTCCTCACCGACTTACCTTAGAAGCTAATGTAACTCTATACCCATTCGCAGAGACTGACCACGAGGACAGGCAGCCATGATACCTATACTAGACGCTGCACCTGGTGGGAAGGGAGACCAGGAAGTCCTTGGTGGGAAAAAAATAAACGAAAAGCGCCGCCCCTGGAGGGAAGGGAGGCAGGCTCCTCTGAGAGGACAACCGCCCGAGCCTGGTGGGACGAGATGCCGCCACCTCCGAGAGGGGACTCGGACACTACACGCTTAGCCCCAGGCGGGGCGCAATCAATGAAGCGCCGCCACGCTTTGCCGCGAGAGGTGCGCCGCGAATGGTGCGCAGCATGGTGGAGGCTGGGGCGCGTGGGGCTCCTGTCTGTGCTAACTAGGGAGATGCCTGAAGGCGGCATACTGGCGTGGCTGGTGGTGATTCCTCCGGGGATGCAAGAGAACGAGAGAGAGACGGCCAGCCCGGGGCGTCCTCCTCCATTGCGTGCCAGGGCCTTGGCCCTCTTGATGAGATGAACCGCCAACGGCACAGCAGGAGCGGGGTGCGCGTTTGGGGCACAGCAGAAGCGGGGGGCTCTGTGCCCCGTTTCTTCTGGGTATCCAAGGCGAGGAGAGCCCCCCCCAGCCTCGGCAGGCCAGTGCCGCCTCGTTTCCTTCCAGAGGAAGGCAAAAGGGCAACGCCATGGCTGTGAAGCCGTGACGAGGAGGCTCGGCGGGCTGGTTGGCCGCCTTGGATAGTTGCTCCCTCGGCCCGTGTCGTGTGGTGTGTGCGGTCTGATGGCTTGCCTCGCCCCCTTCGGGATCCGACCGCCCCCCGGGGGGGTCGAGAACAAGATCACCCCCTGTCGAGGTCTACGGGGAAACCGATGGGGGGGGCTGTGTTCAGCCACCCTCAGTTTCCTGGCCTTCCCGCCCGCCCCTGCCTCTGGTTCGATCGTTGGGTCGCTACTGGTCTCCCTGCAAAGGCAACCGGGGGGCCCGTGGCTGCCGGGAGACCACTGGAGACCCCACAGGAGGTCAAGGAGGCAGGGGCGAGAGGGTTGGGGAAACTGATGTGGGTGGAACGCAGCCCCTCCGCGGTTTTCTTGTGGGCCTCTATAGAGGGCGTCCTCGACCTTAAACTGCCCCCGCCCCTCCGCCTTCTTCTTTTGATGGTTCGACGCGCCCTCCTCGCTTGCGGTCGTTGTGGAGAGTGGACCCCAACCACGGACCCGCACACCGCTCGCCAATGTTGCCCAGCCCCTGGGGGGCAGACAACGCGCCAACCGTACACAGAGCTGACCTCTGGCTCTGGTCGCTCCGCTCTGGTAGCTGAACGGAGGAGGCCAAGGCGGGCCCCACCTGGTCACCTGTGGCGGGGCGTCTCTGAGTGATGAACGCCTGCCGCGCCGCTGGCTCTGCGGCTGGAGTTCTTCCACGGCCAGTCTGGAACACGCGCGGGCGCGCGCGTGACGGCAAGGCCCCCCACCTGGCCTCGAGTTCTCCTGGGGACAGACTGAACACGGGCAACGCTCAACCTTGCACAGCAGCACTGCGCAAGGCCCCACGCGTTGACCAGTCCGCCCCCTTACATACGTACGCATCTAGATTAGGCATTGCTTCTAGCTAAGCGTAGGGCAATGCTGTGAGTGTAAAAGGCGACACGCTGGTCGTAAATTAATTCAGTACTAAAAACAGTGGATTTTTATTATTCTATTTACGAACATCAATAAATACGAAGTGTTCTGCCTAACACTGCAGAGTAGCTCTTTCTCGGATGAGCAGATTCGGTTGCATTTCTTTTAGCTACTTCATAAAAGAAGTACATTGCTTGCCATTCTGGTGCGCATGCTTTGAGAGCCGTCTGGTGGTCTGAGATTCAATCTCGGATAACTTGTACTTGTTGATAAAACGCGATCAGTTCAATTTTCCCCCGTATTTCTACTTCTCTGTTTTTACAACGGGGGAGGCTCGATGTGAAAGATCCCTAGTAGCCTAGCCTTTACCACTGGGGAACAAAAAGTAGGAAAAGACTACCACATTGCTTCTTGTGGATCTAGTGGGGAGTACTTATTAAAAAAACAATTTACATTTATTGGTAATATTAACTTGTTGCATTAAGTATGTAATTGTCCTTTGTCATCCTTCTTCATCTTTCTTGTCGGGAAAGAGAATTTGTCGGCCTTCGTAAGCATGATTGAGGACCGCGCGTGCAACCTTTTCTCGAACCTGATGTCAGCTGCGGTTCAAAAATTCGTTATGGCTGGTCTCCTACTGATGTGGCCCTCGCTAGTGGAGTTTCAATTTCTTTGGTTACATAATATTGCACTGCTCCTTCTGCTTCAAAGCTTATTAAGTAATATTGTGGAGTAGATTTTTGACTACCTAAGCCTCTAAGGCTAGCAGGATTATTAAATAGTATTGCGCTTGTCGAAGTCGAACAAGTCGAAGTCGGCTGACATTCTGTCTCTACGGTCGTGGCCACGGATGGCCATTACGATAACAGAGGCACTCGCATGAAATTTCGTTCATTTCTTCTCCCAGTTGACACTAGTTTTCAGTATGAAAAAATAGTGTATCACATTACGCAGTATGCCTTTGTTCCTTTACTCAGACCACTCATCTCAAGAACACTGAGACCGCCTTCTGGTACAACTTGTTAGTCCAGCTTTTTACAGTAAGAAACCGGGACTACAACAACTAGGACGTCTCTTGCAGTTATACCTTACCACGCTTACCACATCAAGGGCCCTGGCGCAGCAGAATACGGACAGGCTGCGGCCGTCTGGCAGGCGAGCCCACGTCTATCCTATCTACTTAATATCCTTTCTAATGTATTGAAATTGGTACCCGGGGTTTTTCTTCCGGTGGTTCACATAATCGACTCCGCAATTCGACCCAAGATCAAGGAAGTGCTTGAGTTAAGCCATTGAGTAGAGTTCGGCATAACTTGTGTTACCGAATTCAGCGATTACAATACTGTCTGAGTTTTTTTCTTCACTCTAGCTGCAACTACCTGGATGCATTAAAATCTTCGAAAGACAAATTAGCAGTTAGTATCCCAAGGCGCAGAAATAAAGAATGGCAATGGCCATTTTTCTAAAACACAGAACGAATCATCTTGCATTACCTCTAGCCACTATCCACGATCTCTTCTCGGTTGTATTACATCTTCTAGGCCCCACACCCATCTGTTCAAGGTAAGACTTCTCCATCTAGTCTCCCTCCCCTCTTCTAGGTGGGCCGCGGATATTAATGCTCTCTACTTCAGAGGCCCTAAGCCATCTGAGCTTTTCACTTCTAGGTAAGAATGGGGGCTATCTCATGCAGAGCCTCTAATCTGAGTGATCACCAAAAGCCTTCAGGAAAACTTTCTGCCTCAAGTGTTGTCGAGAATGGTTACAGGAATTTCGGACTTGTTTCAAGAAAATGCGGGGAAAATGATACAGAATGTTAAGGCGCGAACTGTATCGTCCCGCCGCTCGAGTACGAGAACTACTTGGGGTGCCAATGAATGAAACTGCCAAGGGCAGAATCCTCACAGAGTCAGCCAGCAACCATTGGCCCAAGAGTCAGGGGGACCCAAACTGAACTGAGGGGTTAAAGATGAACTGAATAAAGTAGAGGGTATCCTTATTATTAGCAAGTGAAAGCATTTTCCTACACCATGGCCTTTGGCGTTTTTTTTCAAGTGGGAAAAGAATTGGCCAAGGATATGACTCGCGGTGGCTCTAACAATGCGGGCGCGCAGATCATAGAAAGAGCAATGGCCTACGCTCGTGGCGACAACAGAATGGGAACGCTATGGCGATGCTGATCCTAGATATTCTTATTAATCAAATTCAAAACTTGATATGATGGCGCCACTCACATTTGCAGCAAGTAAACCGTGGCGCGTGAAGATAATTCGGCTAAAATGCCAGGAGTTCCATCAGATTCTTAGGCTGTTCGCCACTAACCAATACTGACGAGCTTTTTGTTGTATTTTTTACAGAACGGGGGCCGCCCATCTACGAAACCGTCACGAAATATGTGTGCCGGTTTGCCTTAGATCTGTCTAGCGGTGGAAGCTGTGACCACTTTGCTGGAAAGTTGTGGAAGTTGCGACCACTGTGCCGAAGAGTTGCGCTGAGTTGTGACCACTATGCCAGAAGCTATGCCCGTGAACACTCTGGCGAGCTGTGTCTGTGTTGCGCGTAGCCCGAAGTCTTTTCCACTAAAAGAGCCGCCCCTGGTGTTGTTTATTATGATCTGGCCGCTCGAGTTTGGTGGTCGCCATGCGTGAGACTCTGAAGAGCCGCGCGGGCCTCATGGTGTTCGAATTCGAACGGCCAGAGGACTAAGCGCGTCGCCCCTTCCGTGGGGCTTCGGTCTACACCCTGCGCGCCACAGTGTTCGCAACTTTTTGCCACCGTGGTCAGCCCAGCTCCCACCATTTTCTGGCACGGGGGTCACAGCCTCCAAACCTTGCCAGGCTTAGAAAGAAGGCAGAAGGAGTGAGCTCCTCGAAGGGGCTTGGCCTTTCTAACTTTTTCTAACCGCAGCGAGGCCGCACACGCTGCGCCCGCATGACTAACTTCTCATATTCTGGCTCTTTTTTTGTACCACTGACCGATATTACCTAGCAGCAAGAACCCCAAAAGCAGCAATGAATACAAAAGTGCTAAGTATTAGTCGCTCTCCACTCTTCGTCGCTTCAGAGTCATTTATTACCCCTTCATAATTCGCGTCGTCTTTCGTAACGGTAGGCGACCACCACAAGATGGCCAAATCCGAAATGGCAGGCGCGCTGGTCTCTATGGGAGGCCAAGCGGCAAGAGACCTACAACAAAATGCGGACAGGCTCAAGCGCTATGGCCTTCACCCTCCTGCAAATGGTGCTCAGCTGCATACGATGGTATCGCCGGCTTTATTGCTTGTTTCTATATTAGTACCTATGGGGTAAGCAATTCCCCGAAAATCCTTAAGGGCTTTCCTTGAGGGGCTTCCTTAAGGGAATGGCGCCCCTTTTTAGGGGACTCCTTTTATTTCGAGGCATTATGGATAAGCTTTCCTAAGTAAAGGGCCAAAAATGTGCCTTAGGGAGGCTCCTTCAGGGGGGTCCGTAATATAATTTGGCTGGGAGTAGGCCCGCCGTCCAGGGCCGCCCGCCCTCTTAAGCGGATCGATTTTTTTTATTCTTTCACGCGTTTCACCTTCGAGTAGAACCTGGCGCATCGGGGTCAGCCATAGCCAGCCTGCTGGCGAAGCCATAGCGTAGCCAGATTGCCTTGCTAGCTCAGCCGCAGCCGGCTTGCTTTGCTAGCTTGGCCAGGGATTTCCTGCCCTGCTAGAGAGATTGCCCCAGCCATAGCTGGCTTGCCTCACTTGCTTAGCCGTGGCCAGCTTGCCTCGCTAGGTTACATCCGATGGCCGTAGCTGCCTTGCCTTGCTAGCTCAGCCATGGCCAGTGTGCCTTGCTTCTAGCTTTGCGACATTTGCCATAACGATAGCCAGCCTGCCTCGCTCGCTTCGCCTTCCCCGGCTTTCTTGCTTGAGTAATCAGCTCAACAGCCAGGCTGCTAGCTGATGCATGGCCAGCTTGCTAGCCCAATCATGGCCAGCCTGGCAGCTTAGCCATCGCCAGCCCGCTGGCTTAGCCATCAGACAGCGCCAGCAGCTTGCTGGCCTTGCCATCACCGGCACCGACTTGCGAGCTGAGCCAGGGCCATAGCGCTGGCTCAGCCAGGGCCTCGGTTTTTGGCTTAGCCACAGTCAGCGCGCTAGCTTAGCCATAGCGTTCGCAAGTTTACTAGCTGCCTGGCCACCGCGATAGCCACAGCAAGCGCGCCAATCTTTCTAGCCTTGGACAGCTGACTTAGCTACTTTGTTCGTTTGTAGATGGTCTTAGCTGCTTATTTGCTAACCTATGCCCCCCAGTAGCGCAGCGGGCCCCTGATGGGCCGCCCGCTTTCTGGGCTTGTTGTGATAATTCGTTTCAATCTCCAAACTTTTTACATTATGCACTTTTTTACAATTACACTACTGCGCTGCAAGTCTTGCCTGGCTTTTGCCCGTTAAACGGCGAAGGCCTAGGCCCAGCGACGCCTAAAGCACTAAATAAAGCAGCCGGTTAGCTTTTACCACTACAAAATTAGGCTTATCCCGTGCGGCAATACATTGCGCGCTTCCCTTTATTGCTGGTCCCTGTCTTTGTTGACTTTGTTTAGGAGGATCGGCGATTTTGTGAGTAGAGGCATTGAAACTCGGTAGCACTATAGACTGACTGTGCCGATAAAGTTCGAGAGCACAGGAGCAGAGGGCAGGCCGTTAAAGTGTTCGGGACAGGAGCAAAAAGGAAGCAGAGACCACCATGCCCAAAGGCTTCGGCGGTGGCTTGCTTATGAGCTAGCAGCACGCTAATCCATGCCCGAAAATCAAGAGGCGCCGAGCCTAACTGAGGCCACCACAGAGGCCCACCCCCCGCTGAGGCGCCCAGGATGGCCAGGCAGCCAAATGCAAACACCAAGGAAGACCCACCAGGGGCACGCCCCCCGAGCCTTAATAACTTGGGGGCGCGGGCGCTGCGATGCCTCTTCCAAAGGCCCACTTCGTGTAGCGCTGTGCCGTGTAGTGTGTGCTGCATGGCTGTGGCGCGCGTTGTGTGTTGGGTGCTGGGCGCCGGCCTTGGTGCTGGATTTGAAACAAATCAGGGGCCTGATTTGAAAAAATTCGGTGCCCGATTTTTTTTTTCCCCGATTTTTTTGAAAAAAAATTGCACGCCGCTCCGAAGAAGTTTTGTCTTTGCGCTTTCTGGCTTGGTTTCAAGCCTTGCGGGGAAGGGTTTACCGGTGAAGGCTGAAAAGTTACTTTTTTAGTTCTCTAAAGTGGGGCCAATGCGTATGCGAAAAAATTTTGGAGGGCGGGCCGCTAACTCATCGACTTTCCCCAGGAACCCGATCTCGCAATGCAAACTCGGCAGCGCAGAGACTTCAAGAACGAACCCAGCCCAACGACCCAGCGACTTCAAAATATAGCGAGCCCAATGCAAGTGATTTCAGTGACGTCGACAGCCCATCAGCCCAGCGACCCGATGACTTGAAAAACCCGTGTCAACGACTCAGCGCCTTTGTTTTTCAATCTTTTGCCTCCGCCTATAGTTTGTTATACCATACTAACGACTCTCGACGAAGGAACAAGGAAGAGAGCGGACCGGCCAAAGAACCGGGGGAGGGCTAAGTAATAAATTTGCGCAGAGGAGCGAGAGCTATTCTACGCATAAGAAAAAGAGGGACGACCTCGCCTCGCTTTTGTTACTAGTATTGCCTGAGGACCATGAAGGCCTGCAAGGTGAGCCCGCAGGGCTCGAGGTTAAGTTTGGTAACGTAGTGCTAGCCTCCATCGACATATAATAACGAATAGAAGATAGGGCGCCCTCTTCTGACACTCCTCAAGGCGGCTGTGGGCAAGAATATTATCATTTGACGAGGGGCGTTTCCATAGAGAACATCGCCAGGAAATAGATACCTTTTGAAGGTCTTCACGATCTACAACAATTCTTGTGGGCTTTGCCATCAGATGCTGACACCCAATCAGCATTATCGCCGTCGTTCAAACGACAAGGCCGTAGCATCAGCCCACTGCCTGCAGACTACCACAAAAGCCCTCCTCTTCTACAACAGGTCCAAGACATCGGCCGACGCATTTTCGCACACGCCGCGGATGGTTATGGCCGCTTTCTTGGTTTTGATAAGTCTACAAGCACAACAAAAATCTTGGCGAGACTAACCAGGCTCCTACACTATTTCCGTCCCTCTGTAGTACCCCTTGAGGATTTTCAGAGATGTTAATGTGCTCAAAAATTGAATGCCAAAAGTTGGGCAGTTGGCTGCCCTTCAGTGGATAAACATCTGGTGGCGCACGTAGTCGGACTAATGTGAAGCCAACTTCTCTTCTTAGCATACCTGTAGAGAGCCCACAAAGCACCGCTGCGCGATCGTTTCTAAATCAATGATAAGTACCAAAAAAAGTTTGCTGGTCTCCTTGTTGGGCGCCGCCGATAGTCCATTAATCGCCATCGCCTAGGGTGCGTGCTTAATGAAAAACGTCTGTCGGATTTGAATTTATTTTCGGCAAATCACTTGACAGGGCATTCTTTATCACTATGCGCGTTGTTTTGGGTTGTTGTTCACAAAGTTGCCACAAATAGAGCAAGCTGTTACTTTCGGCTCCTCACTGATCATCCCCCTCGGCCTATTGTCTGCCTTCGCAGCTAGGGCGTAGTGTTAAGTCCTTAGTGATGGTCTAGCGTCAAGCCTCTTTATCGCGTTATTTATTTTCACCTACTTTCTCTAGAAGTTGTTTGCGTTATTGTACTTAAGTTTTTGGCCCGATGGATCCATCTCTAACGAAGCGCCCTCGATTTTACCAGTAAAATTGGTGATGCATTGGCGGGATTCTGGGAGAAGTCGCTGGCGAGTGTGGTGCAGTGTATGGTCACAGGAGTGACCCAGATTTTCAAGGCGATCGCCTTCGAGCACGTCTTCCACTTCGTAACCAATTATGGCAAACTGACATGAGCTCACGCTCTTGCTCCGTCTAGTATCTTACGAGCCTAAGCCCTTCTATGCCAGACGAGACCACGCGCATGCCCCATTAAGTTGCGTCTGCTCTAAGACTGAGATCCATTTGCGTGCCCACTTCCTTCACGACGTTTCCCCCATAATTTTCTGCATGATTATTTCCCTTACCGCTTGTTTCTCTCTTTCTTTTGGCACTAGATACGATGTGGTGGTGGTGACTGCTCGTCTTTGTTTTTTACTTATCCACTTTTGGCGAGTCAGCTTTTCGGGCAATCGAGCTTGCGTGTTTATTGCGTTGGGCGGGCTGTAAACATCTAAATTCGTACTTTTTCACGACCCCCAGACCTCGCGGTCAGTGATTGTCGAGGGGGCTAATTATTTGTCGCTCAAAGAAGATACAACTCCAATGGCTGCACTTTGCGTCTGTGATGATTACTGTAGACCCAGAACAACAGATGACGCAAGAGCGAACCGCCATGCTTAGTAACCGTGCAGCTGGCCTTTCTCCTGTAGTTTGGTCTGAGTCAAAAACGCCATGAGAGTTCATTCTGTAAGTCGAGCAATTTCTAGGTCAAACTACTCAGCTCTTTGGCAGCATTATTGCCGTTTTTGATCACACAGCTTGCGTAAGTAGGGCTGTTACCTGACTAACGAGGTATCTGCTCTTTACCAGAAAACCTTCCACTAGTCTGTCGTCGTTCTTTTCGATGACACAAACAACGAAACAAAGAAAGCACAACAGTATGCCGTCGGGGCGGCCAAATATGTCGTTTGCCATATCCCTACCCAAGGCGCCACCACCTTTCATAGCAACGCGGTGAGCGACATGGCGACTTCATTGGTTTACGCTGATGTGTTACATTTTTTGGAGTTGGTAGGCAGGATCATCAGCTGCAGATGCGCCAGGGCCTCGCGCAGTCTCGTATCCTCGAAGCCCAGACGCGCCTGGTTCATATGCCGTCTAACTTTATTGGTCTGGGGCCTTTGTTTCTGTGCAGGTCTATGCGCGTATGTTGCCGCGGTCAGGCAAAAGAGGCTGCTGCCGTTGACGGGTGTGCGCCATCAGAATAGTGGGCCCGTGCGTTATGTGCGTACCCGTGCGTCCCATCTTTGTCGGTGCTTGCTTTGGTGGTCGGTCCCCCCCCGTTCTCCAAGGTATTCAGGCTAGGTGGAGGATGGGTGGCTGGGTGGTCTTGTTCGTCTCCCTCGTTTCAAGTGTGACGGCAGGCAGGGCCGTATACTCACTGCCCGCGCCGCTAAGCTCTCTTTTGGGTGACGACTATGGCCCCTGAGATATCTAGATCTTGTTCTATCGAAATACCCAGAAGTTTGCAATGAGCGAGCCGAGCGAAAAATAGTCGACAAGGCTTCAGCAGCTGGGTGCTCGTCGTGGCTTGTGTTCGGGGGTGTGGCATTCGCGGTGTAGACTGGCTAGCGGAGGCGCAAGTGCGGGGGCTGCTACGTACAGAGGTAGGCACTAGCTGGGCCACTTGGTAGCGACCGCTGTGTTCGTTTAGGAGACTGGTCAACCCGGGGAGTCGGGCGTTTCGCGTTCTTGCGGCGCTGCGCAGCTGATCTCCAGAGGGAACCCCGACACCCAGACCCCTTTTGCTGTCGGGATGCCATCTTGAGGGCCGCTGCGCGGCGCCGCGCAGCCGATCTCGAGAGGGAGGCAGGCTGCCGACACAAAGTGGAACTTTGTCCCTGTCCGATTTTACTTCTGTCGCGTTGGCTGATGCTCCCCGCCGCGCAATGGCAGTGCTTTGCTGTCCGTCAAGCCTTGCCTGGGGCGGGTCTTGGGGTATTGAAATTCCCCTTCCACTTAGCTTCAGGCTCAGCCCGTTACCGGTCACGCAGCTGCTTGGTAAGTAGTTCTTGTTATTTTCCTCGTGTGGGGTGCCGGTCTCTCTGTTGGTCGTCACTTCGTGGGGGTCAGTCTTATCGCCTATTCCTTCGGCTGCTCGCTTATTTCAGTCACTCGAGTAGGGGAGGAAGGGTCTGGGAGTCGTCGTGGGCATCGTCTAGACTCGGTCAAGGCCCTGTGCTTGAACTTGAAGTCTAGGAGCCGTGCTGGAGTCCTCGCCAGGGATACAGGGACATCAAGCGCACGCCCAGCGACTGCCCTGTCTAGATAATTGGCTGGATACTCATTCTCGGCCTAGCCACCTCAGGTCCAAACCTAGCGCGAGCTGTGTGGTGTTCCACCGCGTCGCCTGGCTTTGGCAAAGCGTCATGTCGCTCCGGGGGTCGTGCTTTTTGGTGTGTTCTTGAGTTTGTCGTCGCACTCAATGCAGCCACGCACGGGGCAGGGCTGCTCAGTTTTTTTTGTTAGTTTTCTTTTCATGTGTTGAAAAGAAACTGAAAGGGGCCCGTGCTGTTATTTGGCTGACAGAAAAAACTGCCCTTCTGCCGCAATTGCGCAGCCGTTGCATGCGTACCGTGCGCCAATGGTTGGAAAGCGCGCGCTGCTCTCCCTATCTTGTCGTGGCTGGCCCAACATCTGCCTTCCATATGCTTAAATCGAAGGGGACTGGCCGTAGCTGTCTGATGATCTTGCTCTTTGGTGCTCGCAAAAGTTACCACAGTGTCTTTTATTGTTCGCATGCTGTTTTTCCTGCTGGTGCGTCGGATGTGGTGTCTGACGTGCTTGAGGGTGTAGCAAAGGCCGTTTCCTTGGATGCCTGGCAGACGTTTGCAGTAATGGCAGAGGGATGGATGGTCGAGCTATTGATGGCGTGGTCCTTCCCTGAAAGCTCAGGTATTACCTAGATACTTGCACCACAGCTATGCATTAGCAGTGGGGCTGATTGTTTGTACCTAACAAAGGTGCAGACGCCAGAAAGCAAAGTGTTCCTGCTAATCTTCTATCTATCTTGGTGGAGGATGCGACGCGGATAGGGATGCGGACTGAAACAAACCATGGGCCGCGTCACTTTTTGCACCTTTCAGCGCAGACCACCTGCCGGCCCCCTTCTCTTGTATTTTTTATATGAAAAGCCAAGGCGTAGCCGACGGCCACCAGTTGGCGGACCCGTTGCCACCAGGGGGGGGTCTGCTTATGCGATCGAAAAACATAAGGACTACTTCTGAGGGAACGCACTGACGCCCCTGCGGCTAGTGCGCCGCCCGCAATTGGTTTCCGCCGTCGGCCTTATTGGGCACCGTGTGGCGCTCTCGTTGCTTGGGTGCGAGCTGATGTGACTTCGGAGGCCGAACAGTAGCACGAATTCACACGCGGCTCAGAGCCTGCCAGAAGAGGCCGACATGACGCCGCTGGAATCAGCGAGGAGAGGCGTTCTGTGCGGCGGCTTTTGTTTTGTGTGTGCGATGTTGCTGTACCATAAACGCTGCTCTTAGCTTTTTCACCTTTGGCGCGAAAAATGAACTCGGCGGAGGCAGGTCTATCCTAGGATGGTAGCCTGGGCCACTCGGCTCTTGAAGTCACATCTAGGACAAGAGCAAGACACGCCAGCAACGTCTAGCGCAGGTGGGTGCCCGTGCTCCGTCTGGGTAGTCTTGTGTCTCCTTTTCTCACGTGTGACACCAAGTCGGCTGATGCGCGCCAGGCTCTGTGCGTTGGTTGAAGGCGTGGCAGCTTGTAAGATTTAGAAGCTTGCTGGCCCCGTTCTCGCTCTCCTCTGTTGTGCTGTGTGAAGATGGTGGGCCCCCTTCGCTGTTGTTTGTTCTTGGCTTGAGAGAGTTTGCGGACGCTCTTTGAATTGGAGGGACGCGCCCAAGGGTGTCGCAAAGCCTCAAAACGAGGGCCAGCCGCCCGCGGCTGCGTGGGGTGTACCACTGGGGAAAACAACCATCACAAGGACGCACGGCGGGCGGCTGTTGCTGGTATAGCGCCTCGCACTTGCTTGAATAGCAGCGGGCACTCACTGGCGTATTTCTATAGTAGGGTAGCTTATAGACGGTGGGGAGGTGGGCACGCTGGGCCGCTGGGCGGCCACGGTTGGCTGCCCTTTGGCACACATGAGGGGCACGGCGGGCGCACGCCGGGCGCGTATGGCTTTACCCCGCTGCCCCCGTCAATCTATCTACCTGGCCGCAGACGGCCGGGGGCTGCGTGGCGCTGCGTTCTTGTGTGGGGTGGCCGCGTTCTCGCTGCTCGCTATGCTTCGCTGCGATATACAGTGCCGCCGGGGTGTGTAGAGTGCGGCGCAGCGCTGCAGTGTGCAGTGCTCCGCTGCAGTGTGGTGCGCGGCGCTGCTGGAGGGCATCCCTAGGGTTTAGGGTTTAGGGCCAGTGAGTGGGATCCCTGAGTCGTAAGTTAGTAGGCACGCAGCTTGCTGCGGGTCCAAGATACGTGCTTGCGCTTACAATTCCAGGGGGATAGTTAGAAAAAGGGGTGCCTGAAAGGCGCCCTAGTTTTTGACCTCTGGCCCCATGGTGGGCGCACGCCGCACGGTGGGCGAAGTATTTGGCAGAAGACGCACTTTGGGGCCGCCCAGCGTGCCAACGGTGCCCACCGATCCAATTTTGGAGAACGAGGAAACTTTTCTGCCATAGATACGTAGCTGCGTAGCTGCTCTAGCATGTTCGGCGCGCCTAATTGTCACCGGGGCTGGCTTTTCTTGCTGTATTCAACTTCCTTAAGGAGGTGGGGGTGACCGCGACGGGCGTTTGCAGCTGGCTGATGAAAACAACCGACGGACGCGGCGAGCCCGAGCCAAGGGCCTCTTAGTCGCTTGGCCGATTTGGGCCCGCCTCTAAGGCCATTCTTATTGAAAGGTTTACGTACGCAATACCAATAGACTCTCCTCCATAATTACCGCTGCGCCACAATCAACGCACCTACGCAGGTCAACCTCTGGCGGGTGAAGGTGTCAGTGAGTCGTCCTTTCTTGCTAAGACGGGACACGAAATCAAGCTGGCAAGTAACGGACTTCAGGAGTTGCTTCTGGAGGCTTTCTTTAAACTACTTGACGATGCGGACGTGAAAAAAGCGCTTAGCAACGAGACCGTGGAGGCCATAAAAAACGCAGGGGCGGAGGGCATGAGTAAACTGAAGCAGGTACTGAGTAGTAATACAGGCTTCCTCTGCTCCTTACGCTGTTCCGGACCACTAGCCCTGGTCTTCGTTTTTGATGTGTAGCATCGCGTATGGCTTGATATATTTCAGATGCGAAATCGCAATTGATGTGAAAGTCCCGTGGGCAACCCGACGTAAGGGAGCCCGTCACGCATGCGCAGCCACAGAAGAACATCCTACAGGCCCGTAGCAAGAGTAGCCTTCGAGGGGGGTGGGAGGCATTAAAAAGCCTGGCAAAGCTGCAGCAGCCCACAAGGGGGTGGAAGCTGTGCAAGCGCTCGTGAGAGTTTTCTGCGCATTTTTTGGCCCGCGGCATTTGTTCCTTTTAGTTTTGTGCCTCGGGGCTGATTGAAGCGGGGCCGCCGCCGCCGCCGCTGCCCTTTGTTCTTGTCTCGCTCGATCGCTGGGCGCTTCATTTTGCCGGGGGGGTGCTTCTCTCTTTAGGCTTTTCTGGCGTTTCTCGGTGCTGTCGCCTTGCTGCGTGGCTTGCTGCACGGGGTTCTCACGTGAATGCGCGTCGCCGCATTGTCGTTGTGTCTGTGGTGCATTCTCAGCGGGGGGCTGCCCCTTGCGGGCGTGCGCTGCTTGGGCGCTCCATCGGTTGTCGCCCCCCTCTGGTGTACTTGCAGTGGGCATGGGATTCTGTAGCGGCTTCTCGGGTCGTTCGCTCAAGATGGTGGCGGCGGCGGTGCTAGTAGTCGTGGCTAAATGCCCACGCCGCCACGCGTGCTTGCTTGTGTCCGTACGTAGACGAGCTTCGTGCGCACTCGCGGCGCCGCTTCTCTCCCCCAGTCCTTCTTCTTGCGCTATCTCCCGCCAGCGTTGGCGCACTCCCTAACGACCTGACTGTCGCATGGTCTCACTGCGTGCTTTCGCACTTCATCCCCAGGCGGTGATCGGCCCCCCCTTTTTTCTGGGTGGTTTCGTTCCGTTCACTAGGTGGTCCCGCCCGTCGGGGTGATAGCAGTTCAGTTCGACTTGGCTGCCGCGGGCGCGGAAAGTGGATCATCCTGGGGCACTTGGCGGCTTCGATTAGCACTCACGCCGCTATCTTTCAACACTATTGATTTCGACGCGCTTTGTTATTTCAGAGTGACCACTGCAACACGCATCCACTTTTGGGCTTTTATTTTCGGCACCTTCAATCATGCTGCCATTGTGCGACGGGCTGGAGGCATCCAGGCCTAACTTTTTTATTTTATTGCCTCTATTAAATTTTGCCAGACTTTGTTTTTTCAGCTTCAATTTACTGTGGCCTCTTTCGTGGTAGTTCTTATCAATTTCGATAAACGGAAAGCGAAGCCGTGTGGGGGGTGGCTGCTCCCGCCCCTCCCGGTGCAGAGTGTGGCCGCAACTAGCCGGCATTAGCCGCTGCTCCCAACCCGTCAACAGGTTGCGGGGAATGTTTTTAACACGGCGAGACGGAGAGACACTGCTGGAAGGACGGGAACAGGGTCAGGGGCAGCTACTTTGCTGGAAACCGGGTCAGAGGCAGCTGACTTGCCGGAAACAGGGTCAGGGGCAGCTAACTTGCCGGAAACAGGGTCAGAGGCAGCTAACTTGCCGGAAACAGGGTTAGAGGCAGCTAACTTGCCGGAAACAGGGTCAGAGGCAGCTAACTTGCCGGGAACAGGGTCAGACACAGCTGCCGCCGCTGGCTCATGTGACTGTCAGCCTGAGCATGAAGGCGATGCGAAGTCTGTAATCAGTGAGCCGGACGCGCCTGGGCCTGAAGTTTCGGAAAGTGGAGCCGGTGCTGCGAAGCTTGTAACCAGTCCTAAGCAGTTGCCGGACACGGACACGCCTGAAGAACGGGAAGAAGGTGAAGCCAATGGGGAGTCTGGAACCCGTGCGCAGTCGTCGAAAGCGTCTGAAGGAAGTCAAGGTCCGAGAGGTCAAGCCGGTGGTGCGGGGTCTGGAATCAATAAGGAGTTGTCGGACACGCTTCCGCTTGAAGAACCGGAAAGAATTAAAGCCAATGGGGAGTCTGCAACCGATCATGCGCAGGATTTGCGGGACGCGCGTAAAAGTTCGCGAAAAGAGGGAGGCGAAGCGGAAGCGCCTGAAAAAACTCAAGGTCCAGGAGATGAAGCCGATGGTGCGGGGTCTGGAATCAATAAGGAGTTGTCGGACACGCTTGAAGATTCGGAAAAGCTGATGGAGGAGATACTCAAGGATTTGCAAAAAGAGGCGGGGCTGGCGCGGGACGCTCGCCCGACCGCCTTCCTTGGGCTCCACTACATGCAGGCTGCGCAAGCACACGACTTCAACGTCAACCACGGCATCTTGACTACGGCGACGACGCTGGAAGGCCACTACGACGACGTGGACGAGAGTGAGAAAGCTGCTCGCGGGGCCGATGGGGGTGCACTTGTGGTGGTGCATGGCCTGCCGCCCGCCACCCCTGCTCAGGCGTTCTTGGAGCGGCATGGACTTCTTAGTTCATGGCTGAAATCGGTTTTACACGTCGGCCAGCAGGTAGCAGGTGCAGCTCTAGGCGTCGGTGGCTCCTTTCCGGTCAACGACAATATAGGTACGGGCGCGCATGTAGTATAGCAGGAAATCGTCACGAGTGATAGTTCATGTCGTCAATCGTCCACGAGGGTATAGTAGAATCAACATTAGAAGACCACGTATAGGGGCATAGAGGGTGCACGACATACAGATACAGTTGGCCACGAGGCGCGTGGCAGTCTGTAGTTCTCTACCAACATTTGTGAACACTGAACTTCTAACCAAGAAGCTGCTGAGGGGCTTTTCAAAAAAGTCTGCGGGAAATTGGGCACGATGGGAGAATTCTTACGACAGGTTGTTGTGATTATATTATATTATATTTGTGCCAGGCTTCTTCACTATTCCAGCGTAGCTGTGATCCCATGTCCAACCATGTACTCTTACTTCGTTCAGAATCAGCTTGTTACCAAAGCAGTGCATACTGTTATTTATTACTTAGTCTCCCTCCTGCTTCTATCAACGTGCTGTTACTTGTCTGCAAAAGTGTATCAGCATATAAATGACAAGAAATCGTAGTTGTGTCTAATATTAGTGGCGACGTATCTGAAATCAGCAGGCAACCATCTTCAGTCTGTCCTGCTCAACGGTTTCTTGGGCAGCCTACTCGGCGTTTTTTCGCGGCACATGGTGGGCCTGTTCCTGCACTCTTTTCCTGGCGTGGCAGCGCTCACTGCCGCCCGGCCGGTGATCAGTATTTTTCTCGGAAGGCTGTTGGAATCCGTCGTGGACATGGCTCACCTCGGAAATAAGATCGCGCCCTTGCTCTTCTCAGTGCTGGAGAAAATGGTGAAGGCGCAGGACTTCCTAGGCAGCCTTGTTTTCGCACCGGCTGATATCGATAAGCTCTGGGATGAGATTAAGGAGAACTTTAACCAGCATGGCGACAAAACCGACCCGGCTAAGAACGGCGGGCACCTCTCGTTCTTTGGCGTTAGCTCCTCTTCGTTTCTTACACTTAAGGGTTTCCAAATTACACATTCCACTACCATCCTTGGCCTCTTTCCTAGTTGAGAAAAGCTAAGGATGTTCTGAGGAGTGCAATGCTGCATCAGTCTCTAATGGAGGAAGCTCTCCGGAGAGTTCAAGCGCGTTCGGGGCCGGTACCATCTTTTACACCCCATGTCTCATCAAGGATAAGGTCGCGTGAGCCTGAAGATAAGTATTATAAATATGATGTGGCCATTACTTTTACTCGCGTCGCGATCGGTACTGAAACTCAATCACGCAGCATAAGTTGTCACGGGGTTCATCAAGAATGAATGGGTGAGTAAAGAAGTATTAGTATGTGCTTCTACTGTACTAGTAATACATATGAAGGACTCGCCCAGCAACACAACAAAAATGTTGACTTGAGTAGTCTTTTAGTGCTGAGCCCGATAGAGATAGTACTTCTACTGACGATCATGAAACGCTGTTTGCCGTTAATGTTAGGTGGAGGTGGTGGGAGGCGGGTAATAAATTCATCTGCGTCTCCATCATCTTCATTCGAAACGCCTTGGACATCATTTTCCTGCGTGTCTGTGACACGACGACGGAATAGCCTTGCGACTACCCATTGATCTAACACAGCTATTAAGAATTTGCTCATGAAGACGCATCCTCATGAAGGCTGTGCCTGGCTATTTTCCAGCGGACTTTTTTTAGAAATGAAGATATACAACTGGAAAAGGCGCCAGGCAGGGACACTTGCGGCGATGCTACTTTTGTACTACTGGCCGCTCTAAATCTGGCGCCAACACAAAGGGGGCGAGAAAATACCTGCGTGGGGTATCGCTCTCGACCAGACCGGACGAAGGCCAAACTTGGCTAACACCACGTCGCGCGGCTTCGATTTCTGACGGGTCAACATTGCAGCGTGGCACGAATGGAACCACGACGATGCGATATGCAGAGGCAGACTCCTCCTTGAATGTCATGGGTGGGGTGGAGAAGGTGATGAAAAGAAGAGCAACCTCGACTGGTGGCCCAAACACTACAAGCAGCACGTATTCCAATTCTACAACGTCAATTCGTGGCCCTGCAGAAACGACGAGTCGCGCTCTCGTCATGGCGTCGAGCCGTGCTCTCGTTCCGACGGCGTCCTCACTGGTGGGACACGACAGCTTTTCCCCGTTTTTATGAAGCTAACTCAGTCTTGTGAATTTGATTTCCATCGCTCCGTACTTTCGCAAGACCCAGACACGTTTTTGAGCATTCGCACCACCAACAGTTTTGGGATTACGTAAAGTTGTAAAGTTGTATGGGGGTGGTAGTTGTATTTGACCAGGAGCAGAGCAACTACTTAGGGAAAAGGCAAATTACAATTAGGTACATGACATAGAACTAGAAGATGTGAAGACCGGGAAGATGTGGCAAGTTTCCGTGTCAATAATTGCGCTGAAAACTCTTGTGGGGGGAATAGAGAAGGCCTATTAGTTCTAGCACCACGAACGCTGGCTGGCAGACGCAGTAGCGATGCTATTTCTACATCCGTGCCCACCTGTTATAAAATATACAGCATCTTCCCACATATAAGCACGTAGTAGAAGAAGAAGGAAAAAGTAGACTTTACTTGTTACTAGCAACTTTGATCGTGATCTTTATCTGATAGTTGCTTTCATGCTGAAGGAGCAGCATCAGTCCGATGCCGGCAACTTCGTTTCTGGGTGTGCAGCGTAAATCGATCTTCGGTTCCTTTCAGGATCTCCGGGACAGCCTCCAGGGGGAGCTTATGGCGCCGTTCACTAATCGCAAATTGCTCGGGCACTTTATCGAGAGCTGCAAGGAAAAGCTGCGCGAAATGTGGAAAACCTCGCTGAACGATCTCGAACATTTCTTCCTCGTTACGAAATCTCACGTAAATTCGCACACTTCATTTAGATTTATTTGAATGGTTTAAGAGTGGGGGTGCATCAGTACTAATTCTTGTTCTTGTTGACACAGTTGCTCAATAATTATACAGCTTTTATTTACGTGAAAGGAAAAAGTGCACTCACACTCAAGAAATTGCCTAGCATTCAAGTAGAAAAGTGGGCACTTTCTTGAGTGTGAGTGCGCTTCTTCCTTTCTTCATATTTTGCGTCACAGAATAGTGCAACATCGATGGGCGTGCTACCTTTCTTGTTTGGCTCATCTGCTGTCTGGGACTGCACGTAACTGATTCCTTGGCAAATAAATGAGAGGGCTTCTTTGCTAGACTTCAGCGCCCGCTAGCTCTCCCCCCACTAGGGTCCTCCACCTCCTTCAGGCATTTCTTCCGCCAAGATGCGCCCCCCCCCCGCTCCTGTTGCACCAGATCGCGGCGCTTCCCCGGCGGAGTTGATCCTTGGCGGAGGAGCTGGAACAGACGCGCCGCGGAATTTGACAGAGGAAGCGGCGTTTGAGGCGTGTCAGAGTGTGCCTGCTTCAGAATGTGGCGCAGGCGTTTGGATTAGGCGGGGCCCTGCGTGCGGCGCCTTGCTTTTGGTCTCGGTCTTCGTCCGGGGTGGAGACCTTGGGCGGGTTTGAAGCTTGTGGCCTGTAGCTTGAAGCCTGTGGCCGCTATCAGTGTGAAGCCTTGGGCCTCGGCGAGGCCCTAGTCTTACAGCTTCGGGCTTGGCGCATTGAGTTTGGAGCTTTTCCCAGATGGAGACTTTGGGCGAGTTTGAAGCTTTTGGGTTGCAGCTTGAAGCCCGTGGCCGCTTTCAGTGTGGTTGAAGCTTGGGGCCCCGGCGAGGCTCTAGGCCTGAAGCTTCGGGCTTGATTTTGAGGCATTGGAATTGTAAGCTGACGCTTTTGGTTCGGCGTGTTGGGCTTGAAGGTTTGGGGCTGAGGTCTTGAGCCTGCAGACTTGGTTCAGAGGTCTTGGCCCTGAAGTCTTGGGCCCGGGGCGTTGGAGATCTGGGGTGCTGGGCTTCAGGGGTTGGGCTTGAAGTCTTGGGCCTGATTTGGGGACTTTGGCTGGCGGTTGTCCTTGGATGGATTGGGAGGCTTTGGGCTTGCGTTCTAGAAATTGAAGCATTTGGAGCCAAATTTGAAAGGCTAGGAACTTCCTGGTGGCTGTATGTGTTGACATCTGTTTGGGCATGTTCTGACGCTGTTGAGAAGTGAGGGGAACGCATGCAAAGCATGCACGAAGGAGGGCGCTGCCGTTTGAGTGTTTTCCAATCTGTTGAGAGATCTACAACAAACACGAAGGGCGCGGAGAGTGATCCCGAGCGGATTACACTGGGCAGCGTGGTGGCTGCATTAATATGAAGAGCCGCCTTCGCGGTCTTTCTTGACAGGGTTAGGCGTCTCTCTACTCTACACCGGCGCGACGTAGTTTCTGGACCTTAGTTGAAGCGCGTGCTGCTTTTCTCTCGTTTGTTATCGGTTCTACCGGTGCAGCAGTTTGATAGGTCAAAAACTTTGCTGCTTTTGCGCAAATTAGCGGACAGGCCTAGTACTCTACCGCGTAGAACTTCACCCGAATCGCCTGCGGTCGCGATTGGCTACACATCGACCACGGGCAGCGTGCGGGCCGGACTGGCGACACTGGGTGAATGACATGCCGCGCCTAAAAGCTCACACCATCCACCCACGCCCGAGGGCTCAGAGCCGCGCCTGAGGGCCCATGAGTTCGCAAGGCCATGGCTAGGCTTTTAGGCTCTTGGTTTTTCTGTGTGGGTGTTTTTGGTTCAGGTGTTTCTGGTTCATCCGATGTCTCTGGCTTTGGTGTTTTTGGTTCAAGCGCTTCCGGCTCAGATGTTTTTGGTTCGGAGGTTGGCGGGGTCGTTGTTTATTTTTTTTAGCCCTTTCATATTCTTTAGCCCTCTATATCCTAGACCAGGTCCTCTGCCTCCTCCATCCTACTTAGCGCTGTGGGTCGCTGGTCCGTCTCGCCAATCCCCTAGCCAGTAGAAGTGAGTGTTCTACTTTTCGCTTCTATGATAGACTATACTCACTAAATAAAGTAAATGTAGCCGTATGCGTATCTACCGTAATATGCTCAGCAGCATGCTGCTCTTCTAATTTCGACGGCGTCCTTGCCGGTATTTTGTCTCTCGTGGTGAATGCGCTTACTCGCATCATCACTGCAGCCATCGTTAGTGTCGCGCCTTCCGGTCTCACAGAAATCGTCACAGTCGTGTTGCCGGAGGCGTTGTGGAAGGTCCTTCATTCGCAAAAGAAGTCTATTGGAGAGCGGGCGACCTTATGTTGGTGGCTATATTGGCGTAGGAGAGTGAGCACATTTTCAACAAGTAGACACTCTCAGCAAGTATTGAGACGTAAAAATCTGGAGAGGTTTATACAGGCTGTTGCGGTGGACGTTGCTGCGATCGCAGTGGCGCGCTTCTTCTATCTTCAAAAATGAGCTGAAAAACATGGTTCGAAAAATGGCTCGACTCCTTTTGTCGGTTTTTCGAATCATTTTTGTCAACTATTCGCGATCAGAAATTTAATAGACAGCACTAAGACCGATAACAGAGCACTCACACTGAGGGTGAACGTGTTATAGATAAGCTATTGATCTGAATACCAAGAAGATAAGGATCATGGCCACAAATTGCCCACAAATTCACGCTCATCGGATTGAATGGCGAGCGTGCATCCCTACATGAGGACCCTAAAAACCCCCTTCCACCTTCATTTTCTGCAGCGTTTACAGAGTCGGGAATCCTGTTGAGCACCGCAGCAGAGCTGCAGGACCACATTTTTGGCGAGCACGGGGTCGGCAACATTGACGGGTGGGTAGGCAAAGAAAGCGAGATGTTTATGCGTTGCGACTTTTCGCTGTAGCTTTTTCTTTATAACACTCATCGTTGGTTCGGAGATCCCGCGATGCTTCGGGGATCGTTCGTAGTCCCTATCTGCAATAAGAAGAATTGCAATACTCAAGTTGTAAGATACTGATCCTGGGTCTTCAAATGTCTAGTAGTTGCGCTACTTTATCAAAGTGATAGGTCCTCCTTACTACTTCTAGGCGCTTCGTCGTATTTTACCACTTTTTTGTTTCCGGAACCCGGACAACTAGAACTAGGCCAGTATGATCTTCTGTCAACATTTTGGAAATATACACACAGTTTTTCTATCTATCAGACATACTTGGAAAGAGGGCGCCACACTCTAAGAATTTGGAATTCTTCAACGAAAAAATAGTCGAGAGGCTGAGGACTCTGGTGGTCGGCGTTGATCAAGCCGAAGAAAAGCGGGACTCCATGACTTCGCAAGCGCCCTCCCATGAAGATGAACCGGCACCAGAGGAGGAGGTGGATGGCGATGGCTCGCAGAATCCGGTAGACGTGTTGTCGGCGGGAGTGGGGAAGATGAGCGAGCTGTTCCGGTTGTAAAGTTTCCTCGGGGCTGGGAGGGTTTGGGATCTAAAGTTTCGTCTTGATCGACATCGGGTCGCCCAGGTCGTGACGCAGGGGCGCTTAGGGTGGACTCATTTGATCTGAAAAAGAAGGTAGGGAAGCCGCTGAAAGGCTTAAAGAGGGAGTAGATGCTGGCGGCGTGTTAAGTTTATCAAAACGCATGGAAGAAAGAGCGAGCGCGAAGAGCGCGCTTCAATAGGTGTTAGACCTATCGAGTTTTCTTCGGGCTTTCTTTCAGATTCAGGCACTGCGCCGCGAAGTATCTTTAGGCGTGCGCTACGCGCGGCGCGCCTTTCGATCGGAGTGCTTGCGGGGTGTGTGGCGTTTGATCCCTCACACCTAGGCCCGCCTTGGTGCGTAAATTTGGGCCTGGCGCATTCTCCTCGCCCGCGGTCTTGTCTTCTGAGCCATCTAAACACTCGGGCCGCCGCTCAGTAGTGTAAAAGCGTGGCAGCCCAACGGCCCGCGCGGGTTGTTATAGTTTCACTAGAACTAGACGATCACGGTGAAACGAGTAATAAAAAGCCACCTATGTGTGTGATAGGCCTCTCGTTTTTCCGGTACTGCGTCGCGAAGTATCTTAAGACTTGCGTCGCGGCGCGTCTTTCGATCGGAGTGCTTGCGGGGTGTGTGGCGTTTGATCCCTCACACCTGGGCCCGCCTTGGTGCATAAAATGGGGCCCGGCGCATTCTCCTCGCGCGCAGTCTTGTCCTATGGTCCATCTAGCGACACAAATTGAAGCCAAGTAAATAAAGCGTGGCGGCCCAACGGCTCGCGCAGAGTATTTCGCTCGCGTTAGGTGATCACGATGAAGCAAGAAAAAGACAATACTTGAGACAACACTTTCAAAAAGCGTAGCCCACTTGTTGGAGCCTACGCAGATCTTCTGCGAGCATGAGTGAGTGTGTGAATGAATGGCAGGCCAGACAAAATACCTGCCGCGGAGCGCTGCCGCTGTGACGAATCGACGGCCGCAGAATATTAGCGGAGTGAGAATCTTGTAGAAAGTAAAAGACGGTAGCGTCGCGCCAGTTTGTTGGTGCGGTTTCCTTCTGCTTCTGGTGGTGTCGCCTCTTTCTGCCCCGACTGTTTTTGTTGTGTCTTTCTGCCCCGACTGTTTTTGCTGTGTCTTTCTGCCTCTGTTGTTGTTGTTGTTGTTGTTGTTGTGGTGCCTCTCTGCCTCTGTTGTTGTTGCTGTTGTCGTGTCTTTCTGCGCCTGTCGTTGTAGTTGTTGCGTGTGTCTTTCTGCCTCTGTTGTCGCGGTCGTTCTGCCTCTGTTGCCGTTGTCTTTCTGCCTCTGTTGCCGTTGTCTTTCTGCCTCTGTTGCCGTTGTCCTTCTGCCTCGGTTGCCATTGTCTTTCTGCCTCTGTTGTCTCTATGTCTTCCTGCCCGTGTTGTTGTTGTGTCCTTCTGCTTCTGTTGTTGTTTCTGTTGTTGCTGTTGTTGTGTCTTTCTCCTTGTCGTTGTTGGTGGTGTGCTGTGCTTCGTTTTTTTTTGGTGTGCTTTGCTCTATTGGTGTGTTGTTCCTTGTCTTTTTGGTGTTCTGTGCCTTGTTTCTTCGCGCGCCCGCTGTGCTTTGTTTCTTTTTTTCGTGTCTGGTGCCTTGTTGTTTTTTTTGCGTGAAGAGCAAAGTGTGAATCAAAAGAATTCCCGATTTATTATTCAGGGGTGCAGCTGCAGGACGTCCGATCTTGTGGTTTTGTTCACATCGATCTTATCGCGTGTTCCAGTACAACTCCAAATACTTTTTCTTGATATAATTGACCAACGCTCGGACTCATTTGTAGATGTATGGATCTTTCGAAGCTCGCCTGTGGTGTCTAAAGTCCGCACTCGAGTCAATGTAGATCCAAGATCAAGGTGTGCTGTTGGGTGGCTCGTTTTCGTGTCTGTCGAAAGCTTGTCAATTTAAATAGCCTACAATTCATCCTGTTTCGAGGAGCAGATGAAGAAAGAATCAAGATCATGCTGTAGGGAACAAGAAGAGAGTGAGCGCATTCTTTTGGCGTGGGTATCGGTATCCCGACATCTTCTAAAATACCCCAGAGTTCTGCTCTCGTAGTACAAATGATGATTTGTGAAACCATAGAATACTTGCACTGAGTTCCAGTGACGAGAAACCTGAACATGCACCACCAGTCTGAACAAAAACAAGATCCTGGAGAGGCGTCTGCCTCTTCTACGAAAGTTTGAATTTAATTTCTAAAACTCGGTCTAAGTTTGGAGAAGTTTTCTTCTTTTTCCAACCACGTGATGATTTGTCGAACCATAGAATACTTGCACTGAAGCCAGTGACGAGAAACTTCACATGCACCACCAGTCTGACGGAATTTTTTTCAGCGGATCACTTGCCTTGCTCCTCATACGCGACCGTTCAACATGCGATGAGACAATTCAACTGAATTTGATCAGGTCTGAGTTGTTGAAAAAGATCCCGTCTTAGTTTAGGGAGAATTCAACTTTGATCAGGTCTCGGTTGTAGAAAAAGATCCCGTCTTAGTTTCCTGAGAATTCAACTGAATTTGATCAGGTCTAGGCTGTAGAAATAGATTCCATCTTAGTTTAGGGAGAATTCAACTGAATTTGATCAGGTCTAGGCTGTAGAAGTAGATCCCATCTTAGTTTAGGGAAAATTCAACTGAATTTGATCAGGTCTCGGTTGTAGAAAAAGATCCCGTCTTAGTTTAGGGAGAATTCAACTGAATTTGATCAGGTCTAGGCTGTAGAAGTAGATCCCATCTTAGGGAGGTCTGCAAGATCTAAAGATGGGGTTCTGCAAGATCTAAAGATGGGGTTCTGCAAGATCTAAAGATGGGGTTCTGCAAGATCTAAAGATGGGGTTCTGCAAGATCTAAAGATGGGGTTCTGCAAGATCTAAAGATGGGGTTCTGCAAGATCTAAAGATGGGGTTCTGCAAGATCTAAAGGAACACAAATCTCAGGTCCTTTTCTTTAGATTTAGAATTATCTTTGGCGCAGATCTTGGGTCCTGTTCTAGAACAAGCGATGCAACAACCGGATCCCACCTCTAAATGAAAGGCTCTTTTCTAAGTACCTCCGAAGTCAGAGCTTCATTCTCATCCTTGTCTCGGAAGATGGTTCACAAGCATGACTCCTAATCGTCTCTCCTTATACTCCTTGTTATTCATCTCCATCCAACAGGGAAACGAGAGCGTGAATATTTTTTACGTGTGTTTTAACGGTGATCAAACAAGATGGGAAAAGTCCACGGTTCTTTGGCTCGTGCCGGTAAGGTCAAGCGTCAGACCCCGAAGGTCAGCAAGCAGACTGGTATACCTCTATTTGTTGTCCAAATGATGATTTAGATTTTGGATGAAAATGCTGTCTTCATGAAACCTAGCTTCAGACTTGAAATTCTGACTCCAGCTGAAAATTTAGATTTCGGATTCTTGATCAGGATCTCGTAGCATTTGGCGTTTTTTAGATAGCTGCGACGTGACTTTGATTTAGACTTTTGCGTGGACTACACAGTAGCTTCATTTCATCCCAGGAGGAAACACCACCTTCAATATGAACTTCTTCAATCTACTACACTTCGACAGACAAGAAGAAGGCCGCGACTGGCCGATACAAGAAGCGTTTGTTATACGCCAAGCGTTTCGTCAACGTAGTCAAGGGCCCGAACGCTAAGCGATCCCCGAACAGCAACGCCAAGTAAATTCGAGGATTCACGCCTTGAATGCTGGAGCAGCTGGTGGTTCGAAGAGGATATGAGTAGTTGCTTGGGACAGTTCCAAATGCACGATGTTGGGAGCACAAGCGCAATGACGATTTCGGGAGTTTGGAGGTGCGAAGATCTGAGGATGCTGAAAAGAAGCTTAGTGTAAAGAGGATGTTGAAACCAAGCTTGTGCTAAAGCTTCTCGGGGCAAACAACGTGACTCGATCCTAGGCTTCTCTCGTCATTATCGTGTGTGCCACTGCTATTCACCGTAAAACAGCGTTCGCGGCCTCAGTGCCTCGAAAGTAAACCAAGTAAAGCTGGAAAGCGTGCGTGTTCAACACAATGGCGCACGGGAGCTCCAGCGTTTTTACCGATTCTCCGTCTGCCAAATCATGTCCCAGGAGGTGAAGTTGGTTATCTGTTTCAAATGCAGGACTCGGTGAATGAATCTGTTCGTCTTCGCCCGCTGGGGTACTTTATCAGCCAGTGATTACCATCATATGGTTACCATCAATATGAAGTCTGTAGTACTTCATCATATGGTTACCATCAATATGAAGTCTGTGGTACTTCATCATATGGTTACCAACATCAACAAAAATATAGAGTTCTGTCGACGTTTCTGAGTCCAGGATGTTGGTGACGTTGATAGAAGATACACGAGGTCGGAGAGAGATGAGAGACCGCGGATCACGTGTTCCACTTCTTGGAGTATGATTTTTGAATACCAAGAGAGAGAGAGTGACGTGGTTGTGCCATCTACTAGACTTGGACAAGGAATCAAGGAAACTTACCGGCAAAAATCTGTTCCAGAGCATTCCAACACTGCCGGACCCCAGTTCTGTTTCCCAATCTCACTAAATAGTTTTGATGCTTGTCATAGACATAGTGTTGCTGGTTGTAATAAGCACTGTTTGCTTCTCGGACTCCTGTCTTCTACTGCTGTTCCTATAATATATTGGCTAGGTGAGCACATCGCAGGATCTGTTCCCTGTCCTAAAACCATGCCTCTGCTTCATTATCGCAGCATTCCCTGACTCGTTCTGATCAAATTTGACGACCACTTGAGCATAAGTCAACTGTGCAACTTCCTGCTTCTTGTGAATTTTCTTTTCTTGCTATAAGTTTTTTTCTTCCAAAAAAAAAGTTCAGAAAAAAGTACTACTATGTTAATCGAGCATTCGAAATCAGTCAAAATGTCCAAGGCGCCCCCTAACCTGTCGTCTAGCCTGATCCTCGTTAGGGATGCTGAGTTGGAAAAGAGACTAGCTGCAGTGCGAAGTCGGGTGTCGACGACCATGACCGACCTTAACCAGAGTCAAGACAACATCACCCTAGCCTTTGAGAATCAGAAAAAGCTGCCACGCCTTCTGGACGACTTGGAGCAAGTGCATTTCGACAACGAAAATACGTTTAAATTCATTATGGTTTAAAACTCTTCTTGTTCTTGTCTTTTCTCTTACATGATAGGGCTCTCCAACAGTTATGGGTTAGTTTAATGTTGAGAGAGATAGTTGTTGCGCTTGAGGGCGACGGAGAGGGAGAATCGTTACTAGGATAACTCACTTTCGAAATGGAGGGTGAATTTACAGTGGCTAGGGTCTGCAAAGCTCGTAGAAATGAGCTACACTGCGCGCGGGACATCTACCAGATGCAGTAGGGCTTTAGTTCTCCAAATATGTGTTATAAGAATCACAGAGCAGAGCGTTAGTAGGACTTCATAGTCGTTCCTTGAAGGATGATACTGATGTAGCACTAGTACATAGCCAAAGTTCGCCCTTTCATTCTGCAGATGCAGCGCATTCACGACAAGCTGTTTGAGATGGCAATTTTCGGTACTGGAGAGAACTTCGATGGAAATGAAAATGACGTAATGGAGGGCGTAGCGTCAACAGGAGAGGTGGGTCTTGCTGGAACCACCCAGACTACTAGTTCGGCATCAAGCAGTCCTTCATCAGAGATTGTATTGAATCGTGCAGCCCTCTCGTCTTGTCCAATCATCAAGCAAGCAGCTTTGGGTGAGAAAGCTGAGGCTAAGGTCTCAGCAGGTATTAGAAACGGACCACGTGGGCAAGGCTCTTCGTCAAGTAAAAGTGTAGGCTTTGTTGGTGCTGCGCAAGAGGAGGATGAAGAACGGAACAGAGGGACCTCTCCTGCAACCAATGATGGTCGTGAACAGATATGAGCAGCAGAATTTTGTGCACCTTGTCGAATAAGACCAGACCTCGAACCCGCAAAAGTGGAATGCTCAGCCAAGCTCTCTCGCATCATAAACGAACAGCACGCAGCTACGTAGGAGGACTGAGCTTTCGCGTGGTGTCCCTTTTCAGTGGGGAATGGAAAGCTACAGTTTCGGCTCTGTGGTCCGTGACTACTACCGTGATTGGCGATCGCGACACTTTACACTGAACGAGATAAGGAGCCCCTTCTTACTCCCGCCTTTGACTGACGTGCTCATGTTGTTTCATTCGAACAAGTGCGCGTCGTGGTGTTCATTTGCCATCGCCTAGGGACACCTGTTCAGCACGATATCGATATCAGCACTACCTCAAGTACCCACTCGAACTACACGTAGACCATAACTACAACTAGAAGTATCACCTGAAAAATGATTGCAGCTTGGCGAACAAGTACCAGTACGGCCACAGAGCAGGGGAACTTTGCCTGGTGGCCAGTTCGGGAGGCTGTTTCGAAGTTGAAATCGCTCTCAAATTTAGGGCCGGCCTCTGCTAAGAATTCATAGCTCTCGTTGGATATCGATGTGTTTCTGTGGTAAATATATAAATTTCGCCAGCTGGTCTTGGCGTTTTTAATACTGAAACTGGAATCATTATCAAAGCCATGACAAAAACAAAGTCAAAAAATCTGAACGGCAAAAAGCCAGAAATAAAAATGAAATTAAAGACCTTCCACGAAAGGCACTGCTGCTACATCAGGAATCGTTCCGTCATATGTTGTTGAGACAGCTGCTTTTTTGCCGGCTTCTGCTCTCCTAACTCGCTTTCATGAAAGCCAGGCCTCCTCCGTGTTACCTTCCCCACGCTTTTTGAGACTGAACGCCGCAAAGGCACGCAGACAAGGATGCGGCGCAACGAAGGCAGAAAGGTCCACAGTAGCGATGCGACTTCTTCTATAGATATAGTACTGTTACATGATAAAATCAGTCATCTGCTTTCTTATCACCTCTCACGTTGCAACGGGCCAGCGCCTATGCCTCAGCGATGATGAGTAAGAAGGTGCTTCAGCGATGCTGAGCAATCGAACGAAAACGATGCGAGACTTGACGCGTGAGCTAGCCTTGGGTGACTGTGTGCTTGTTGATGAGGGGGCGGGGTCGCCTTGTCAGGCACATGGAAGTTTCGTTTTTGCGAATAGCGGCACGGCCTGTGATCCCTGATTCAGGAGACGAAGCAACAAGTGCTATAACCCCTGATCAGCCGCAGTGCCTACTCCTAGCTGGAAAGTGTCAATTTTTATAGGACTTGTATGTGCGTAAGCGTATGGACTAGGTTCTATGCAGTAGATGTCCGGTCATCTAATGCGCGCGCATGAGAAAGTACAGGATAAAAAGAAGACCAAACGGCATGGAAGAGATTAAGTACGTCCCAGGAGTACTCGCGCTACCTCTTCTATTTCATTTTCAAAATAGTAAAGTGCTCAAGGACTTCTATCGACAAGAAAGCGTGTATGTGTAACTGATGAAAAAGAAAGTAGTGCTGGTAGAAACTTTCATTCCCCGCAGCCGCACAACTGAAAATAAAGGAATGATCATGCGCTAGCATCTGTGGTGCGAACAATCTTCGTTTTCGCTTTGGTTGTCGCAAATACAAATCTGTTTTCCGGGGGAATAGCATGATCGTCCCCAAAGAAAATCTTCTAGACCGCCAGTGTCAGGCTCCAAGCGATGATGCGTGCTAATCTAATCTAGAGGCTCCCCATCCGCCAAGTCCTCCATGTGCATGATAGTGATCCGCTGATACTTCTCAGTGATCCGACCATTCTTCCTTGATCATGTGCCATATCTCTACTTGAAGACGGAGCTTGAATTAATTACTTATGAAAAGCGCTTGGGAGTGCCCGCCTTGGACCTCCTACGAGTAAGCACCGACTGAAGAGAAGTCAAAATGATACTTCTAAGGACGCTGTGTGAAGATGGAGGTCTAATATTTCACGTGCGATGTGTTCTTCTTGAAAGTGATCACTGTAAGAGCAGGATCCCTCATGTTTGGCTGCAGTATCCCAGTGGTGATGTCTTTGTTTGGTGTCTGTGAAATCCGCCGTTTCCTATGCCGAGCCTTTCTGAGCCTGGGACCATGGCCCGCGTCAGTCGCAAGCCGGAAAGCTCCTGAAAATGATGAAGAAACATCGGTCGAAGAAAGATGCCTGCATCTGCTCCCCTTGGCGTAGTGCCACGAGTATGGTTTTCTCTGTTCCACCTCAGAGGTGCTGAAGCAGGTGGAAGCGCAACCACGTGTGGCAAATAAGCCACTTGAGGTTCTTGTTGATCCAAGGACCCACATCAAGTTGGGCATGCTCAACATGATCTAGTCTGACGTCATGAGAAATCAGCTGACGGGTTCACATCGTCGTAAAACCCTGATGCTTTGAGATCCAGGTTCAGGATGGACACCCATAGAAGAGGTCGTTGTGGTTAGTATCTGCGTTTCAGAATGAATGCAGCTCATTCACCTTCTTCGTCTACGAAGGGCAACAAGATCAAGACTCAAGAGTCAGAGTGTGGTGGAGTTGCTGAATTGATCATGATCTCCATCGTTCTGTTCCATCCTAATGCATTAGACTTCCACTTTAGAGCAGCAACTTTTTACGTTCTTCATTGGGCTTTTGTTTTCATCTCGCACGTGAGTACCAACATCTTCGTCGATCGCTCCTGCTACCAAGGCAGTCAACGACCAAGATAACGACTATTACCAAAAAGCAACATCACCACCAAGTAGACCGCGATTTCCTTCAACACAAAGACCATAAAAATCACCATCAAGTTTACTACTTCTACTCTGTCACAATCAACTCTACTTACCAACACTACTCTACCAAAACTCTACCAAAATGCTTTCTCGATCTCGTTCTCTGTTCGCGTCGTCGAAGGTGTACTTCGATGTTTCCATTGGCGGCAACAAGGCAGGTCGAATCCTGTTCGAACTCTTCAACGATACTTACGGCTCAAAAACTTCATTTGTCACCACTGAGTGAGAGTGGGGCGGGGTCAGACCATTTCATTCGTCACTACTGTGGTCACTATTGAGTGACAGTGGGGGGTCATGGACCCATCACCACTTTTTCAGTACGCTTGCATTGGGTGGGGACACCACTGAGAGTGGGGGGTCACGGACCCACTTTTACTGAGAGTCGAGGTGGGCTCACTGCTAGTAGTTGGGGTCACTGACATGGTAGAAGAGAACGCGTGCTGGCAGAACAGGGAAAAGCAAGGGTCGAGGTGAGAGCTCCTGCGTAGGGAGTCTCTCTTGTCGCCTCCTGTAGTCTTTCTTGTCGCCCGTCAGAATGGAATCAGTCTCTAAGATACAGTTCCAAAAACAGCAGAAAATTTTCGCGCACTCTGCACCGGGACCAAGGTTATGCTACTTCAAATCTGATATTATTATTGTAGCATGGAGCAGCTTCTTAGCACACCAGCTGCTGAAAATACGAGCTCAGCTTCAGTAGAGCAGCCCAGCTTTGTCCAGTTCGCGACACTAGTTTTCCACAACAGCTACTTGTTGAACTTTATAATTGAAAATATCCGGTGCAAAATTCTTATTTATAGTACATGGAAGCTGCTTAGCCTAGTCCGCTTTGTTGAGAATCTACTGTAGACTGTCTTTAGACTCATCTTCTAGCTCACGATCACGAATAATTCAAATTTGAATTGGTAGAACTAGAAGTACAACACCTGCTCCTACTCCTACACTACTTCTTCTTCTAATGGTAGTATGGGTCGTAGCGGAGTGCCATTGCACTACAAGGGGTCCGCGTTTCATCGTGTGATTCCAAGATTCATGCTGCAAGGAGGTGACTTCACTTAAGGCCTTTTTTTTTAGGAATGTTGTAAAAAAAATATCTATATGTGCTGCAGCTGTTCTACCATCAGGAGCATGCGAAGTTTAGGAAAATAAGAACCCAGTCTTTACTGTGTACTTGTATCTATCCCTCAATCTTGGATTGAGGGATAGATACAAGTAGTAGATGACTACTGGTCTTGCTAATTTGCCACCGGAGACGGTCGAGGTGGAGAGTCCATCTACGGACGAACCTTCCCGGATGAAAACTTTATGCTTTATAAACGAATGAATGTTGAGTGTCAATAAATGCTCCCCATAGGAGGTACCACGTAACTGAGTGGCCCCATACAAACACTTGCATTGCTTGGTTAAACGAGGCGCCATGACGTGGCAGCGTGCTATTGTGCTTGTAGCTGGTCACGTTTTGTACTTGTTCTAGGTCGTCGTGGAGGAGGATATTGTATGGTGCACGTCTATAATCATGATCATCATACAACGTCGAAACAATCATCATGCAACGAGTCGTGCATGGTTGAGGAGGTATTCATCTATATGTAGTGTGTCGTTTTATGCCATCATGATGCTGCATTTTTACGCACGAAATGAGAATCAGAGCACAAAGAGTCACTCTCTAGTACTCCAAGAATATTCCTTCACATTTCTCGTGTGCATACGCCTATTTCTCCTCTTCATATTCGTCGCGCACAAGCACAACGTTCCCGGGCTGCTGAGCATGGCGAATGCAGGACCTAACACGAACGGGTCTCAATTTATGCTTGACGACTAGTCTTCCAAATTTACTAGTAGTAGAAGAGGTCGTATTGAAGTGGTTTTGAGTTCACGTTGTTACCTCAAGTAGGTTATACTGCATTAAAGATAAAAAAGGCTCCTCTTTTTACAACTCAACATAATTGTCATTTTCTTTCAGTGAGTCGTTTAAAAACAGAACTGGTTTTATTTGGTGATATCATGAGGACGAGGAGGGTGATCGTCTAATGCTTTCTTTATTACGACAGTCCCGACGCCGCATCTAGATGGGAAGCACACCGTTTTCGGTCGAGTAATTGAAGGCATGAACATTTAAGGAAAAACACTGCAACCAAATTGAATACAGCAGTTAAGAAGGATTAGTAGGTCATTTAATCCACTATCGTCTAAGACTCCCATCATTTTTATGCCCCACGATTGTGCACATTTTTGGGGACACAACTACTGCTACTAGGGCATGAAGTAGACTACCTAGAAGTTCCAGCACTACTTGATGGCACAGCTGCTAAGACTAAGAAAAGAGCGCATCTCACTCATTAATGCAGGGTTGGCGAATTTAAAACAACCTACAATCTAGTACACCCATCATCGTACACTTGAGACTAACTTTATCATAGCAGTCTATGAAATTTCGTTTTCGGATCTCTGTACACTGATGAGGTATTAATAGTAGTGATAGTCCCGGTAAAAAATAAATAGAGAAGTACTACTAGGCTGTCAACATGTTAATTTTGTTGAAACTCTAAGCTATCGTTTCGACGATTGAGCGTTGTGGAAGCCAAAGCGGACGCACAAGTCAAAAGGTGGTCATCGACGATTGTGGCGAAGTTGCTGCCGAATAGCCGTCCTCTCTGTCTCAACAAAGCAGCGAGATTTTTTAGGGCTCTTCCTAATCCATCTCGTCTCCACAGTGAGTCCGCAAACGCATGCATCTCAACACAACTACATGATCAAGGGAAATAGTAACGCATAATATGCTTGCGGGATCCCTGCTACAGTCAGAGATGAATTGGGAAAAGCTCTAAGAGGTGGAAGATCGAGCTCTTTGAAGAAAAGGGGTAAAGAGAAGGGTGCCTTGAGATCTACAATCGATCATGCGACCGAAAGTAGAGTTAGGCGTGTAGAGGTCGACCCTACAGGGTGGTGCCTAGGTCTTAGGTCCCGGGTTTGCTCAGGAGAGCAGAGGTCTAACCACGTTTTTTCATGATTGTGATATAGTTATACACGTAACGTTGATTTTTAACCTCATAAAACATACGGCCAACCATCAAGATAAACTTAACGATCTTTATTTCTGTTCAATGTCCATAGTTGTACCTGTTGTTCTTTGGGACTCTCCTTATGCACTCAACAGTGATCCACTGGACTCATCTGCACTCATGCACCCGTCAACAACGTATATCATGATGTCAAGTATGCTCACCTCCAACAAGTATGCAGGTCCGAATGCAGGTCCTAATGCAGCATTGGTTTCTCTCGCACCCAATATCTCACAATGAAACTCCTCCTCGGCACATCCATGCAGTGCCCCTACCCGTACCCCATCGTCCAGCATATTGAAGAATATCAGATGAATGGACTCGTGAAGGTGATGACCTTGTTGACCTCTCGTGTATATTTAAGTAATCACGATGTAAGTTATTTTCTGACTACTTGCTTAGTACTAATAAATATTGTTTTCGTTGTACTAGTACTTCTAAGTACTGCGCCTGATGATCCAAAAACGACCTAAGAAAGTAGTTCCTTAAGCGTCTGCTTCCGCCTAGGAGCTTTCATAAAAATTGAGTAAAATAAAGTACCCTTGCTTAAGCACGATGTACCCCTAGAATGGGTTTACCACTACTACTACTATAATAATATTGAGCTCTGATACAAGAGATAGCACTAGCATTTATTCCTTCCCTAACCTAATCTCAGCGTGAGCATGTCGTCCTACCCGAGCTCGTCTGACAAAGGAGTGCTGAGCAGGGAAAGAGAGTGTGAGTGTGTAGACATTGTTGAAGGTGGGGCGAGCAGGTGCCGGTGGGACTCGTCGTGCAGGATCCATAACCTAATCTCAGCGTTGAAGTAGTAACTAAATGCTGCACCAGAGGCAGACGAGGCCGCAGAGTACTACTAGATGCCCATACCTATTTAAGAACAAGAACAACTAGTGGTCCACCAGCTGTGATGTAAGAGTGTATGTATGAAGCACGACAAGCACAAGAAGCCGTACCTCCATCTATTCTGTGGAGTGAGTGCAGGAGGTGTGATATCTACTCTGTCGTGTCTGTGCAAGTGTGTGTTGAGACTTAGAGTTCGAGTTGCGTCTACTCTGTTGGAGTCGTATAATATTCAACTCTGTAGTGACTGAGGTGGAGTGGGTGTTGGAATTGTCTCTACTCTGTGGGTGTGAGTCTGAGAGTTGCGTCTAGCAGTGCTCTATGGGTTCATAGGCCTAGTGATGGACCCAACAGTGACTCCCCAAATATATCCAAAGTTAAAAGATCTGAATGTATCTCAAGACGTTTTTAACCCAGGCCACGTATCGCCTCTAAGGGTGAACTTCCCGTCCGTAAGTGTGTGTTTCCGTGCTGTCGCTAGTGAGCGTACTACTGAACTCGCAAATGGATCACGTTACTAGAAAGAATCGATCATGTGGCGTTCGGGAGGAGATGCGCATTGCTGGAAGTTTTCGTTCAGAGTACCTAGGGACGTCGGAAAAAGCGAGGCCGAAAACGGACAGAAAAGCTGTCATGTCTCCTTCGCAGTTCGCAGATACTCACAGTTCCACCCACTAGGAACTCGAAACGAAACGCAAAAGAACCATGCCAAAGTCAAGGGAACATCATAACATTTTCAATTTAGCCCCTTCCACCCCACTCCTGATTTTATTCGACCAACGACAACATTTACCAAAGTATGTAAGAATCACGGATTGTTGTACCCCGACTAAGTGGGCCATCTGCTCCTCAGATAATTGTGTTCAGAAACTTTCATGTTCCAACATGCTGCTGCTTCACAGATGAGAATCTAAGAAGAAATTCCGAACCCGAAAAGAACGAAGATCTGAATATTACATGCTTGTTGAAGATAGGCCTTCGGAAGATCAAGATGGTGCGCACAGACTACGACACAGTTGCATTTTTGATCCCATTGTACTGCTATCTGCATGTATTGATTCTCCATGTACTGGATGTACGTCCTCTGAAAGAACGTAAAAAAAAGAGTTGGCATTCTCTTTCGGTTGTAGTCATGAGAAAAATTGCTTTTCGACCGTTACCTGCAAGCTTCTCGTTCGGTGAGTGAACTAGAACCGAAGAAGTTTTCATCTTCAAGGAGTAAGATGAAGTGTAGTAACATGTTATCAATTCACGACCAACTTCAACCTTGCACCACGACAGGCACTCATAAGAACAACGATGATGTAGAAGAAAGACGCTATCGGTTGAGCTAGGATGGTGTGGTGAATACTTCTAGACGTCTACTTCTAGCACTAAAAACTAGAGTAAAGAGTAAAAATTTTTTTGTAGCAATCGTTGTCGTAACTCTACTGTAACTAAAGGGACCTAGTACTAGTAGTCCAAACATATTCTTGTATGGTGTCTTGTTCGCAGTTCCAAACATATTCTTATTTATTTTGGCATTTCACGTTCTTGAAGTGTCTACTAGTTCTTCTTCAACACAGACATCGTTACTGTTCTTAGTGAACTTTTTTGGCTTTCAGTGTTAACAAGCGAGTAATAAAGACAGAAAAATGGCGGCCCTTGCCAAGGATGATCCGATGCGCAGCTCCATAGAGGAAATAGAACGCTCTTTGGAGAAGAACCCCACGCAAACTGCTCTTTGGCTTCGATACGCTGAGTACTGGGAGAACACCGATGAAGTGAATGCGTTAGTTACGAAGAATTCTTGTGAGGATCTTGACAGGATGACATAGTGGTAGACAAAATGAAAGAACTAGCATCCATTGCCATTTTTTACATTTTCTTAGTTATGACTTGCCTTGACTTGATGTACATGTACCCACCTCCGATCGGGTGCGTTTTAGTTACGAGGTCTTACGAGCATGACATAGGTCATAGTAAGCCTAATACTTCAAAAGTTCTCTAACAAGTACTCGCGAGTAGAGCAGTTCTACTAAGTAAGCCCTTTGTCTTGTCACAAAAAAAGTACTAGCAAGACTAGCAAGAGTTTGTCTTGTAGCAGTTCTTGAAAGATCGGTGTTTTCCGATTTTCACTTTCATGTTGTCTCGTCAAGTAGAATTATGAGTTAGTCCCACCTCCGTCTTCGTGCTCGTGGCCCCACTACCACCGCCTCCTTCTCTAAATTAGCAGTCTACAACGACGCAGTGCGAAGATGTCCGCATATTGAGCTGTGGCGCCAGTACATAACCTACTGCAAGAAGTGTGTCACGGTGAAGGGCGTAGTAGCTATTTTCCATGCAGCCATCGACGTGCTAGCACAGGATCATCGATGTGGAGAGCTGTTTCTAGAATATCTGGCTCTGCTAAAAGCGGTGTGGAACTACCAGTGGAAGTACCGTCATGAGCTCATTTTGGATTTATGGTGCTGGATTTTATTTGACACATCGTATGATTTCAGAGGACGAGGAGATATCTATGTATATGCATCAATATTATCAACATATTATCTATGTATATGCATCAATATCAACATATTATACGGCATAATGTGATTTCAGGGCAACCACGAGCATGATTGGAACATACCATCAACGTAGCTGTCTCTGACGGAGTTCGTTCGTCTACTATATTTCGTTTTGGTATTCGAGATCGAAGAGGATCTTGCCAATCTAGTATCTTCATCTATCTTCTTAAGTAGATGCTGACGAAGGTCGTAATTATAATATTGACTGATTGATCTTGAAGATGTTGACTGTTGTACTTGTTCACTGATATTTATTATTGTTATTCATTGATTTTGTTCACAGTATCTTCTCGATCTCGCGGATGAATTCTTGTGACCATGACGGAATCGAGCAAGCTGGTAGTACTGAAAACTCTTGTGAGTTTCTCACTCTCTAACCTCCGACCCAATCGAGCAAGCTGGTATCACGTTTGACGCAGACGCAGAGTCATCCTTAGCGACGAAATGTGGTGGGAACTTGCCACTAACCGCAGACGAGGAAGAGGCGATAAAATGGATCGCGAAGAAGGCGCCGTCAGATAGCTACATTTCTGTCAAGACCAAGCTATCGCTGGAACACATAAGGAGACTCTTTAGACAGGTATTTTTGCGTGGCTTTGTTGTATGTTGCGAGGCTTTGTACTTAGGTGTTTTGTAGGTGTTAGTGTTTGGTAGAGTTGGATGAAGCTATGGCTATCGCTGTCGCTAGTCGATACTCGTCCTCATGAAATTAGTATCACAAAGAGAACATGATCGATTGGCAAAGGCAATGACCTGACGAGATCTCCCAGTTTACAAGACAGCTCATTTATCAATCAACTAAGTACACTTTTTCATTTCTTTTCCACCAGCACTACAACAACTCTTTGTTTTCTGATTCAGGCCGTCTTAACCCCTTCGTCTTGCACGGATCGGCTTATGCGAGCTTACGAAATCATGGAGGACCACATCGCAGGGTCCAAGAACGTCCTAGCTAACGCTCCAGACCGAGATGGAACGGTTAGAGATTTCTACAGTCGTGTAGCAGCAAATAATTATGCTCCTGGAGGTTCAAAAATAATCAAAATTAGTTCTAAATTTTGTTCTTCTTGCGGAACTGGAAGTGTTATTGATGTACACCTGATATTGTTTCTATCGTGGTATTATGAGCAGAAGTTGTGTAGTACCGAACAAGTGGAGGAAATAAAAACGGTATGAAATTATACAACTACTTACAATATAGATTTTGATAGACGAAGGTGAGACCTCTGGGGCTGACAGGACCACGACAGCGCCGGCGCTTAATTCGTAGGAGATAAGTTCTTGGCTGACCTTTTCTTTTTCGGTTTTTGTTTTTTCTAGTTAGATATGCTCCACCAACATACAGATTTTGATCGGTTTAGTAAACGAACTTCTCCAGTCTTGACAACACCTTCTTCGTGCTTGCGCCTCCTCTAATCCAAACACGTCTACGACAAACTTGTAGTCTTGTACAAGGGTGTAGATACGTTGCAGCTTCCGCAGGCAGAAGTCTCCCAGTTGTCGAAAACACTGCCTAAAGCTTCGCAGCTCGTCAAATGGATGGACATTTGTGCCGCTTTCAACGCCATAATCGCCTACGAACGCGGCAATCCCTGTAAATTGGAAGTGCAGGGGTACCAAACACGAGTGACATTCTTGTACCAGAATGTGCTGTTGGTTTGCACCTATTTTTCCGAATTCTGGTACAGCTTTTACAGCTTTCTCTACACTTTTTCACCGATCAAAGCACTCCAAGTGCTCAAAATCGCCACCGAGAAACTCCCGAACGACCTGTTTTTGCGGCTCGCCTATGCCGCTTGCTTTGAGGAATTGGTGTACAAGAAAAAATTCAATGCCACAGTGTTGGGAAACATTCTGGGAACATCTACGTCTACTGCTACATCTGGAGGTGGAGATACTGATGCACCTCCAGCAAATCTTTCGTTGCACGAAGCGATGCAGAATCTAGAGTTAAGGGTCGTTTATCACTATCGCATGTGGACTATACTGAGTGGAGTCCTCCTTGATTTAAAGGGGAAACTAAGGGACAAAGAGGGCAACCCACTCGACTCGGGACAGTGAAAAACTACCTCTAATAGAAGGGGTTCAGATGTCGGAGCTGATGCAGGAAATGGATCTCTTGGAAGCAGTAGAGAGAGCGGAAAGCGCAACAGCCATGCCTAGTATCGGAGGAAATGTTAAGGGTTCGTTCTTTCCAGATTGCATCCTGCACTGACATCTTCCTTGACTCTTTCCCCACTAACATGAAAGGAGTCAGGGGCCATGATGTATTTCTGAAGAGTGCAATAATATGGGTCACCAGCAGCTGCTCTAATATGGCGGGTGGCGATGAACACGCAGCTGGTGGAGTTTCCACATCGTCAAGCAAAACGAAATACAACATGGTCTCGAGTCTGTATGACCATTTGTTGCAGGAGTTCGACGGCGAGCAATATTCTCTGGCTTTGATCCACTACTTGAATTTCATCAGAAGACAAGGTGGAGCGCACGCATATAGTTATGAGCGTAGGGGATGCATCTCCAAAGATGACTCATCTGGATGAAGTAGAAGAAAAAGGCAGCCAGATGATGTGTTAGATGCATAATGCATTCTCTTCACCTCTAATATACGGAATTTTTTCTGAAAAAAGTACTCATTGACAGCCATCAAAAGCTCACGTGGGAAGTCTATGCGTCGCAGGCATTAGTCGAATACCACTGCTTCCACGAGAAGTCACGATGCGCAAAAATTTACAAGATTGGTACAGCATACTTTTTGTTTTTGTTTTTCTCTACCTATTGTTGGTGGCATGCCCATGTTGACGACAGTCTCCTCGAAAATTTAGAAGAAAGTGGAACAATCTTCTTATGCAACTTCTTGTTGATTAACATGAACTAGAACTACGATCATGATCTATGTAAAGCATATTCATCAGCAATATCATCATCATTATCATCATCATCGCCAGCAGCAAAAAACATCACCCTTCTATCTTTACAACAGGTCTCGATCGTTTCCGTACTCTCGAAACCTATGAGCCAGCATTGGTTGCATCTTTTATCAATTTCTTGGTATCTGTGAACGACATCCCGGCAGCACGTGATGAATTAACTCTGGCGATACAAAAGTGCTACCAACTATTGCGAGAAGTTCACTTTAAGGGCGACACAAAAACCAACGAAAAAGCCGCACGAATGCTCAAGGAAAAACAAAAACTACAAACCGGATTCAAATTCTTGTATTTTTTACTACAACTTCTAGCTGTAGGAGCCCCTGCTTGTTTTTTGTCTGTGTTGAGGCAACATGAACATGCAGATGTCGCAGTTGACGTAAGAAGATTATGTCGAAGTAGTTTTTTTTTGTACTAGACGATCAAGATCTGAAGATCCGGATCCCTTCGGACTACACTTTTTCATCTTCTATAATGACTTCCCCCAATGGCAAAAATGATATAATGAATAATTATCTTATAATCTTAGGTTCGAAAAGCTCGTCAGGCTTGAGCAGAGCTATGGCGAAGAAAGTTTGGAGAAATTGCTACACACTAAGAATCAAATCCTGCTGGAGAATGTTCCCGATGCAGCACTATCGCTAGAACCGCTGGATGCAGAGGAGGAATATCAGACGAACAACTTCTTAAATGCTTCATTGACAAGCATCTTGGACGTGCGCGTGGATCAGGAGGGAAATGGAAGTAGAACTATTTGTGAAGATTTTGGATCTAGAATTTTCATTTTTTCTCTGATCATGTCCACACGTTGCCTTCGAGAACTATTAAGTCCTACTACTCATGAAGTCTAAGAACATGATATTTTTGCAAAATTAAGAATACAGCAAAGCAGATGAAGTTTAACTTGTTCTTGTGAAAACTTACTACATCCTTCCATTGATTTGCGACCCTGTTCACCATCCCGCCTGTTCACCATCCCGCCTGTTCACGACCCTGTTGTTCACCATCCCCCCTGTTCACCATCCCGCCTGTTCACGACCCTCACACAGTGGACGAAGACAACGAGGAGAAAAAGGACGAACCGAAAGGCAAGAAAGGTCGTGGCAAACGCAAGCGGCGGGAGATGTTAGCCGGGTTCGAGTCTACGAAGGATCCTTTTAGAAGCGACAAGGCATGCGCTGATCCGTTCCACTTGGATACCGACTACAACAAACCGAATTTTCTGCGAGCCAATCTCCTGTCGACGGTCCTGCAAAGCCAGAACTCTAGTTTCCTCAGTTGTAGTGCGGTTTTGCCATTTAACGAAGCGCTGAGCCGCTTTCGGTTCCAGCATCTCAGTCCAGCAGTGAACATTAAGGACGAGGACTTGTCAAATCGAAGCAGTAGATCAGGAAATAAGATTTGAATGTAGCTTGTTTTTTTTCGGAATTTTTCGGATGAAGACATCTACTACAATAAAGGTTTTTCTCAAGCAATTAGTGCTGAATTATATCACCTGTTACCACCTGCTCTAAAGGGAAGCTGAATCCAGCAGCAAGGGGAAAACATGGACACCAGACGGTAGTAACAGGAGGAGCCGCAAGCGGTAGCGGTCATCCAGAGCAAGCATTTTCTAGCTCTGCAGCTGTCGCAGCAGGTAAACTAGTGGAGCGCGCACCCTCAGTTGCGGGTGGACCTAGCATAGACGCAACGATGCATGAAACGACACCCACAGCTGCTGGGACAACTGCATTATGGTTGATGGTACACATTAATTACCTGTTTTAGAAGACGGGGACGAGTTAGTACTGCATTGATAGGTGATGAAACGTCATAATAAACTCCACAACGTTAATATTAACCCTTCTTCTACTCTTCATTTTTCCCCCCTTCTACTCCGCCCAAGAACAAAATTTTGAAGCCCTCCAACGTAGTACAACCATCTTCATTTCCATCCTCATTTATGCTGCTCGTCTTCAACGACGACACTTGCTCTAATCCCTGCCCACATGACCCCTGCATCCAGTGGTGTGCTACTCGACTCTGCTGTGCCGCAAGACGAGATTGCCTTGATGGTGAAGAGGAGGATGCTGGCACAATTAGACAATGACAGCGACGACGACGACAGCAATCTAGAGAACAATACTGAACTGGGTGGCGGAGCAGCAGGCGTCATTCGAAAAAGCTCAATGGCTGCCACGGGAAAGGCACGCGTCACAAGACCTGATATTATGAATCATGATTCATACTGCTATAGACATAGAATGAGAAGTAGATGAAAAGACAACTATACTGCTATACATAGAATTAGAAGTAGAAAAGACTAGTAGAGTCACCCCATGACGCCAAGCGGCCTTCAATAAAGAAGTTGGTGTTGAAGTCATTTGGAAATGGAGGATTTGTTCATCAGTTTCGTTCTTTTATCCTCTAATCTCCCGAGTCGCATGCACAGTTTCAACCCAACGAATGCTATCGTGATGCCAACCGGCCATCCACGTGGAGTGGTCGCTAACGTCTTGCCGAAAGTGATCCGAGATCTACAGCAAATGCTTCCATCCCACAAAGTCCTCAAAGGCTCGGCGCCGGACGTGGACTACCTAATGTCGGTGTTGCAGACAGTGGAGATACCACCGTTGCCGTTAGTTATGTGAAATGAAACATTCTTAGCTTAGATTACGAGTGCTGATTTACTTTTCAGTGTCTTAAACATTGACTGTGGAGGTCTCGTCTAACTCACAGCAATTCACGCGGACAGAGCCAGGTCTTGGAAACGGGAACCGAGGCACGGATAGCGGTGCGTTTGGTACGGGAGGGGGCATTTTTGGTGGTAACCGTGTCTCCAGTCTGGACGAGAACACGAATTACATGCACGCAATAGGAGGAAGCGTCCATAATTTCCTGATCGAAGGCGCAGTGGATGATACGAGGTATATTAGCAACCAACGTTGTTTCTAGTACTCAGACAGAAGATCTAGTACTTACTACAAGAAGTATAACAGACAGAAGATCGAGTACTTACTACAAGTCTTACTACAAGAAGTACAAGAACACAGTTGTACTATAGTGCTAGAAGCAAGTAGTTCTTGTAGTCCCATTCTTCGTCTACTCGCTCGTTGCACACGTAGATCTTCTCTTCTTTTCGTGTATCATGAGCGAGAATATATTTGTTTTGTCACCCTTCCACCTCTTCCTGGTTTCTTCATCTTTGGAATTTTTGCTCCAACTCCATGATCAAAAGCATTACAAAACAAAAAATTCCTGTAGTACGCCTTTCAGGTACCGATCCCGAGGCTCAGGTGCGAATGCGAATGGCGGCTCAGCTGCGAACGGCGCATCCCACAGCACACGACCTGAGCGGCGTGTGAAAAAGGGCAAGAAAGAAGAACAGGACTTGGAGGAAGAAGGAGCACGAAGAGAGGGTGTCAGCCAAGTAAAAGAGCGAATCAACGTGAAGAGAAGAAAAATAAATGAGGTGGTAAAGGCAGAACAAATTGGAGCATCATGATGACGATGGTAGGCGGTGGATGCCGATGGATGCGCGCGTTGCTGTTCTAAAAAAACAGCGAGGCAATACTAATCTTCAGCATACCGGACATAACCTCTTCCGTTGGGAATACAACTACTCTGTTTCTAATTCGTCTTGAAACAAGAGCAACAAGCGTGTAGTTCAAATTCATTAGCCATTTTCGAAAAAATAGAGTAGAAACTCAACAAATCTATTCGCGACAATAATGATCGTCAAAAAGAACCTTAAATTATGTCAGTATCGCATATTCCTCGCGCCTTTGCCCCTATGCCCCAACGCACTACCCTTTTCAGAAAAATTCCTGTAACATCCGTGTCACAGAACCTCCAACTCTCCTTGGAAAATCAATATTATAGACACAGACCACGACTTAAAATACCGTTTGGTCACTCTCGCGCTCTTCTCGTGCTCTCTAAAGGAAGATCACTAAATTTTCCCAATGTACTGGAGGTCTCGAACAAGGCATGATTAAGCATGTGGTTGTGGATCCACCTGGCACGCGATCGCCTTCTTTGGTCGGCGGCAAGAATAGTGATCTAAGTACAAAGATGAAGATCCATCGATCATAGGACGTTCCTGTTGAAGGAGATCTTAACCCTTAGGAGCTTCAGTGGTATATGAATGTGTATCTCCTTCCTGTAATTCAGAAACCCATCCACGACCTGCTTCTCCCTTTACCGTAATTTCGCCAGCGTATTTGAGGAGTAATGAAAAGCAGCTGGGTACTAGATGACATATCATGTCTGACTAAAAAGATTGGAGTTGTAGCCTCGATGTTACTACAACCAGTGAACCCACATTAATTACCTCCACCTCCTGCATGAACCACTACATGATACAACAAAATGGGGAAGAGTAAGCAACACAGTCACCGTTCAAATCAGAACAAGGTGAAGAAGGCGCATAACCGCAAGAAAAACGCCGGACCGAATCAACCTACTGCTCAGATTCTAGCAACCACCACCGGAAAAGCTGCGAAAAAAGCAGCACTTGCAGCATCTGGTTCAACTACAGCGGGAAATACGAACAAGTCAAAAGGAACAAACAAGGTCGTCACTCCACCAAAGTTGGTAGCCTTTGTCGCGCTCCATGACTCAGCAAATCCGTATCTCCTAAAATCTCAATGCCTAGAGAAATTGGGACATGCGACACCGACAGAATATCTGCCTTACACTCCTGTGACTGTAAATTTACCACCATGGGCACAACCGAGTGGGAAAGGTATAATCTTAAGGAATGTCAAAATCCTGAATTTTATCGCGAACTCCAATAATGCCAAAAATACACTCTGCGCACTCGTCCACCTCCACTCCACTTCCTCCGCCACCGGCACTCCTCATTTCGCCCTAACTTCTAAAAGGTACCCAGAGTAACCGCCTTACGCTCTTGGATGTGGCAAGCCGAGACAAATTTCATGTTCTGGACGCCGCTAAAGTTGCTGATGTGGTCGTCCTCTGTATGGGTCCAAACGGGTCCCTTGACAACCGTCCCTTTGACGACATTGGGTATGAGACTTTGTCCTGTTTGAAGAGTCAAGGCATTCCCACAGTCGTTGGCGCGATTCAGGGTTTGGACCATGCGTGCAATGCAGCGGTCAGAGGTTCTAGTACCACGAATTCGTCGGCTTCATCTTCTAGTAGCTCTTATCAAACGATGGTGAGTCAACTTTTTTCTCATGAAGTCGCAACTGCTGCTGTAGCGTCCTCAGATGTAGTGACGACTGGTGGAGCATCAACAGATAAAAATGGTACCATGATGAGCAAGAAGCAACGACTCGCAACGGCGAAACTGATTCAGCGATTTTTTGAATCCGAATTTTCAACGGAAGAGCGCATCTTTGATACCGATTCTGAGATGGTCAATATGCTGAGACATGTCAGCAACACGCAACCCAAGGACGTTGCATTTCGACGAAATCGTGGCTATTTCATGGTCGAACAAGCTGAGATTATCAACAATTCAGCCACTGCAACTAAACATGACATCGCCCAAGTAGTGCAGGAAAAATCTTTGAAAGTATCCGGTTATTTGCGTGGTGCGGGCATCTGTACGAAAAATTTGATGCACCTTTCGGGAGTGGGGGACTTTCCCATTCGAGAAATCGCAGTTATGGATAAGCGGGGTGGCCGAGTTCTAAGAACTGTGCCAGGAGCTTGTTGTAGTGCTACGACTAGTTGTACTGACAACGCTGAAGAACGAGGTTCCCACCCATCCTTGACGAGACTTCGACCCTATGACCCATCGCAGAACGAACAGCATATCGGACAAGAAGATGAAGAAATGGAAGGAGGTATCAGATCGACATTATATTATGAAAATGCCAGTAGCCTCCAACGACATTTCTGTACTTGATTCAAGAATCATAGGTTTTTGTTTCTGGTCGATGATTATTCATCCACATTTTCCTTTCATCCCAAAACTCTATGATCAGGCATGAACGACATTGGCGACACGCTGATTCCTGATGCTCCTGAAAACGCGCAGCTTTTGAGTGCAAATTTTCCGAAGCAGAACAGCAACCAAGACGATGACCAAGACAGTAACTTCTCGTTCTCCGACTTAAATGAAGAGCTTTTTCGCTATGCCGAAGAATGTCCAACCAAAAAGAGCGTGGAATTTGAGCAAAGGGCCTTGGAGGATCTCGAGTTTCCTGACGAAGTCGATACACCTTTGCCTCCAGCTGAAGCATCCACACGATACCAGAAGTATCGAGGTCTGAGGTCTTTGAAAACTAGTCATTGGGACAGGTATGAAGAGTTGCCTTTGGAGTACAGTAGAATTTGGGAATTTGAGGGTTTCAAGAGTTGCGCGAACGCAGCAAGGCAGCAACAGAGGGACAACGTGGAAGAAGAATTCGGAGCGGAAGAGCGTTTGGTAGGTCGCTACGTCGTCGTGACCTTGGGACAGATGACTGAGGACGTGCTTTTGAGGTTGCAGCAGCTGAACATGGTGAAAGTGTCCTCTTCTGCGAACAAACTAGTAGACGTGCAAGGTCCCGTTGTGGTTTCTTCTCTTTTTGAGCATGAGCACCTGGTTTCCGTGATGCATTTGCAGGTGCACAGATGTACTGCTGGCACAGATTCTTTGACTGGCGAAAAAACCCTCGATCGCAGTGTGAAATCCAAGACTGAAGTCGAGTTTCATTGCGGTTTTAGACGGTTTCTAGCCAGGCCAATTTTCTCGCAGCTCCCGAAAAAGTCCTCCGCAGAGAAGGACAAGCATTTGTACCAACGCTATCTACATCCTGGGCAGAGCTGTGTAGCCAGCATTTACGCACCAATCCTGTTCCCGCCATGCACAGTGCTCATGTTCGAACCTACAGCGGGAGCGATCGACAAAGCCTTTGAAGAAGCAGAAAATACTGGTGAGGGAGCAATCGCAGACAAGACAATTATAAACAATTCTTCTAAAACTGGCGAAACAACAGGCGAACATGAAACAAGAGTAATCAACATGTCCTGTGCAAGCCCTTCTTCAAGTAGTACACCTACCGGAGCATGCATGGAGACAGATGACGTCGCTGTTGAGGAGTCTACTTCGACAAATAAGACAAAGGCCACCACCAGAACCAGTACAACTACTAACGTCTCTGCCATTCCTTCATGGACTGAAGCAGGCAAGAAAAACCTCCTTGGATGGGGTGAAGTGATTGACGCCAATCCCAAAAAGATCATCGTTAAAAGGTCGATCCTAACCGGGTATCCGTTCCGAGTGCACAAGAACAAGGCGGTTGTGCGGCATATGTTCTTTCGACCTGACGACATCCGGTGGTTTAGGCCCGTAGAGCTGCGAACAAAGCACGGGCTGCGAGGAAACATCAAGGAGAGCTTGGGCACCCATGGCTACATGAAGTGCGTCTTTGGAGATAGGATAAAACAAAACGACACCATTTGCATGGACTTGTACAAAAGGCAATACCCAAAGTGGTATCCGCCAACATGGGGAGGAGAGGAAGAAAATGGACCAGATTCATTTGCTTTGGGGTGAAGCTGAACGTGGACTCGTGACTTCTGTTACTGATGTTCACAGAATGCCCATCTCTTATTCATCATGTTGTTTCAATTCGCCTTTGATTAATTGTCTCACAGGACTAGCGCACTACACAACATGAACTTTGTTCTTTTTGTAATTGCACCACCTGCCAGAGGTGAAACGGGATATTTATTCTTCACTATCTATGTTGCTTCACTGATGTTTATTGCGCCAGCTGCGACAGCGACACGCTCGCGCTCCTCATCCCTGCGACACGCGTTCCCCACGTCCTTGCACGACGTCCCCCTCGACTCCGAGATGAACTCGATCTTGTGGTGATTTCGATCCCTAAAATTCCGTTGCATGCAAAGAACGAACTACATGTCGTGGACTGTAAGTAGCCCATTGAGAAAGAATGTGATGTTCTAGTTTAAGCTCCTTTGGGCGGTTCGATTTGCAGCGGAACAGCATCAGGCGAAAAAACGAATTGGATCTATCTCTTCGGCTATTGTTAATCGTACTGCCTCCAGTGCAAACCCAAAGAAGTCATCGGTTGCACAACTGTGAGAAGTCATACTGGTGGGCGTCGTCCGTCTGATCTAGGTCATATTGTGTGTGTGTGTGCGTGTGTGCGTGTGGAAGCGGAGAGCAATGCCGCTTTCTCTTTCACAATTTTGTATCTGGTGGGTCGTATGTAGAAGTTGTTTAGTGAGCTGCTCAGGTATTCTACCTCTAGGTATATATATAATAGCTCACTTCAAGCACTGTTCTCTCCGCTACTTCAAAGCTTGTTTAGTGAGGATATTGCGAGATGGTTTAGGTTTATCAAATATATATTAAGTACGTAGTTGGCGTCATGAGTCTCTCGCAACATCCATACCACATCCAACTACCGAAACATCGAATCGATTGATTATGGTTCATACCACATCCAACTCAGGAAGTCAAGCGAAAACAAAGCGACAGATTATAAAACAATAACTACAAAGGCGAATAAGAAACTGGGATAATTGAAAAATTATTGAAACGAGGAAGAGACCAACACGAATCTTCACTATTTTTGAAGTGAATCTGTGGAAAAAGTAGATGAACGATACAAGTACAACAACAACTAAAAATTGTGATGTTTATGTAGGTGCATGTTATGAAAAAGAGGACGAACAAGAAGAGTTTGTTAGAGGATACACGATACGTTGACCAAGAAGAGTTAGAGTATCTCTATCTGTTATTACTTTTGTTTCAGAATCAGGAGAAGTAGCAACATCATTTGTAAAATTTCGCTGGTGGTTGATGTCGTTTCCCTTGGACGTTCCTCTTCGAAGAAAGAGGTAGTCGTAGATGAATAAGGTCGTCGTGAGAGTGATTGTGATGCTGAGCATGAAAATATCTGTAGTAGAACTATAATGGAGGGATAAATTATCAGAACTAATGAAACGAGATGAACAAATCAAAATCCCTGTATTTAAGGGACACCGCTCGCTATCCGTAAACAGGAAAAGGTGCTACCATAAGATCTGACATATGAAGATTAGTATCAACAATTGGTGAGTAACTACAGCAAGACATCATTCAACGACCGCCGCAGCACGCGCAATGGGCTTACATCTACATCAAGAGGAGAAGGAGAACAACGAAGAACTACGAAGTACAAAATAGAGGTTGACACGGAAAGTCTTTTTAGTCTAGTTTCTGAAACATAACACCAAACATCAAGATCAACAACAAGAAGAAGAACATCGACGGAAGACAAGGACAAAAAACTGAAGAAGTTTAACAAGTAGGGAAGGGCAAAAACTAAAGCAGCTAGATAAGACGAGGTTGTACCAACACGAGCACGGCTATAGAAGAACAATCGAACCTTGTACTTGTTGAGGACGCAAGAGCATCAACATGACGTCCGCTTACGCTAGGTCTTATAATTCCACCAGTGCTGCTGCCTCTGCCAGTCCCGGCGTGGTCCGCTTTGTGTGGACGTGGACGTGGTCTACAGCCGTGGCTATCTTGTGGCAGCACGTACTATCCATTGGTTGCTCTGCTGCCGTTGTGCAACCAGATGGTCTTGTTCCGGAGGATGAACACGGGACACGGCAACGAACATCGTCCGATGAGCTAAATCATCAGCTGTTAGCAAGGCTCATGCGCACAAGCAGCAGTGGCTCGTCGGAAGGGGAACAACAAACTACTTCAACATCTAAAGAGTTCTTGAACTTCTTGACAACTGGTCCTCGTGGTGAAACAACACCATCAGGCAAGAAGGGTGAAGAGGAACTAGTACAACATGGACCACAAGAAGAAGGGCCTACTAGTACTATTAAGGCCGATCATCAGGATCATCAAGCAGTTGTGCATCCAGAAACAGAAGAACGTCTCGAAGCACAGCAGATGGCCCTGCGTCGCAGTCTTGGACTGGCACCGTACGACGGACAGCAGCGTTATCGTGGTGGAAGAATCGGAGGTGGTAGTAGTTCCTTTCAATATCCTAATCCTCAACAATGGTATCATGTTAAGGCTTGAGGAAATCCATCTTTCGCAGCATCTTGTTCCCGTTTTGAAGGGAAAGCGGGCACCAAGATGCTCACCAAGATGGATTTCTGCAAGGTCTAATCATCATGGTCGAGGACAGTACAACGCTCCTGGCGCAAATGGACACTTATTTCAACATCATAATCATGCTCAACATTTATATCCGGAACAAGAAGCAGATCTTAAGGGTAGGTTAAAGGTGTTCCTGTTACAGTTCGTCTTGCCTTTCTGAAGGGGGAAAGGCATAACGAACAGGAAACACGACCACCAAAGCCCTACCTCTAAAGATCATAGACCCAATTATGGAGATTGGGAATGGGGTCCCGCATCAATAGACAGGGGAGAAATAGCCCAAGGAGAAGACTACTGGGCGTGGCGTCACAGACAGGACCGCTCAGTCGAATATGCAGTCAATCCAGCTGCTGACTATGGATCTTTTACCGCTTCATCATGGACTCCGATTCATCACCCTGATAGGTTTTATAATGTATGATGCATATCATGCCAATTATATAGTTGAGAACGAAGATACGGGAATGTCGTTCCTAAGTAAGAAGGGAAAGAGGGAACCACATTCCCCTATTCTTGACATTCTCAATGAGTGGAAGCATTCATAAAACCATCAAGGAGCGGGGCGACCAAATGCAAACGTTTTACCTCCTGGTGTGCCTCCAAGTGGTATTCCGCTTTCGAGAGTGGATAGCAATGATATGGAAGAGATGGCATCTACCCAACCTCCTCCGATGTTTGGCACTCATCTTCATGTTCTTGGCACAGAGACGTTGCCCCCGGGCCTTCCTGAAGGCCCAGCTCCGATTTTCGAACGGCCACCAACTCCTCCAATTCCCCCAGAGGGATTTCAGCCTCGTGTTGATACTTCTGCTATGGAACCTGAAGGAGAAGGAGCTCGACATCAAGATGTTGAAAGACCTCGCGATATGATCCATAAATCAAGGGTGGACTTCTTCTCGTCTGGGGAGGACCCGCTTCACCACGATCATCAGGAAAGCCATACTGGTGAAGATCTTCAAGTAGAACCAAGGCGACAGCCCGCTTGGTCGCTTGGCAAGGCTTCCCCTGCTGGACAAATTTGGGATATGACCCAGCGACGCTCCTCGGGTTCTCAGTTACGGAATACTAGGTGTTATTTCTATTTGTTGATGTCTTCACTGCTTTCAGACTCAGGCTCAGGTGTAAGAAGATCGACCCCAAGCATGATGACGACGTGTTATTTTTAGACTGGTCTTTTCTTATTTCTCTTCTAATCTTTGCGCCTACCTCTGCTCAACGCGGTGTCAGGACCGTGGGTAGCTCTGCGCTAAACATGGGGAATCCAGTACGCGTGCCCATGGGTTGGGAAGTTGCACCCGACGGCCGCCGCATGAAAAGGAGTACTTTTGCTTACCAGGATTACCACGAAGAGGGTTTTCGTTTTATGGCCTGTTTGGTATGTTTATAGTTTCTGCTTGGAAGCTGCGGCTTTGCAAATGCAATTCTTTTTCTTTTCATTTAGTTGCAACATGTGTCGAAGGTGCGCGGGGGTTGCTTTCCTCTTGTCCACCGTTTCAAAATACTTACTATTTTTGATGATTGTATGCGATCTTCATTCTAATGAGAACCAGCATCAAGGAAGTAAAGGAAAGGGTAAAGGCAAGAAGTGGATACCAGTCCCAATCGTTGAAGATCGACAAGAACGTCAAGGCAAGGGCGCGAGATCTCCGAACCCTCCAGTGTCTTCCAGCAGAGTAGATCGAGAGGAGGAAGCACTCGATCATGGTTCTCCTGACGTTTCGGGTCGTGCGCGTATTTGTGCTGACTTAGAGAGCGAGCTGGCTTCTTCCCAAGTTCTTGTAGAAGATCCAAATTCATCTTTGTCGAACAAGGCCTCGAGGATGAAGAAGATGCAAATTCTCGAGAGACCACCACGAGCAGACGTCCGAACTTCTCGATCCAGTACAACAGCTGGTGGCCGTGCAGGATCAAGCAGGGACTTTCGTTCTCCAGAGCGTAGTGCTCCTCCTCTTGTACAGGCTCGTGGCTTTGCATCATCACCATCTTCTACTTCTCCTGTAACGATAAAAAAGCAAGAGCAACAAGCAAAGAATAAGATTCATCCCGGACCTGGTACGAGTTGTAAGATAGCTGCACCTACTTCTTCATCAGTTGGAGGTGTAAAAAGTACCAAGTTAAAGAAGCTGTCTTTGCAGAGGTCGAGCCAATCTCCTATGTCTGCGATTGAAGAGGAAGGAACTCCAAGTATGGACGCGACAGGTACTCCATCCGACCACCAGCGGACCTCACTCACAACTTCACAACTTCAACCGTCTGAGATTGAAGCACCCGCTATGTTGGCACCAGAAAACTTGGTTTTGGTCGGTACCACTGGGAAAAAGTCGAAGGGTTTAAAACGAGGATCATTACGTTCATCTCTGCATTGGGAACCCAAAAAGACCACAGCTGTTGACGAGCCATCGTCGGCGTCGAAGGAAGAAGAGAAAAGTGCCAGTACTGGTTTGTCTGGTCGTGGTGAACCAGAAGGTCTACTGCCTCCTATCCAGCATCCATCAAGTTCTTCATCTTCAGTTCCATCGTCTAGTGGAGCTGCAAGTAGCAGTGCGGGGGGTAGTTCTAGTTCCACTGGTATGTTGATTTCAAGCAAGTGGCGCGAAGTACTAGAGATGGACAACAAGGACGATGCGGGTACTTTGCCTGCTCTTGACCCCAGCATCGGCGTCGAAGAACAAGAAGAGGAAAGTAGATACTACAAGAAAGTGGTCGAACCAGGGATGAAGATTCGTGTCCTAAGTAAGGCAAAACCAGAGAGAGTAGAAAATTATAAGGATGCGGGATCAACAATGCAAGGCGAACAAGTGAAAGATGAAGCTCTGGAGCTTCTAGACGATATGGCAATGAAGATAACAACAGAAGGCGAAGGTTTCGTACATGAAGATGGTGTCCTCGCTGACCAAGAAGTACTACAACAACGCGATCGTGAAAAAGAACAAGATCATGAAACAGGTTGTGCGCAAGCACCGGATTTTGAACCTCGTTTCTGTTCAGAAGGCCTTGAGGATAACACAGGGATTTCTTCATGGATCCGCGAACAACAGCAACAGCTTAAAGTAGACTCCTCTACGCACCAACAAGACAAGTCGAGGACTAGTATTAATCAACATGAAGAGGCAGACCAAGAAGAAGAAGTAGATGATCCAGATGTCTATCTCGTGTCCAATCTCCGATCCGCAAGGGCTGCACAACAGCGCATCTTTCAGTTGAGTTTTGTCTACCTGAAGTATCTGGGCTTCGCAGACCGCATTGATAGGGATCGACCTGGAGTCTTACTGCGCTTTGGCAGCAGCTTCACCTTATGAAAGGAGATTTGAACAAGACCTCTTGGACTTGTTAGAAGTAGAGTTTCGTCTATTCTGTTTCTCTCCGTTTTCTCTTATAATCTTAACTCAGTGACTAAAGGAAAGAAAGAAAACACACAAGGACATAGCTTAACTTTCCTGAGTCAGCTAAAGTCTACTAAGTTACCTCAAGTAGAGCAAATAAGTCATTCTGTTTCTCTCCCTTTCTTGACTTTGAGTTCGTAATTGTCTTTGAGTCGTGCTACTCCTTCATCTCTGATGGAAGAGATACCGTTCTGTGGTGAAGATCCTACTCGAAGTTCAATTTCCGAGTGCTTACTTTACTAGTCCTTCCGTCCTCATCCTTCCTTTCCTCTCCTTCATATCACGGCTTCCAAGGAGTAAAGGCTACGGATATGGACGTCATGATTGTGGGGCCCGTTGGGCAAAAAGCAGACACTCAGAAGAGCATGACTCTGAATGAATTGAGCAAAAATTTTGACAGCGTGAAGTTGGACCCGCTACCCAGTCGTGCGACGTCTGCGTCTAGTGAACACGGAAGACAGGAAAAGAGGGCCGTCAAGGCTTTTACGTACGTTCTACTTCAATCTGTCTATTGATAAAATGGCTCATGCTCAATAGATACTCTGTTCTTTCTTGGTGGTAAAGATGTGAAGGTGAAGCAAGTAGTTGTAGAAGCAGTTGTAGTAAATACTATTCAAAAACAACCTATCCATACCAATAATTACCACACCAGGTACACGCACATGGTTCCAGGTGGTTTGCTGGTCGGCTATCGGTTACAGACGCAGTTTGATCCGAGAGCCCTGGTTCTCGACGACAAATTTCTTGAAGATTTCATTGGTAGGATCGCTTGGTCTGGCGTTTTTGAGAATTTGTGTGCCTTCGACAACCACGCCTGCTGGATTCCACCAACGAAAGGCTCTGCCTCTCAAAACACAGGTGATAGTGGTCTATTGAAAAATATGTCCAAAAGCAGCAGCAGCAGTCGTAGAGATGCAGTTCGTGCTGGCGCAACGGTTGAAAAAGGTGGAGATCATGATGCAGAAGTGAGGTTCGATTCCGATATGAACAACTTCTTGCCTGAAGTGGCTATGGCTGCTGTGTCGGAGTTCCGCCTCCTACAGTCAGAGGAAGAACTGGCTATGGGCGAATTGGTCAGTCGCCTAGCGAAAGAAGCTTTGCAGCAGATGCGTGCTAGCGCAAAGTGCGAAAAGTTGCGTGCGTATTTAAACTTAGTGGTTGACGCGCGGGCAGAGGCCGCTAATGTTGAGGATGATAATGTTGGTCTTGGTCGTGCTGCGGTGGGTCGGAGAGAAGATGGGGCTCCTGTTGAACAAGAAGTGGATGCTCATGCTGCACAACTCGCACGAGAACAAGATGAAAAAATGAGAATGATGGCAAAACTAAAAGAAGTAACAGCTAATGCCAAAGCTAGGACTAAAAAATCGAAGTCTGCTTCCACTCGTGAAGCCGCCCGTTCACAAGGAGCTCCAGCTGGTACAACCACTAAAGACGAAGATCCTGCCCAGGAAGCTGAGCCTGTTACTGATCGTCAATATCAGAAGGTTTTGTTGCAGCGGCTACTTCAACCGACACCTCCAACTTCACCGAAAGCATTGGCCAAGCCTGCAAATGCTACCAGTTTTCCACCGTTTCCGCCACCGGGTCTGCCACCACCTGAGATCAAACCTGATGTGGATGAACTTTCTCGAAAGATCCCGGAGCCACCGTTGATCGATGCATCGAGGTTTCTACTGGATGTAAACAACACATCGAACAGGTCGAACGCTACAGATGTTGTAACTACAGAGGAGCAAAGAAGGACCGCAATTTCGAAGTTAATGGTTTCACAACAAGAGGTTCTGCATCCTAACAATTTGGCAAAGTGGAAGGCCGTTTTTCTTCGACTTTTGCGTGGCGTGGTAGCAAAAAACTTGCTTGAGTATGCGTGGGAATTGGGTTATTTTGTGAGACCAGACGAAGTTTTGCCACCTTTAGATGCAGTCGCGGAACAACCAGCTGCCCTTTTGCACCGTGAGGATTCCATCTTGTCGATTGGTGGAGATGGGAGTGGTATTTAGCATTTAGAATCACGACTTTTCTTAGTCATTTATCGGTGGAGATGGGAGTGGTATTTAGCATTTAGAATCACGACTTTTCTTAGTCATTGTTCATCGCTTTCACTAGGACATCTTTATCTTATTCTTATTTGCATCACAAAGAATATATCCGACGTCGAGAAAGAATGAAACTTACAACATCTTGCTTCGTCACTTCTCAATTTTTACCGTGAAGCATCCAAACCACATAAGTAAACAATTCCAGATTACAATAGCGTTGCAGGAGGAGGATCACTCGCCTCATTAGGCTTTTCGGCTTTACGATTGGGTGAGGATCGCAGTCAAGAAAATGGAAATCTTCAAGGACAACATCAGGAACAGGCAGAACATGTTGTAAATGTCACTGCTGGACAACAAGAGGATTCGCAGCATGCGACACCATCTTCTCTTGGTTCGCTGAGTCTCGGACGCATGCGACTAGTCGGTGATGACCAGCAAGAAGATGTTCAACACTCAGCTGCTATGTCGCAAGACCTGTCGGGTTTCTCTCTAGATTTGCACGGCGCGGAAAACGGAACAAATACTTCTGGTCGCGGACAAGGCGATACACAACAACAACGCGGCGTCTTCCAAGAGAAAGATGAAAACACCGCACAAGTCGACGCTGCTGTCGTTGATGAAGATGATTCAACAACATTGTTAGACGCCTATCGGGAGGGATCTCTGCAAAAGATGGATAGGGATCTCTTCTCAGCGACGACGTTTCTTCCAATCAAGCTCGATTTTCAAGTGCGGAGTAACGCCTTACCCTGGACTGACATGCAACTAACGCTGGATCGTCGCCAATTGGCTACAGAATGCGCATTCTCAAGGGATTTAGTGGCTGCAGTGAAGTTGTGGGCAACAACCAACGGCGTCTACAACGCGTTTGAGGGTGCGGGGGCCGGTATGGTCTGGCTGTCCTGGGTTTTGGACTTCATGGAGTCAGAGGCATTAGCCATGGTGGACGAAAATCAGTGGGTCAATGCAGCAGCTAAGGGAATGGCGGAAGAGCGGTATTGTGATTTGGACTTGACACCCTGATGAATTTTTCTGATAGTGATGTCTTTCTGATAGTGCTGTCTTTCTGATAGTGATGTCTTTCTGATAGTGATGTCTTTCTGAGTTGTTTGCTCACAGTCGATCACGAAATAACAAATCTATAATCTTCCTCTACGTATACTACCTGAAGGTCGGGAGCTCTTCCTTCACACCTGCACCTTCACAGCTCTTCGCCATTGGAGGAGGCTTTCAGTGAACGCAGCAAAAAGATCGCCAGATTGTACAACTTCTACACGAACAGACCTCAAAATGTACAAATGTACTTCCACAATCACGAAGAAATTCTGCCAGACACGCGTGCTGACAGGCTTGTGGCTACGGAAATCCTGCGTCAGAGTGAATTCGCTTTTCTCACTTGGTTGCAGCACACGCTGTCGAATCAAGAGCAGCCGTTCTACGTGTCTAGCCATCTGAAGGAGCAAAGATTTGCCTTCAAGAACATGGAGTTCCAGGCGTTGTTTTGGCACCAAGTGATGACGAGTCTGTTCCTTCTGGCCTCTGCATTGCCTCCGATTCTTGGCGGTGGAGGCGAACACGAAAAACAAAAAGAAGAACTGGCGAATAATCTTCATGCATCACCTGCTCAAGAACATGCTGCACCAGTTCCATCCGGAGCGCCAGCTCATCCAGCACCCTGTCTTAGCACTGTGCCTGTTCCTCTCTCGCCGTCTTGTCTGAGCACGACCAATGCGCCAGGACCTGAAAGTGCGGGAGCACCCATGATTAAAACATCCACCATTTCGCCTCAGAGTAGTGCAACATCAGCGCAAACACAAGTACATGGCGTTTTCCTCTTTGAGACTGATGAATCTTTGGAAACTGGTGGGCACCTTGTTCGCGTGCATCAAGCGCCTCAGGGCCTTGGACTCGATGCTCAAGCTCCTTCTCCCATAGAACAGTTTGGTGCTCTAGAAGGAAATGAAATCGTTGAAGATGTAAAGATGCAAGTGCAGAATGAATGTCAGCAAGCTCCTATCACAGGCAACCAGATGGAAATAAGCCGCGAGAGACACTATCCAGGTGGCGAGGATACCTGGAGTCCAAGGCTGGGCTTCGGTTTGCTTGCTCAGGCGTGTGGCTTTCTACCTCCACAAATGTCTACAGCAGGATGCGACGTCGACAAGGATGATAGCGAAACTCGACTACCACTATCAGGGAACCCCTATTCATTAGAGGACGAAAAGCGTGCGATGCATAGGGAAGATGCAGACATTTCGAATGCCGTACTCGAAGAGCACCAGCGTCGACTTTGCCGTGAGCGTCTTGTCAATAACTTCAAGGCTGCTGTTAACGGGGGCAAAAAGGATGCCAATGATGCACGAGCGGGAGGTATCTTAAAAGACAAACTTCAGGTGAAGATGGAAACCAGCCCCAAACCCAAAGGTGGTCCTCTATTTTCTACTTGTAACGGGGGAAACTCAACCGGCGAGGTCAACATGTCGTGGCAGCAAGACCACAAGGACATGATTGACGAAAAGGGTCCGACCGTGCTTTCCGGCACCTCGCATTCCTCTTCTCGCGAGTCGTTTTCTTTGCCAAATTTACCACTTTCAAGATGCGGATCTGATAGCATGACCTCAGGAGCTTCAACTGGAATAAATTTAGGAGCATCTTCTGCATCTGCTGGAGCTTGGTTAGATGCGCGTGCACTGAAGATCAAAAGCACTGATCCGAAAAGTATAGGCACGACAAGGGGTAATTTGCCACCCGGCCAAGCCGAGCATTTCGCTATAGCTTCTCCGCCTTCATCATCGAGCAGTGGGGAGCAGAGTGCTGAACGCAATCCAATTTTCGGAGATGCTGCTTATGGTCGTGGTCATCATGATTTTCGCAGTACTAGAGGAACAAGTAATAGAACAAGCAGTCCCGACATTTTCGTACATGGTGGAGTGAACGAGCTAACGCGAGACGCGCACGGCAATATAATCAAGCCTGCTTTCGCACTAAGCCCGTCACCATTGAATTCCTCGCCTGCGTCGTCGCATGGTAATCCTTTGGTTGACCATTTTCCTCTTGTTCAAGATCATCTTCAAGTAGATCATGAACGTGTCGAAATGCGTGTCGAAAATGCGACCATGCCTCAAGGTCTTGGTTCTTTTACTAGTGTGCCATTTATTCATGTTCATGATGCAAGGGAAAAGGAAAGCACAGTACTTCTAGACAAAACAGCGACTTCTTCTAGACCTAGGGGTGGTTCTACTTCTACATTTACCTCTACCTCTGGCTCATCTGGTACAAGCAGAGACAAGGACAACTACACGATTCTCCTTCTGCGACCGCCTGGGAAAGCGCTCCCACCTACAAGCAAAGAAGAAATGACGCGCATGATCATGAAGGAGAACAAAGAGCAGCGAGCTTCTGACGAAAAGCGCCTTGAAGACGTTGATCGTGCGAAAGATGTTTATCTCTTTCCTGCTGTAGAAGTTAGGTCCACTCCTGTAGAAGTAGGAGAAGAAGGTAGTTGCGCTCAACAAAGTGATCTGCTTGGAGTTGCTGGAGATAATGGCCATGTTGTGCATAGTAAGACGGTTCGTAAGTCTTCTACAACAAACAAAATGCGGGGTGGAACAACAGGAGCTGCCGCTCCACCTAGTAGTACTGCTGCCTTAAGTTCGCCGTGCTTGTCGAGCCAAGTCACTCAGCGTATTGGCGAACGCGTAAAAGCTCAACTACTTCAACAACAGACAACTTCTAGCTCACGTCAGGAAGATGAACACGCTGTAGAAGGAACCGGCGTTGTTTCCTCAAGTCAAAAACGGAAGTTTCTACATCTTGAACAAGTGGCGAAGCAAGAGGCTCAGTCCCTTCCGGACGACGATTTTCACACTGCTGATGAGGACTTAGAGGATTTAGCATCTTCGCAGCCACTACCGGACGAGCAGCATCATTCAACCACCAGCAGTACAAAAAAGAGTAACACTAAAACAAGTAAGAATAATAAAGTTCATCAGCATCAAGCTGTCCTTTCGAACAGTACCTCAGCGAAAATGCGAGGTGGCTCAACACTTCAGCTGCCATCTCCCGCCCATCAGCCCTCACAGGCAACAAATGAACAGAGTGCCGGACGAACTGGGTGGTTGTCAAGCAAAGCACGAGGACCAAACAGGGCAGTAGAAGCGGCGTCCGATCCGCAAGCACAAGCAGCAACTTCTCTTGATCCTGAAACGAAGCGGTATTTTGAGAAGGAAGAGCAAAGAATGAAACTCCTTATGGGAGGGCAAGAAGCAATGCATCATGGCATACAACCTACATCAACAAGAGGTGCCATTATTAAGGCTACCGTTGGAGCATCCTCAGCTTCATCCCTGGCTCTTTTTCTACTTAAAAAACGAGCCAAGGACGCTCTCGGGGATGCGACCGCGGTAGCTCTAATATTAAGGGTTTCAGATCAAAGCATCATCAAACTCCAGTGACTCTACTCCGGAATAAGCAAAACACGATGATGAAGCAGGAGGGTCACCATCCGGTACACGTAGAACAGTCAAGTGCCATGGGTTCTGTTTCTGCGTTACCATCTTCGAGTAATGCTTCAGCATCAAATACGTCGGGAGCAGCACTTCAAGGTCTTTTCTTTGACCCTGTTCGTCAAGACTCGGTAGAAGCAGCTGCTTCATCTCGTAGAGAGAGAGATCCACTAACAGGAGCATCAGAAAATATGATCGACCAAGAACAAGTGGAACTGGAACAGCATTATCAGGAACAAGGAAGTGCAACTAATCCAGGTGGTTATTTTACAACAAATTTGAGAAATGATTATGATAATAGAGGAACTTCTGGAACAAGTACTAAATCAGATCAACGTCAGCATCAAGAATCAGGTGGAACATCAAGCGGTAAAAACGGAAATGGAAATGTGAACAATCTTCGCAGACCACCTACTCTGTCAGCTACTGCTGAACTACTGCGAACTCGAACAGCAGAGTTAGCATTAAGGCTACTTACAAGAAAGCTCCCATTTTCAGAAGCATCTTGGTCCCTTTTTCAAAGGGAAAAGGAGAATCAAGATGAGTCCGAAGATGGACGCGGTCTCTTTGTTCTAATAGAAGGTCTCCAGTTTCAACAATTGCTCGATGAGCGCGGACCTTCCGCCGTTCAAGTGCCGGCTGCCGATGCTAGGAACAAGCGAACAAAAACTGTCATCCGACAAGGAGACCTCGAACGGATGTTGCGCTTACAAGCTGGCGCGGACGAGCCATCGCCTTCATCTGGGGACAACTAAAACTACTTAAGTACGTTGTCTGATTAGGATATGGAGGAAGCATGATGTTATTGACGTTGTAAAATGGTTGACAAGTAAAACAAAATGAATGATCATGTTGTTCAACAGATTGAATTAATAGGACGATATTAACATTAAGGGAACAAGAAAAAACTTATGAAGAAGATAGAAGCACATGAACTGGACGAACACCAGCATATTACGGTTCGCAATATTGAGCACCCTAGAAAAATAGAGATGAAAATGAAAATATATCGTCTTAATTTTTTTTCATGCAGCAACGCTGAAGAAATATCATAAGTTCTTGCTCTTGCGCAAAAGCAAATCTAGAACGATAAACGCTAGGAGTAGATGATTATTAGCGAGAATATTGTTCTTCTCCCGCGCCTTGTTCTTGAATGCTCAGCCGGATTGATTGTGAACGCGACGAGCTAGTACCAAGTACAAGGAACTAGAGCATAAAAAACGCGAATGCGAAAATACCGGACAACAAAAACCTCGTCCGAAAACACATACGCTAGGACTATCAGATAATCATCTAAATGTAACGAAGAAAAATGGAGGATCCGAAGACCTCTATTTGTTTCCATCAAAGAGAAGACTAAAGAAGTACTAGCACAAGCTTATATCTGCGGGAGAAGATTAAGGATTTGATGTCATCAATGAATATTGATTACCTGACTCGGAGTTGTAGATAATCGCTATCACGGATGCAACGCGGCTAAGAAGAGGACCGACCACGCACAAAAAGTACTACTAGAACAAGTTAATAGATGAATCGGACCGCGACCGCGTTGATTTGGGGAACAAGGAATTGCGCACATAATACGAAGGGTTCTTCTCCTGAGCTAGATAAGAAAATAGTCCTGCTTCATCATGAGCTCAGGGGCACGATTCCTGTTATACATTCATAAAAACCAGCGAGTACTAGAACAACATGATGAAGATCGCCATTAACGCCTTACCTCATGCGTAGAAAAGAAGCATGTGTGAAGAACTTCACACTGAAGTCTTCAGAAGGTGATGATGCTCCTGTGTCACTAGTTAATATCCTAGTTTTCTTTTCTTCTGGATGGTTTTTCTTCTTCATCCGGACTTATCAATTGTCGTAGTTCTTTTGGCCCTTCATTCTATCTAACACAGCCCAGCACTAGTACAATAGCCTAGCTACTACTTCCGAACATCAACATCTCTCTTACGACCGAATGAAGCCTCTACTTGTGCTTCTCCTTCAACAGCAATAAAGATGTAATTTAGTTTTCTCGAGCCGATTTTATTTTCGACGACACAATCTAGTTGACTTCCTCTTCAAGCCGCCGACGCCGTAATATAGTTCCTATTTGACTCCTTTGTGCCTCTTTCGATTTTTTACTTCGTTCTTGTCTGTGTAGTCACGCACTCCTAATCAGAAACTATCTGCAGTGCCTGATCATACGACTATACGCATTGGTACTTCTCGACGACATATTCATCGCACTCTCAGCTTGTTGTGGTTGTGACAAGACAATTACTATCATATGAAGTTATTGTTCCAGCACCAGCCTGGTGCCACCAGGACCAGCCATTTGTGCCTACCGCTTCTACCACATCGCATACTCTATTCCATCAAATTTCCTTCACGACATTACAATTTCAAGAGCGTGCGAGAAACCAGAAAGAAACCCTTTGATATTTGCTTGTTTCACGAATTTGAAGAAGATCATAATTCTTCATTTTCACAACATGTAAAAAAATGATGCGCATTACAGTGTGCCCCTTCAGCTTCATTGTAGCTGCTTGTTTACGCTCCGCCGGATTTTCTTTGAGAAGTGCGACCATTAGGAGGATTCGCATTTTGAAAGCAGCATCACGCGACTGTGGAAGAGCGATACTGGAGTGAGGAGCATAATTTGAAAAATTCGATGAAGTGCGGGCCTAAAAAGTCAACCTCGACGCTAAAAGCGCAAAGCGTCGCGGAAGAACTATACAACTGGTCATCAACAGAAAGATGAAGAAACTGAAAAAATGGTTAGTTCACTCTCGGCGCTAAAATACACCAGCAACAAGTACAAGGAGTAGAAATAGTTCTCGCTCGTCAGAAACCCTGCTCACGTACTAGTTTTCTGTAACGGGTTTTGTTGAACCAGTAATATGTATGACAAGAAACTGGTGGGAAAATGATCGCCCTTGTCCAATTATTTTTGTGCCCTAGTATAAAGGTTAAGGTTCAGTATAAAAAAAGTTGAGTAGCAAAAAAAAATGGAGGGCCGAGGACTTGCGTCTCTCGAAGCGCTACTGGATGTCGCTGTGCACGAACTGAATGCCGCAACGAGTCGAGTCTCTTTTGCCGCACAGAAGCAGTTCGTGCTGCCTGTTCCCTATGCCGCAGGAACTGGTGGAGAAGGAGCACAGCTTTTAACGGAGTTGATTAAGACTCCCCCTAATCCATCTCTAGAGACATCCCTCAAGCATATGCACCCCAATACTACAAGTGAGACACTGACGCAGATGCTTGAGGGATGTCTATGTACCCAAACAATACACCAAACGAACATATTCCCGACTCTTGAGCTGAGAGTGGGACGAAATTCAAAATGGAACGAAATTCAAAATGGTAACAAGGTCTAACTTGATCGAGTCAGCGGAGACCCTGCGAGCACATGCACTGGATGCGAGGACAAATAGTAGTCGGGCTTTCTACAGCAGTGTCCAGGATTTGATCGGTCGAGATTGCTATTTGCGGTTGTGCAGGAGTCGGATCCCGCGAATTTTCCACGATAGCGGTGCAAAGACATCGATCGTGCGTGCAGAGAAAAAAACGTCCTCTGCTGGGAAGAATACCTCCACTCGAACATCTTCATCGTCTAGCTGCAATCAAGTAGTACCATTAACACCGCAACAGCACAATAAACTACAGCGCTCTACTAGTGATGATGGACCGGGAGGAGGGTCGAATCTGAACAAACCTGGCGCCCGAACGCAATTCGTTACAGCCAGCACACGAGCGTTCTTTTTAAGAAGTACTGGGGTGTCGTCGATACTTGTAATTCGTTCGGATGGTAAGCGGTGGATCACAAAATAAGTAGCGTCTCAAATCACACAAAAAAGATCCACTGAGCAAGACAATCCTCTACAAAGATCTGAAGCGTTTTGTCGTGCGTCAAATGGAAGTTCTTCCCTAAGTGGTTCCCTAATTTTCCCTAAAATTCGTATGTGGGAGGTTTAAGCGTGTCCGTTTGTTTCTAATGGGGTGTCGTCGATACCTGTAATTCGTTCTGATTCTTTATAAGAGATGAAATGAATCATCCTCACGTCGACGTCGAAACTTGTATCTCTGTCTAATTTTTGGCAGTGCCCCAGAAGAGGAAGTGTACGAGAAACATCGCTACGTTGAAAGGGAAACGGATTTGCTGTGGCCGTTATTGCAAGCAGAAGGGCTCAGTTGGTCGCAGAAACGGGTTGCGTTGTTTGTTGGTCACGCGAACCGATTTGTAGCCCGTGCTGAAGCAGAATCGACGGGCAATCCAGTAAAGATACTAGCCTCAACATCCTCTCGAAAAGGTGGAGTTGGGGACACCGCAAATGGATCCAGTGCGCGACCAGAGATTCCGGCTTCTTTTGTCGCGCAGCTGGAAATCATTCTTAGAACTCGTGGCTTTGCCGAAGTCGAATGCTGCACTACAGATTTCGGATGCTCATCGTTTTTACATGGTGCCGACGTAATAGTCGTCCTGTCTGAAGCCGGATGGCCGTTTTTACGAGATTCTCTCATGCTAAACATGTCAACGCGTCCTTTGCCACAGTTGATTTTCGCAGTGGGGTCTTTGTGGAAGAATGCACCGTGTAGTTGGGTCGAACGAGCAGAACAGCCTATGTCTACTAACGCAGAGCAGAGAGGTAAATCTAGTAGAAGAAGCGATAGTATGAAAAGCAGCGGGGTACTAGCGACGTCACCAGACGGCGTTTCTGCTGACAACGGAACATCCTCCTCAGGTGGATCGTATAGTTCTACCACTTCACCGCGCTTCAGAGAACAGCGATCCATGTGGCAACAGATGTTGGCAGCACGCGGCGAAGGAGCCTTTTCCTTTCCCAAAGACTGTTGTGAAGAACGGGCACGGACATATTTCTCAGACCTTTTTCAGAGTAAAGAACTTCGTTCAGCGGCACGACGATCTTCACAGGAGCAGAGTGTCACGTTTGAAGGCAGTATTAATTCGTCTCCCTCACAGACTGAAGGAGCTGCATCTGCAGCTCGTCACGCAGTTCCACCGGTGCCGCCATCTGCATCAAACAAGAGGAATACTAGTGGCGACGGTGTTGAGCAGCAAGCGAACAACAAAGGCGCGGCAGCGACACGACCACCTGGTAATATTCGCAAACATCTTCCGAGAGAGGTGGAAGTGGCAGAGCAGCAACGAAATTTGTTCATCTTTCTACGTGTCGGACACATCGTGCAGGATCTGCGACTAGGTTTGCGCCCACGTCGTTTTGAAATCCGAAAAGCGGCTTTCGCAACAGAAAGACGCAAGCAAGAAGCAACGACTATTGTGAGCGGCTTAGCAGCTTGGGCAGAACAGAGGAAGATAGAACGATTAAGGGTTCAAACTACATTTCTTCACTTTTACATGTTTTTCTTTTTCTTCCTTAGCATTATTAGTACTTTTCAGATTCTGTAACAAGAAGAATGAAATGTTGTTCCAACGACCTTTAAAACGAGCCAAAAAGCTGCGAGACATGCAGCGGGTCCGTCAAGCGCGTCGACTTCAAAAAGCCAACAGGACTAGCTTGAGTATCACGGCTCCGGTCCACTTACGAGACATAGAGCAAGCCGAAGACGACAATAGTTCGGATCACAGTTCTTCAGTTGAAGAGGGCAACACTAACAAAAGCAACTCTGTTCGAGGAGAGCAACAACGCGTAAGAAGTTTTGAAGAAGATGCGGAGATCATAAAGCGTAAGAAGGTGGATCAAGAACAAGAAAAGCAGAAGAAAAAGGCCGCCGATGAACAAGATAGTGATGCCAGTAGTGGGCAAACCGATTTGCTTTTAGGGGAACATCTTCTCGTCTCCCATGCTATCAATTCGCAATCGGACAATGACATTAGCGATGGATCGCCACCAGCACGAATGTTGAAAAATAGCACTTCTTTGTCGTCGGAAGCACTCAACGCACTGGAGAGGCAGCAGAAGCGGACAGGGTACGAACTGAGGAAAAGGAGGAGGAAAATAGCTGCCAAAGCTAGTGTTGTAGTTGTTGATCATTTGGAAGGAGTGGATTTGGAAGGAGCTCCTGAGATCAACAGTGACGCTTTTGCTGGTGAGCAGGAATTGGGTGGACCTGGAAAAGAACCCGTCGTAGAAGGAAGCCAACAGCTAACTGGGAAGACCCTGAGTCGTGACAGTGCTGTGCCATACCCTGAGCATAATATTTTCGGTGTGCGCAGCCGCAGTCCTAGAAGTAGCAACAATATGCAACAAGTCCATCATCTGGACCCGCCAAGAACGGGTAGAAAGGACGAAAGAAGTAAGGAGATATTGACGATTGATCAAAATGCGAAGAAACTCGTAAAGGCGATGACCAAGGAGAGCATTGAGTTGCTACAAAGAAAGAGTTCCTTCCAGGAAGAAATGATGTCGTCGTCGTCATCAGCTGTTTCTGATAATGAAGAGGTATTGCGGTTTCTCAGTGGAGGTATTGCGGAGTCCGTTATGATGAGCATGAAGAAGAACAGGAGCAGAAATAGACAAGAAGGACCGGGAGGTAACGAAGAAGATGAAGAACCCTCGTCATCACGAACACCTCCCAAGAGGGGTCCATCTCAGATTGTCACAGAGGCTTTGTCGCCGGCCAGTTGTAGACGGCGCAGCCAGCGGTGCGCCACTCGATCGCCTGGGATGCGGAAGATCGCAGAGTCCATGATAGAACACCGTAACAGTACTAATACGAGGACAGAAGGGAGCCTCAATCTTTTTAGGAAAGGTCTTACACCGACACCGTCGAAAAAGAAGAAGACGAAGAGTACGAAGAGTGACCACGACCAGAAGGGAGACCACGTCCTAGACAAGAAGAATGAGGAAACCTTTGAAGAAATAAACATCACAACGCCCTCAGCATCAGGACTCGGCTTGTCAGCTGCACTGCAAGAGGAAGATGTCCAAGTTGTGAAGCAACAAGGTGAATTATTATGCAGAGATAGGAGCACAACTAGCAATGCCAGCACTTCGAAGAAGATAAAAACGGGCGCTGTCCGTAATTCAGCCGGTGTCGTTGTCGGTCGAGGCCCCTCTGCCTCATCTTCGGGTTCATTAAGGCTACCGCCCAAGCATCCTCAGCGCCATCCCTGGCTTGTTTTTCAAGGGAAAAAGGGCTCAGGGATGCACCCGGGGATGCGACGTGGTAGCTCTAAGTTCAGCAAAGCGAAAAACTACAGGTGACTCAGAGAAAAATAGTGCGAATGACGATCATTTAGTCCTCCACTGGGTTTCAGCAGAAGATCTCATTGACATTTTATTCGCCTTGATCTGCGACCCTCCTGCCACGAGTCGGCCTTCGAAATCCGCAACTGGGTTTTTCGTCATTAATGCTTGCGCTCCAGGAGGTGGATTGCAGTATTCTCAAGATCTCGAGAAAATTTTGCTCTACGACAAGCTGAAGCCTGACCAAAACCCAGAAGACACACCTGGATGGCGAGGGGAGGAAAGGGGAGTACTAGACGATACTGGCACCTCGTCTGGTGGCGAACACTACGTTGAGTGGTCAGTGTGCACCACTAGTACTGTCTCCAGAGCTGGCGAGGTAGATGGGGGTGCAGGCGGATGGAATTCGTCAGCCTCAGAACATGATGACAATGATTCGCCCTTTTCCTCAGAGCTTTCTTCGGCAGACGATCATTTGATCTGGAGGAAAGGAAGAGGAAGCAGTGGAGGAGCAAAGAGTTCATCAGAAGGTTCTAGTGCTGTGGGTGCAGCTGCAGGTAGAAACTCCGCAGCAGGACATGGCTTTGTACGTTGGTCTCAACTACATGTACGTGAGCGTTGGGGTTTGAGGCGGGCCGGCGGAAAAGAGTCTTTGGCTCTGCGAGAAGGAAGACGAGCTGAAAAGATGCGAAGACGAGGGAGAGGAACGACCAGGAGTAATAGAGATACGAGGACAACCAGTTCGGGAGAACTTCGGGCGAGTGAGATGGTCACTGAATTCGCGTCATCTACGACGCAGGCAGATCTTCCACCTTCTGCGATGAAAGACTACAGACCTGAAGTCGACGAAGAAATCGCCGACCTGGTCTCTGAGGGTGCCCAACGAGAACTGGAGGAATATCCATGGGCTAAAATGTTGTTTGGTCAAACGCTTTTTCCGCTCGCAGTTCGAGCACCACTATTTTTGATGAAGAAAACAGTGGGGATACCCAGAATTGCGGAGGAAAGTTATGGAACAGAAGGGGAGAGTTTTTCTCACGCTTTCCAGTGCGGCAGTTGAACCATCGAACAAATTTCGTTTTTATTGTTGAGAAATGGAACGCCATCGACATCGTTGAGCCATAGGAATGTTTGATTAAGTAAGTAGTCGAAAATTCCTGAAACACAAACATCACTTAAGCACTTGTTCTAAGCACCTCTGCGTCACTCCTTGCATATCGCCAACGCAAACATTGCTGCGCGTCGCGAGTCGGTGCAGAAGACAGCCTCAACAGGAGACGGTCTTCCCGACAGAGAAAGACGAAATTATGTAGAGACTACTTATTGCTCAGATGATTCTTGTTTTTCGTTCTCGTTCACCTTCACGTGATATGATTATCATCATACATTCCTCTTGATATAATATGGGAAAGGTGGGAATAATCAATCTCCAGCGGTATCTCTGAATGGTTCCGGTATTTGGTAACCTGATTTTGATCATATTCATAAGGGAAAACAAGAAGAGAATCCTTGTGATCGAATTCAGGCTACCAAGTACCAGGGCCATTCAGTCTCGTATACAGCAAATACCCGCCACCACCTCCCCTTTTCATTCCCAGCTACTGAAAGCGCGAATGCGGCATGAGGCTAGACTGAAGATGCGGAGGCATTTAGACAGTTTGCTAGTCCATCCTTACCTGGCCCACGCCGTGGCAAGACAGAGTCAGTTGCTGAGGCCACAAACGTTACTAGGTTTGGGTTACCACTTCTACGATGTGGATTTCGATCAATGAATTCTTGCTGCAAGGTTCGATCGCAGTTATTTGACGGGCCGACAGAAAAATTGAAATACTTTTTCAAGAGTACTACTACCTTGAGTCGATATATGATTAGAAATACACTAACATCAGATTTCGTTTTCGTTTTCCAGTGAAATACAATCACACCTAACAATTTTCCAATTTCCACCTCCATGTTTTATACTACTTGATGAACCAAGAATACCAATACCAATTTTCCTGCAGCACGAAAAGCTACAGCGAATTTTTTTCCTCTGCACATCATAGTTTAGTTAGAGTTGACTTATCATCTGCATTATACTAGCAATATTCGCCTGTGTCCAGTTTTGTATACAGTTTGCTCTTGCAAGAATTGCGCCATGATGTTCTAGTAATCCGTTATAATGAGGCACTGAATTATGATTGATGTCCATGTACAGCTTTTACTTTTTCTGTCATAAAAATAGAAGGAGATCATGAAAGAAAGTATAGCAGAAGCAAAATTTGTCATGATTGGCGTGGAAACATTAATATGGATGAGGAGGCGAACCAAGGCATGCTCGAACTAAGGAAGAATCCTCGTCCTGCAGAGGATGAATTCACTTGTTGAAGAACCGCAGAAAGCTAAACTGCTGAAGCCTTCCCCTTCGCCCACCTTCGGTTGGCCAACAAGAAGGCTCTTTTTAGCACTTTGCGTGCTTTGCAGCTTTTTGTGATGTTACGTCTGAAATTCTCTACAACTACAACTTGACGCTGACTTCACTTGAGGAACCGTAGGTAGAACAGCCTCAAGAGCATCTAGAGAAAAAGTAATACGTTCCAGTTGTAAATGTCATAGAGAAGACAGTACCACCACCATTGTCCAAAATCTCTCTGTCCTTCTTCTTCCTTGGTGGCTAATTAATGATCGGAGAGCAACAACACGTCCACGTGCGTGCGCGAAAGAGATGAGTGGCGAAAAGAAAGTCTGTATCATCTGTTAACAGTCTCGTCATTTTCGTCTTCCATGCAGAGCATCATGGTCCATTCCCATCTCAAAATCTCAGATAGATCTTCATACAGTTTGTTCACCAACCCAAACCCAGGACCGCATTTCCTCTCATTTTTCCCATTGTGGAAACAACCCTGTAGTTTCATTCTGGTTGACGAAAAGAAAAAAAAATCCATGATTGAGACTAGTACTTGTTCATAAAAGAAAAAATAGCGTTTTCTCGAGTAGACCTTCCGAACGTTGTACAGTCGATTCATATTTTCTTTTGTTCGTGTTTCTTGTTTGAGGTTGTTGTAGTTGTTGTTTCTATAGTACTATCATCACCAACAAGGCAGCATGGCAACGCCGACAAACGCAAGCTCCACGGGAGTAGGCGTCCAGAGGGGAAGGCGCGCGTTGAGTACGCCACCTACTGGCGAGCTCCTACCACCCATCAACTCTTATGGCGTGTTCTTGCAATACAGGAGTTTTCGGATTCATGATTTTCAATCCTTCATGTTCTTTATGATGCTCTTTATGCGAAAGTTCCCATTGTAACCTCTTCAAGTAAATAGACATGGATGCACATAGTTATCGATTAATCTGCATAAAATTTCCTCTTCCACATCCACCTCGTCTGCGTTCTTTCGCTAACAAACATCGCCAGGGAAGACGCCAAAGGGCGATGGTGCGGAGTCTTTCCGAAAAATTCAGCGCGCTCTCAATAAACACCGGTCACTGGAGATAGAAACAATGAAGCATTTGAAACGAACAAAAAGATGTACTGTTACTCCTTTATTTCACTTGTCGTGAATCACCTCTTTATTTCACCTGTTTATTTGAAAGGGAATGTATCTTTATCTTCAAGCTTTGATCACAAGCTTATGTTGATGAATTTATCATACTAGCAGTACTACTACTAGCACTAGTAGGGGACATGAAAAACTTGTACTAGCACTAGTAGGGGACATGAAAAACTTGTACTAGCTGCACTAGTAGGGGACGACATGAAAATCGAAAATTGAAGGACCTTTACTCCAAAAACTTGTGAAGCCTCTCTCATCTTACCATCAAAATCTACTCAGGCGAAGACGAGACAGCACAGAACCGAGAAGAGAAATTGGTGGAGAAATACAACCTGCCAAAAATCGAGGCAGAAGCTCGAGTCGACAGCAACCGTAAACCCAAGAAAATGAAGGCAGCTCCAGGACTCAAGCCAGGAGACTTAGAGCAGGAATTGGTACTAGATTTACGTTTACCGGGTACTAGATTTACCTTTACGTTTAGTTACAGCTGTTTCTGAAACAACATCAACATTGATATCTGCCAGGCCTGCTATGTCCAGGTCTGCCAACATGTTCAGGTCCTTCACCATGTTGAACTTCTTTCCTTGACCTTGTGACACTGTTAGTTATACGAAGATTTTCACCACTCCCACGCTCAGCGACATCCTCACTTCTTCCAGGTACGACGTGTAATCAATAGTGACCATGATTGGGTCTACAATTGTTTACAAAAAGCCGGACGCGAACTCCTCTTCTCTGAGTGGGGTGGTGGCATCGCGAAGACGAGTATCTTGTATGCAGCGCAGAAACCAGGTAGTACGTCTTTGCAGAACAGGTCGTGTTTAGTAGTAGTAGAAGATGTTCTTGGTTGTAGGTGAACAACAGAGAATAATTTTCTTTTTCCATCCCTCCTCTTTCCATCCCTCGGGATCCTATCAGGATCTGTTTTGTCTTTCCGAAGATAGAGAATGACCTTCTAAGACAGCACAATGATGATGAATTTTTGCTCTAACTTGCAGCTTCTAGTAGGACCGACGCCTACAAAAAACTCCTCCCCTGTTCTCCTACTTGTTTTCGAATGGATGTGATCCTTTCCATCTCCATGAATCCACTGCCTCAGATATCGACATGTGCAAACTCCTCCTCCGCTATGGCGGAAAAGAACTGCTCGCAATCAAAGACATCAAAAATCGAGATGTCAGCTACTATGCCGCGAAGCATGGGTTCGATATTGGTTCGCTCAAGGGCATGGGACAGGGCTTAGTCGACTGTTGGAACTACAAGGTTTTGATGCGTAACCGTCGCTCTGGTGGCACTGACATTAAGGCTCAGGAGCTTTCAATGGTCACCATTGAGATTGGGGTCACTGAGATCCCTCTTGAGGAAAGACGGGGGAAAAATGAAGGAAAAGCAAAGGGAGAGGCGGCATGGGGCCCATTTCTTTCAGAGTCAGTGACCATTGAGTGCTGAGCTTTAATGACAGCACTACCACGTCAACCTTCTTAGACGGCGGATCTAGTATCATGTCCTCAACGACGTCCATGACGACGTCCATGATGTCCACATCCGTTACGGGAGGTGGAGGACGAGGAGGACTAGGCCATCACAGTCCTAGTAAACATTCGAATCTTCTTGTGGCTTCTAGTCCTGCTGCACCTCCAGGAGGTAGTAGTACTAGTCCTCTAGGTAAAAGTGTCAATAACAACAACAGCAATTTTTATGCTGGCGCTTCTAGTACTAGTACAACAAGAATAAATGGGGCAAACGAAGAGCCAACAGTTGTTGTACCAGCGTCTTCAGCAGAGCAAATGGATCCACAGCGCTTCTACAACACCGCCAGTGGAGCTATAGCGCAACCTTTTGGTACTTTTTCACCCGGTAAAAACAACAAAAAGACTAGTGCAAGTAATGCTGGATCTTCATCTTCTAGGGTTCCTAGTGACCATGAAGGAGGGAACGAACCAGTAGCTCAACAGATCATGGAAATGAAGATGCGAGATGGCGGTAGTGCTAGTGGGGATTCTACGTCAGCTGCGGGAACACAGGACGTGGAAACTAGTTCATGCACTAGTACGTTTGACGACGGTGGAGCGAATTCAGATATTGGGGGCGGTTACATGACACCCGTGCAACAGCAGGTAGTTCATGTTGAGATTTTTGAGATAAAAATTCGCTGACAAATAAAACTGATAGATATAACTGTCGTTGATCAAAAGTCAGTGCTGATCTCTTCACCAGATTGTTTTTACATTACTTCTATGCAGATCTTCGTTCTTCCACTTCTTCATTGCGAATTTCATCACCTCACCAAATCAGCATCCTCGCGGTTTACTACCTAGTCCCATGGCTGCGACTACGCGAAGCAATTTCGTAGCTCAAGAAACGCCTTCTCCTTCCAAGATGCACACTACAGCTCGGACCCCAGGCTCATCTTCACCTGGGAAACAGTCTGCTAAAATGAAGTGGGCTGCTCGTGGCATCGCGGCTGCAGCGAAGCTTGCTGGTACCCCATCCATGGATTCTACTATAGAAGAAATGAACGACTTTGACGAGCCTAACACCATGCTCTTGGAGCAGTACGGCAGACGCAAGAAACCAAGACGAAGCAACCCGAACTACGATCACAGCGTTAGTGGATGTACAGCACTTTTAAGTGGATGTACAGCACTTTTAACTCAACAAAAAAAGTACTTAGCCACGTTCTAGTACTTCTCAACATTCCTCAACAATTCCTCAACATCCTTCATTCTACTAGGACTTCTACATCATGATGATCACCTGTGTATTTTCTCAATTATCACCAACAATCACCCACACCATTCCCACCATGTTATCACCAACAATCACCCATCATGATCATGTTATCTTCACCCACAATCACCCACACCACTCCCACCAGTTATCAAGCTGCCGCCGGTCTCGCCGGCCAAGACGACGTCACGACCTAGCAAGCGGAAGTAAGGCTACCATTTCCAAGAAAAAATGCCGAGGTCTTTTTAAATGGATCAGCATGAACAATGAGAATAGGAATACTTACGTGGAACTACAACATGCACAAGCACAACGAATCAATATCTTAACATTTGAAAACTAAAACAGCTACTGTGTATATTTTTCCTTTTGGGCTTGACATAATCAATCTTACTAAACAACTGTACACAACACAACTTTCTTGGGTTATTAACTTATCATGTTCTTCATCTTCGGGATATGTACTAGCTATGAAAAAGATCGACAAAAACACTGTATACTATCGTTTGGAAGTTGCATGGCGGAAACACAACAATTGTATAGAATTTTATTGGATTGATCCTGGGAATTGAGAAAAAAGATGAAACCTTCAATAACCTAAACGTAGATCTAGATAAAGTAGACGATGATATACAAAAAGAATGAAGATATATGACAAAATGAACAACGCAAACATCAAGGAGAATTAGAATCGAGGTAAAACTAGATCTAGAACTTCTTCTAGTCGAAATGAAAGAAAATACAAATCTGACAAATAACACATGTGGGATCTAATATTTTTATACACAGCATATCCATATGTATAATATGAGGCGCACATGCAACTACTAGTACCATGGAAGAACAATGGTACGAAGAGGGTATATTATCGCATGACGAAACAGTCGTGAAGGATGAAAATCTGATGTTGAGGTGGTTATCAACGAATTCAAGACTCGACGTGACACAGAGTCCTCTGAATCAAAATGTCTGGTTTCGCTTGTGATGTGTTTTTGCCAGGCCGCTCCGGTGAGCATAAAAAAGAAACAAGAAACTTGAGGATAGAGTAAAGTGTCTCCAGCATGTTGTCCTGTGATGTGATCTGTTTCTGATCTTGTTGCGCTCCCGCGACGAATACGAAAAGGATGTCGCGAATATGCAAGCAGCTGTCCTCTGCACCGTCGATCAACAAGTCACGGAGGAGATGTCTGGTTCTCGGTGATAGGATCCTCTTCTTCTACTAGTACTAGTCTTGAATGAAATCATTTTACTACTGCGTTCGTAGTTTCCGGTTCGGGTTCACTCACTTTAGAGCCAGATAAATTCCAGCAGGATTTTTTATATTCGGGTTGTTTGAGGCCGCTAGCTACGGGTTGTTGTATTAGTGTTGTACTTTATCTTCTTGTACAACCAGCAGTATTTTGAACTAGTCTTGTAGGACGTCTTGTAGGACATGATTATGTTGACATTTTTAGTAGACCACAACAACATCAGCCTCGGTGGACAACAAGAATGAAGATAGCCTCATCAGTTGGTCTACTAAACGGCGCGTTTTCTATTTCTGCTTTGACGTGTTGTGTAGTACTAGTATCCAACACATGCTGGCCGACGCTTCTTGCGTAAGGCTGATGCAGAAGGAGTGTCTGCAAGCTGGAGTCGAGCCTCGTTGTAATTGTGCTTGCTTGATCCTGGTCGGTCGCCGACGCCGTTGACGTGGTTGCAGGGTCTAGAAGTTGTGGGCGGAGACGAGCCTGTACGTTTATGCCGCTACAGTATATTAAGCATACGCATAGACGTCGCCTGAAGCCTTTAGTTTGCAGTCGAGAGCTCGAGTGCTACTGCTGGGACGAAACCCTAAACCCTTGATGGACAAAGATTAGACCTTCGCATCAACAACGCCCTCCATCAAAAACATCCTCGTACATCAACGACGCAAAGCACATCAACTGGTCAAAGATCGGAAGCTAAAAAGAAGATCATCCTCATCATCCTCTTGTTCCTCCAAGAATAGTACAAAATGGCTGACGGAGGTGTTGCTACCATTTTCGGCGTTCTTCAGCCAGAAGAGGAGGAGATCTTGATCTCAGAGTTGGAAGTCCAGCATGGACCAGCAGTGGCAAAGAAAATGAAACGGCATTTTCGGTCAAGTGCCAACGAAGATGAGAAAGATGAAAAAATACTGTGCCAACAACTGGCGCAAGCCGCCTCATTGTCAGAAGACGCGGCAGAGAAAGTTATCGAATGGTAAAAATGCTTATGCTTCTACAACTTTTGACAGTGGTATCGAGTTTGAGTGATGAATTTTTAGCTTGGGCTTAGCTTGCTATAGCATACTGAATCGTTATTTCTTGTCAATAAACCATTCACAGGTGTCGAAGAATCGTCCACGACATGCAGCAGATAGGCGAAGAAATGCGAGAAGGTGGCGAAGACCTTCCAGACGGGGACGAAGCCGAAGACGGCGCGCCACAAGCCGGCTCACATGTAGGTGGCAATAGTACTAACGGAAACTCCAGTGCTAATAACGGCGGTATTGCCGCAAGTGGCGGTCCTTCGGGTGGAATCCAACTGAGTACCAATAGCTCATCAGGAGGTGTGGTGTTACAACCAGCTAGTGGTAACCCGAGTAGTGGAGTAGTAATACATCCAGCAAATAGCAATGCGAATGGAGGAGCACAAGACCACAATAGGAACGCTGGTGGAAGTATAATAACGCCAGCAGCGGATAGACCGAGGAGACAAGGAGGGACGTTGGGGATATTTGCCTCGGCTGTCGGACAGGTACTATAATTGAGTCAAACGTGATGTTATCAGAATCAGAGCAAGTGACCAATCAAATTTCTCGTAGTTAGAAGACTGAGAATTATGAGTCATTCCCTGGGTTCTCCGACTGCGAATACAACATCTTCATCGAGCCCAGGTCTTCAGCTTCTCAATTTCAAACTCCTCCAACTCCATTCTTTCTTCTAGGTAAAAAACCAGTCACGGCAAGGCCAGCAGCCACCTACAGTTAGGCCTCCACAAAGAGCGCGACCCTCTAGGTCACGGTCTAGATCTGTGGCTAGTGAGGAAGACGTCTCCGACATTAGCAACGAAGAGCCTAGAGCACGAGCAAACGCTAGGGAAGGTAATTTAGCGAGTTGAACTTCAAGGTTTCTCTTTGTGAAATCATGAAAACTGCAGCCGGAAAGAATAGTTGGGAAAGGATGGTAGAGGAACAAGATCTTGATTTTAGATAGTGATAGTGCTGGATTTTCTTCATAGACTATGCAACACTATAAATATGATTCGTCCTATCTTGGTGTTCTACAACTCAAACTTCAGCTGCTCCTCCTGCGAAGCGGTTTCGTGCTGACGAAGACGACGTGCGAGCCGAAGAATCAGAGGGGGAACAAGTACGCAAGAAAGAGAAAAAATTGAAGAAGGTAATCATGATAAATTTGGTTAACAGATGATGTTTCACTGGAAAGACTTGTCACTGTACTAGTGTGCTAGGCTATCATGCGAATACGAATTCACCATTCTTGCCGGTTAGGATCGCGAATACGAAGCTATAATTTCTCTAGACTCACCACCATTCATCCACGTCTCATCTCCACACGCCCACAGGAAAAGCGCGAAAAGAAGAAAAAGAAGAAAGCAAAGAAAGAAAAGCGGAAGGAAGAGGAAGAAAGGTCGCCACCTGCAGTCGAGCCAGGCAATATGGTCCATCTGGGGAATGGTATTGTTACAATCGTTGCATGATTTGAACTATTTTTATTTTTTTACAGTAGGAGTTTTATGCTTCAGCAATAAAACAATGAACAGGACGAGCTACAAGATGAGATGTAGCCTGAAATACAAGAAACTACAACAGGTTTAACTGGGCAAGTCGTTATGATGTCTAGTGGCTCGACCGCACCGCCAGCGGCCGGTCAAGTTGTTGCTGCCGTCACCACGACTCCAACGGTCATACCTGCGCCTGCAGCTCCCCCAGTACCCGCTCTCCCTCATCACATCGCCCCAGTTGGGGGGCCCCCACAGGCAGGAGCCCAATTAGGGACCGCCACCTCACAAACAGCCCAATTGGTGACCGCAACCAGTGCTGCTGCGGCGGCTGGTGGAAATATGGTTCTGAATAATAGTGCGGCGGGAGGAGGCGAAAACTACATGGAGCCAGTCATATTGCCGCCAGCAGGAACAGCAAGTCAAAGTAGCAGCTATGGGAAAGGTACCGCTGGTGACCACGGGATCTCAACTAGTAGAATTTGTGTGAAGATATCTGACTCTGCATAAGTACTTGATTCAGTTTCAGTAGTTCTTACTTTAACATAGCTTTATCAAAGATACATGGTCCTCCTCATGGTTCTTGCTTCTATCTTCGAGAAGTCATCTTCCACAGGTGGCAAATGGAAGCTGAAAAAGTGGAAAGTGGCTCCATTGAAGAGCGACATTATAGTACGAGACACGCAGGAGCTGGCCTCTACTGAGACTAAGCGACTACGGGAAGGCGAAATAGTAGAACAAACAGGACCAGAGTTGCACTTGGAGGTGAAGGATCCAAATACTGGAGTTCGGCGCGGCTATGTGACGCGAATGCCGATCACGCATCCGCAAGCCATAAATTATCCGCAACCGATTGGATGGGTAAAAATTTCTCTTACGGACTGACTGAAGACTGGTGACAACACGTCGGAGAATTCATCGCGGCTTAGCAGATCTTGCTCGCATATTAGAAGATTGACCACGTGTAGTTTGTGATCATCGTTTCATCATCACTTACTTGTTCTTGTTTTCATTTACGACCTTGAGCAGCTTTACATCATTAAACACCATCTTCATCGTTCCATGATCCACACCAGGTAACCCTTTCCGCAAAGCAATTAGGAGGACCCGAGTATTTCCTGCCAGGTCCGCAGGCCGTTGAAGTCCAGGTCGGCGGCAAGAAAGGAAGCGCGAAAGGCAAGAAGGCAAGCGCCTACATGATGCAAGGAATGAGTACTGCTTGGGGAGGCGCAGCCGCGACCTTGTACAAGGGAGGTGCAGTTGGAGGCGCAGCAGCGTATATGTATGGCGGAGCAGTCGGAGGCAAAGCCGCAGCAGCAGGCTTCTATGCCTCGAAGAGTAGCAAGGGCAAGGGAGTAAACAAAGGAGGGCCAAAAGGGAATTTGACGTGGACAGCACCAAGTCCGCCATCGCAGCCGGCTACTGCGTAGAAGACGATCAAATGCAGCAGTATTGACGAAAAAATTTGGTTGCTCTTTGACATCTTCACTTGGTGCAACATTTTTTCTTTCTCCGTTGGCACATTGGCGGGAAGAACATGTTGACTCTACTTTCACATTCAACACCCTAAAGACCCTCGTTCTCCTGCCCTTTTCTATTCTCGTCCCCAAGGGTAGTCCTAATCAGGACACTGTAACAGTGTTCGCGCTGCTTTTAAGGATGTTGTAAGCACCGTTGTAGCTTTGTCAACATAATGCTGCAACAAGAAATCTTCCTTACTTACTTATAAAAATTTTACCTGCTAGTTGTGCTTCACCCATTCGTTATATGTCATAAGTATCTCCGAAAAAGCGCAGCGAGAATGTGCTTTCTCTACGCGGCTTGCTGACTCACTTTCGACATCTTTTTGTTGTACAAAAACATCAATATTAGTTGTATGTATGAACAACTCTATACAAGAAGAACCTGATATAAAAAAACTCTTTCTAAGAATATTTTCACATTATCCTTGTTAACCTGATAGCTCTGAATTACGATACAACGGACTTTGCTTTCATGCTTGTCTCCTGGTGTGTGACGTGGTGTTGTGTGCTCCACGAAACACATCACATGGTGTCCCCTCGCCAAGATGAATTCGACAAAAGCCCTGTGTCTGTGGCATAAGCAGTCATATCTATTCTTGTGGCCGCGACCTCATCATAATATCTGACGACGAATAGGAAAGTGTTGAAAAAAAAAATTAGAAAAATAAGAGACACGTCAACAATTACCCGAAGACAGCCGTGATGCCATCGTACAACATCACGTGTGGTCGCTGTACGACCAACAATATCTATCAAGCAGAAAAATCTAAAAAGCTTGATTATATTGTTCTAAGTGCGCTGTGATAAATGAATCCTCTCGTTTGATGACATTTCAATCGGTGTTGCCGCCAATACGTGATCAGACTTGCAGTGAACCAAGAGATTTCTTTGTAAATAGATTACTGTGAAGAAGACCCCCGACGCTCTAGCATCACGATCATTTTTACAGGTGAGGGCGATCTGTAGGATCAATCTTTTTTTTGTAGAGTTGATTTATTTCCCTCCATCTCCTGTTTTCATAGTACTACAACTGCAAGAAGCGTCACCTCGAAGTCACCCTTCGATAAACAAAAAAGTGTCGTTGCAACTGACTGTAAAACTACTTCTCCGTAGTCGTATCCTCCCTAGGTGTTTTTGAGAGAACAAGAAGCTGCACTCATAACGACCACAAAGATTTCTATTTCAACTGATCTTCTGGAGCCATGGCCCCTGAAATCAAGGAGCCAGAAATCTTCTAATTCTAATATCTCATCTTGATGAATAACTACTAGCTTGCTAGCAACAAGATGGGTGATTCTACTGATTCGCGTTCTGGGCCTCCAGTGCCAAAGAATCCGAACAATCCAGACGGGGGTGGTGCTGGACACAGTGGAGGTAATGGTAAGCGACCTGCTACCTCAGGAGGAGGAGAAGATGCCGATAATAAAAACAAGCGTCGTCGTCCAAGTCCAAACATGATTCCGATTCGAGGTTTACGACTCGACTCTGATGAGAACCTGTATGGCGATGATGGAGTAGCGGAAGGTGGACGGGAAGACGAAGACGATCTTCCCTTTGGATTTCCTCACGAGGATAGTGAAGAACAAGAAGACGAGGCTGAGGGAGGACTACGAGAGGTGGATGAAGATATTTTTGGTGGTGGACAGCTGCAGCACCAGCAGGTAGGGCCACATCAAGAAGTAGCACAAGTAGGAGACATTAGCAGGAGTGTTTTTAGACAACAACAAGTACAACAAGAAGATCCGTTCGGTGAAGATGAGGATGTTGAAGAGAACGACGAAGAGTTACGACTTGCACTGGAAGAAAGCCGACGTATGGCAGAGCAAGGCCTCGGACTACAAGGAGAATTACAAGGTTGGCAAGCAGAAAAACATCAACTTCAACACCATGTCGTGGCACAACCACAAGCAGAAGCCCATCAACAAGAGCAGGAGTATCTTCAAGGTGACTACCGCCAAAACCAAAATCATGATTTTCGACAGCAACAACAACACGGAGGAGAGCAAGAGGAAGAAGAGCAGGAGGACGAGGAATTTTTGCGTATCCTTGAGGAGAGTAAGAAAACAGAGGCAGAGGACCAAGCACGTCGCGAAAAGCAAATGGCGGAGTACACAAAACAGGTGAATGCCGTACAACAGGAAAGCCATGATTTGGAGTTAAGAGTGAGAGTTTTGACATGACTTGCAATCCCGTCTTCGTCACCGTCCTTTCGTCTGAGTGTAGAAAGAAGGAAAACTACCCCACTCCGTTTTTACTTACAAAAAAATATTGCCACGGCCCCGCCCTCTGAAGATAGTGAATCATCTACGGTCGACCACAAATACTGATACTCGTGTTTATTCAACTCTAACAAAAGAGGAAGAGCTACTCGTGTTTAAATTAGTACCTAAAAGAACTGAACTCCTGATACTGAAACTCCTGATACTCGTGTTAATATTCAAAAAAAGAGCTTTATTGTGATATTCAGTTGTAGCTCACTGATTATACTATTATAAACTGAACAAGAATATCAGTTATAGCTCGTGATATTCAGTAGCTAAGTACGTTGTTATTGAAAACTCGTAGTACAACTCGTGTAGTTTATTAGTACGAGCTTCTACTCTAACAAAAGAGGAAGAGCGACAACGTGGAAAAACTGCAGAACGAGAGCAGATGCGTAATGGGGACACCTGGTTCGACGCACTGGTGGCTTTGTCTGACCAAGTCCTACTAGAAGAAGGGAACGAACGACTACTAGCCACTTGCCTGGAAGACGAGAATGTGAGATTGGCAGCCTATGACTTCTTTCAGGTATAAGTGCAATTATTCTTCAAAAATTCTAGCACCAAATCTACTGTTGTACTAACTAGTATCTTCTCGTGCTATCGTTGTAGTAAAAAGATTCGGGCTAAAGTCCAGAGTGGTCTAGTGTCGTTTGGCTCTGCCACGACCTTCATGATCGTCATCTCTAGCAAACGAATACCACAACCAAATAATTTCTCTTTCCACTACAGCTTCGTCGCAATGGAATCAAGTGGTTTCAAGAGCCATGCAGCCGATATTGCACTGAAGCACTACGAAGAATCCAGGAACACCCACTTGAAAAGATGACTATAGAAGTTCTGACGATGGAGAAGGGCAAATTCGAGGAAGGCTTATTCGAAATACCGGGTCCAGACGCCGTAAGCGTATTGCCACCTATCCTACTGCCGTATCAGACGGGCTGTGCTGGGAATGTTATGATCTTGAAGTGCTCGTTAGTTGCATCTTCTTCTTATCCTGCGTATGATTCTACGTAGTATAATTTGAGAAGTCTAATCGAGTCGAGGTCGGAAGATGTTGAACATGAAGTAGAAATGCACAGAAGTTCAAGATCATTCGCGGAGTACGTATGACTAGAATAGATGATGACAAAGGGTATTATTGTATGACTAGAATAGATGACGAGTATGTATGACTAGAATAGATGATGATGACAAAATGACTCGCACTTTAATCTGCGCAGCAGTAGCAGCAGTACAGCAGGTATCCACGTGGCAGGTGCCAGCTCAAGCTCAAGCTCTACTGGAGTTGGGATGCATCAAGGCCCAACTACCAGTTCCTCTCACCTTCCTCCTGCTAGCGCGGCTACTGCTACTGGTAGAAGGCAGTCTTCATCGGAGGACGATGTCCAGGTAATAAGTCCAGGTCGGGCTGCTGCATCTATTATGAAGGATCGTCTTTGCTTTTTGCTTTTTCACATCTTCCCTGGAGCAGGAACTTATCACTTATCATCTCGATTCAGATTACTGGTCCGATGCTCGAGATGATAGATGATATTAGAACTACAACTAAATATGAAGTAGAAGTAGACAGAGAAGATGTGACGAAGCTTTCTCTAAGCCTTGCCCAGCGAAAGAGGAAGCTCCGGTTTTTGATCTGTGCGATAGTGACTAAAGAGTCGCGACGCACAATGACCACGATGTCAGATTAGCATCCGGCATCATCTACAGATCCCGAAATCTCTCACACCTTCAAAAACATACAATGAACAATTGAGAAAGGATTTTGTTTCCTTCTCTGATGATCATCCCCGTCACAACTTTTACATTCCCAACTAGAACTGCTCATGATCATGTAGTTCTTGGCACGTAAGTAGTTTGTTTCTGCCGCTCAGCGGTACTTTTTCAGGAGTACGCCACACGGCCGCGAGGCCTTGAAAGGAGAGAAAAACATGCCAGTCAAACTGTCTGCAAAATGTGACCTTCTATTGGATTTCTGAAAAATTCATGCAGGTTGCAGGGACTAGCTATATTTGGAGAAGAGAGGGGGCAAAAAAATCAACATGATGAAGAGAAAAGAGATGCTACTTTTTCCCTTGCTCTGTAACTGTATCTCCCACTAGGCAAACTAGAGAAAAGTAGCTGCGTCTTGTAGTTGAAGTAGGCATGCTGCAGGGAATAAAAGTAGTCTTCAACACGACCGGAGAAGAAAAATAATGGCAGTCCTCTCCAGCGACGCTCTCGATGAGCGGGAGGCTCTTCGTGCCATTTTCGGCATGGAATTCAGTTCACGGACAGAAAACGAATGGGCCATCGCGTTTCCACCTCCAACTTGTATCGATGACGATTTTTCATCTTGCACCAAGCTCGTGGTGCATCTCTCCAATTCATATCCAGAGGAACCGCCAGTAGCTGAGATCGAACGCGCACCAACAGGATTGGATGTCCAAAGTACTCTCGAGTCTCTCCCTTTCAACGCTGGCGAACCCTGCGTCTACGACTGGGCATGCGAGCTGAGGGGAAAATTAGACGACCTGAGGGATCTGTTTCAACCTGCTGCTCCTGCTAATGGGATGCTAGAACCATTAGTAGGTGATGAAGTTGGCGATTTTGACGCAGGAGCTTACGACCCTGAGGCATTGGATGACTATTTCTTGTCCCTTGGAATGGAACAAGCGAAAGAGTACTATGAAGAAGGTAGTGCAGGAGGAGCGACAGACTATGAGGCTATCTCAAAACTCTTCGAACAGGAGAAGCTATACAAATCTTTATCTTCCTCGTCTTCATGCAGTGGTAGTAAGAACTACAGTACTGGTTCTAGTGGTGAAGCAGCTTCTGGCATTACGATAGTACACGGTGAACCCTTCACGGAAAAGAAATCGACATTTCAGTGTCATTGCGCAGTGGTTCGGTCAGAAGCTGACGTTACGTGGGTCTTGGAAAAATTGTACGAGGATAACAAAATCCGAAGAGCAACCCACAACCAGTATGCATGGCGATTGAGGGATGCACAGGTATGAATCTTATGTATGAGGTTTTTTCGGATTGTTCGGATTGTCGTAGAATCGTGATTGTCGTAGACCTAGTAGATATTACCTGGCCATTTTGTCCTGTCAGAGTTTTGCAGCTTGAATGTTTTTTCATGTCTTCAGCCACGACAACACATCCTCAGGGCCATCTGCGTGCGGACAACAACGACGATGGAGAGGCTGGCGCAGGACGGAAGATAGCGGAGCTTTTGCAGATGAAAAAAGTAGAGAATGTGTTGTGCGTTGTTTCTAGATGGTTCGGGGGCGTCCTCATGGGCCCTGATCGATTCAAAGCGATCGGCCGCTGTGCTGCAGACCTACTAGACAGCAAATTCAAGCATTGTGTCGTTGGAGGAGGGTCGACGTCGGGTGGGAAGAAGAAGTAGTGGAGTTCTGAAGTCTCCAAATCCAAATCCAAATCGTGGATATGATGCATAGCGCACTTCATTACACAGCCACCTGCTAGAGGACCTCACGGATCTAAAACTCGACCAATCTATGGGTGCAACCAAAATTTTTGTCCTCCCTTACCGCGCACCCCCATGACAATTTTCAACGTTTCTGATCCCAAAACGCTATTCCGCTATCCCCTCTAATTAAGCGCAAACCTCTACCTCCTCTTTTGCAATATCGAACGACAAAAAAATCTTTGTCGACATGCAGTCTCGTGGATCGGTAGTCTCGATCGTCGTTATCATGAGGGGAACGACCTGAGAGTGAAAGTCAAAATGTAGACGAGAAGGAGACAGTTTTATCTCAATCCAAGCAAATGCGCGAGAGCGAGTAACGCTACATTGGAAACAACATTCCTACTTCCAGAATCTGATCGAAAGTATCCAGACGAGCAATTAAGGAAATTTTGCTCGTCTGGATACTTTCGATCAGATGAATTTATACGACTTAGGGACCTCCTCGGCATTGCCGCAACATTTTAGGCTTAGAGCGGAATTGAAGAACTTCCAGGATTACTTCGTTTTCGTTGATCATTGATTGGTAAAAAGAGCGGCGAGATTCGCAGCGCCGCACTGCTTTTAGTCCTATCGTGAGGAATATATTGAAAACAACATTCCTACTTCCAGAATCTGATCGAAAGTATCCAGACGAGCAATTAAGGAAATCAAAAAAAAAGCAAGCGTTTATCAACGCCTTTTATTTTACATAAGGCTTTGTGTGTTCATACTTTACGCCCACACGAGAACTCGAACTGTCTACTTCTACAACACTTGTTATTCAGGCTCCCCTGCTCTCCTGAACTAAGTATAACGATGCTGATCTAAAAAAATATGAAAACCGACGAGCATGATGAGGAGAAGTTGAGCTCACTGAGAGAATCATGACGGAAGAGTGATTTCTTTTTCCATTTCTAGTATGTCGTCGCGAGTGTAACATTTTTTGTCATCCCAGGAACGAAAAGAGATGAGAGAAGAGGATCCCCTTACCCCTCCGTCCTATCCTCTAAGATGCTGATCTCCACAAACCCTCGGATTTTGCATTTTCTGATGAAGTAGACTGCTTTACTGGTCTCTAAACAAGTCACTACTAAAACTAGTCGTAGCCACTTTAACTTTCAATACCTATCTTCTAAACCTAAAGAACAACTACAGTTGTTGACTTTTACTTTGCCGACACTCGGTCGTCGGCGCCGTCGTCACGAACATTATCCAATGAGCTGTTCCTCGTCTAATTTCAATGAATTGAAGAAATATGTTGTTGCATTGTACGTAGAGGAGAACTAGATTGCGCAAAATGACCGGAACGTCCCTTAAAACCTCTTCGGCGCCTGTCGTTCGCCAGAGCAGCAGCAGACGGGCTTCGTCTCCTCTCTCTATTTTTGCTGGCGCTTCTGGTGCTCAAAAAGCCCAAGAGCTATGTCCTCATTTCACGATTTTATCCCCAGAGCATGATCGCGTCCATTTTTCCAATTTGCTCAAATATTCCGTACGCCCAGAACGGCCACCGGGTCACGCCCAAGAAGCAGAGACTCAATGGACTGATGCGCGTGTAGCATGTATCTGTGTAACTGGAGAATGGTATTCAGGGTTGGACATGAGCTTAGCAAGGCCACCTGGCGAGGATTATATGCGGAAAATGCGGGAAAAAGATGGTGTTGGAGGTGCGTCAAAAAATCGGGAGTCGTCTTCGTCACCACGTGCAGGTGAAAGCTCGTCTGTGAAGAAGCAGGAGGACAAGACGAAAAAGAAGGCTTCGATGTCGTTTATGAAAATCGAGAAATGGATGTAAATGAAGTAGAAGTGGAACAACAGGCAGAGCACCAGAACTCTGCAGCATGATTACTAAGTAACTGTACTTAATATTGTCTAGAAAGTAGAAAATTTTTCTGCTCCCGAAGATGAAGACTATGCTGGCAAACAAGAGATGACACATCATGAATAAGCCACCATTTTTCTCCCTTCATATACCTACTCGGACGCGCAGACCACTCCTCAGTTGAAGCAGCTCCACTTCATGCGCGACAGCAGATGCTAGAGGATCGGGAGAAGGAATTGAACCGCACCAGAAGGAAGTCTACTAGCGGAACCTCCAGGGGGGAGAAGCGGTCGCCGCTATTGGCTAACAGCCTTGGTTCACTGGAATTCACTGCAGATGTTGTAGGGGGTGATCCTACGAATGCGAATGGTCTCATTGGTGGGAAAAATCCAACTGGTGGACAAAGAGGTGGGAGTGTCAGCAGCTCTAGTCTGCTCAACAGGAGAAAGCCTCCATCCAGTATATGTACTGATGACGGTGAAGACGAGGAGCTGCCTTTGAGTGTCAAAAAACGTCGAGAACAGGAGGAGTATCTACGTTCTGTGGGAAATCCACTGACGCCTGACGCATTTGGGATTCCTTTCAGGATAAAGCAATACCTTGCGAACGACTACGCTGCTATGCCCGTGACCTGTGCTGCACTATGTCCGCCATTCGGAGAGGTGAATCGGCAGGTCACTATAGTGGCGTACGATAGGAGTAGGAGGAAGACTAGGAGGAAGAGCAGCAGTCCTATGCTGGAAGAGCAGAAGTATTCACCACGCGTCACATCGAGGACATCACCCGATGAGAAAAATGTCGACGACCTCCCACTAGAAGAGGATGATCATATGCAGAAAATCAGCTCCACAACAGCAGCTTACGTAAACGGCATAGATTACGGTGGCCGCCCTTGCGCAACCATATGCTTGTACGGCACAATCGCTGAAGTCAGAATTCTTCGTACCGCGAAGGAAGTAGAGGACATCAGTAAAGCAGGCGGAAAGAAAACCACGGCAGAGGAGCTATTGCACGAATTGGTAAGCAGTCTAGCCCCCGCTTTGGATCCGCAGAAGAACGAGAACGTGAGGCAAATGCTAATGAGTGAAAGTACAACCTTCGCCAGCTCAACTTACTGGAGTCGGTATCCAGGAGCGTTGCACGGATATACTGGGTACTAAAAATTCTTGCGAAGGTCAACAAGAACAATTATACTACAACTGGTTCATAATTATCTTTTCCAATGCATGATCAGGCTTCTGTTGTGCTCTTTTTATAGGCCCTCAGCCGGCACTGGCTTTTTTCTGAAGAAATTCATTGAATCATCTCAGGCCTTCATCCTTATTCGACATTTTGAAGAATTTCTACTCCATTGAATCATCTCAGGCCTTCATCTTTATTCGACATCTCCTGGAATTTCGGACGGGAAAATATAAGGCCTATCTGGGTTTACGTAGGCGCTTTGAAGCTTTGGTCGTTACCTTATCTGGACGGTTCTTCTTCAGCTCCTGCGTCAACTACAATTACTACATCAAGATCAAGTGCAGAAGTGATCACACAGCGCGAAGAAGCTCGGAAAATAGTAAGGCAATCTGCCACGGCTTGGCCTTCGAGCAGCAAAATGGAGCAGTTGGAAAGTTATTTTTACCTAGACTCGGTCGCTCGATTGGTCTGCCAGGAACAACAGAAAAATTGCAGAAAGGGAGCACGCCAACAGATACTCAAATCTTTAAATGATGGACGTGCTGTCGAAGATCTACGATTCTACAAGCACAGCCGAAATCCCCATACGTTTGCTTGGGTTAGACGACTGTGGTTACCGTCTGCTGAACAGCACCAGAATACCGAATTATCCGACACAATCGAAACCACTTCAACAAATCAGATCAAGTGGCCACCTCAAGTCGGTCCGTACCCATTGGCAAGTCGTGGTTATCCAAAACGAAAACGTGTAAATGGAACACCAGGACCTTCTGCAACCGCGACAGAGGCCTACATAGCATGCATGGACGAAAACAGCGGATGCTGGGATGCCATGTGGCATGACGATCATAACGACGCCATTTTGCTGTTGCAGATCTCCCCACTAGCAGGCATGACAGAGCGTGTGTTTCTACGGTTAGTGAAGCAGGTGATTGGCGCGAAATTGACCACTGGATTCGATTCTGCTATGCACTCCTAGAGGACGGATTGAGTCCTCTTGCACAGCCCTATCAATCACGTACTCGACGACCAGACAGAGCCAGCGCACATGTCGGGTCTCTTCATTTTCCATTCTAGGTCTACAACTTCCCGTGAACAAAAAAGATACAACACACTTGCATTCCAAGAATATCGATAACGCTGAATGAAGATGTACATAAATACATAGTACAACACATACGCAACATATAGAATGATAATGTGAGGCTTGCAGCCGGAGGCTCCACCTCAAGAGCTTCTGCTTCTCAACAAAGATGCTGTGGTCGTGTTCGACACCTGGGCAGCTGAATTCTATCGACGCGCGCGTATGCGTGAGCATGATCAAAGCGGATTGGGATCGTGGTTACCTTCATGACGATGTGGCTTGTTTTACTGCTCGATCTTGATGGTGGATGGAAATGGGCATGGGAAATCATGCTGAGTTTCCGTGTGTAGATATTTATAAGTGGAGTACTTTTGTAGTTATGCCTTCATCTTCATTCATTGCGAACACAGGCCAAAGACGCTACTTTAACTTTTTGTTTCTTATGCCGATTTTCTTGTTCCTCGTTTTTCCTACGTCATTGTTGTTAGAATATCTTCTAGTTGTATGTAAGTACTAGACGCCACTGCCTCCATCGTTATTGTGCGGAGTACTACTGCAGTTTCACTTTTTTCAATACTAGAAATTGAAAAAATGGCAGATCCCGGCTACACCTCGGATTATCAGCACGAGGATGACCGGAGGCCCAACAAGCGGAGGAAGCGAATGGACGGGGACATCCACTGCGAAAGAAACAGTGATGATGACGAAGATGAGGGGTACAATGCTGCTAGTCGTCGAGCAGCTGGAGGCTCGAAACGTATCGTCCAGCGTGGTCTTGCCGGAACATCAAGGGACTACGAGGACCCTATGAGAATGGGACTACATCACGGTGGCAGTGGATTAGCGTCCTCCAGTGCAAGTGCTTCTTCGTCTTCCACTATAAGAAACAATTGGCACAACAAAGCGAAAGCTCGAGCTCCTTCACCTCCACGTCTAAACGTCACCCGACCCTTGGCGAATCGCGTCGAGCGTGATGACATCTTCCTCACAGATAATGGCAAGACTAAGTACATCGACAGCACTAGCTACCTGTTGCGGCAAGCATCGGGACGTGCGCACTTGGAATTGAAGCCATCTTCTTCGAACAAATATAGCACGCCGATGCCCCCTCAAGGCATATTCCAGAAAGACATCGTCGTCGATGAAATGGGCACCATAAACGACAGCCTAGGAGCGAAGAAGAAGGTTGTCTTGCCACCAAATTCTACGAGCATGGGGTGGAAGAACGTGTATCAAAAAACCGACGCAAAAGGAGGAGACTTGGAGGATGACGCTCCTGAAAGGAATGAGTTGTATAGGAAAACTGCTACAGCGGGGGCTTCCTCAAAAGACCATGATCGGCAGGACGACGACAGGCAAGGTAGACGCAAAAAATACTACGATAACTCCGAAGATGAAGAAAACTCGGCAAATGAACGAGAAACCGGTAAAAAGAAGGAGTCTTTTGAGCGCTTCCAGCCTCGTGCCGGTCATTACAAGAGCGTACCCGGCTTGGCTCCTGATGAAGAGAAGTTGAGACGTGCTAAACACGACTATTTGATGTCACAGCTTTATAGAACTAACGAGGACGGGCTTGCTGGTCCAGCCAAATTTGTACCTCAGTCTGACTTGGCAGCTTTGCGGCAAGCTCATCGGTTTTTGAGAGATGATGAGGGAAGTGAAGACAATGAGGATGACGAGGATGACCCTCGAGATCTTTTCCACGCAAATGCGGAACGCTTAGCGAAGAAGTACTACGACAAGCTTTACCGCGAGTACGTGCTTGCAGATTTGAGGGGGTACAAAGAGAACAAAATCGGTTTTAGATGGCGAACCGAACAAGAAGTGCTTTCGGGCAAAGGCCAATTCGTGTGCGGCAACAAAAGATGCGACCGGAAACTTCATTTACAGTCCTACGAAGTCAATTTCGTTTATGTGGAGCAAAACAAGCAAAAGCAAGCTCTGGTGAAGATACGGCTGTGCACAGAGTGCGCGTTTCAGCTAAACTACGTGCATTTGAAGAAGAAAAGACGAGAAATGAAGGAACAGGAGAAGCTGGCGAAGAAGAAGGACAAGAAGCAAAGCAAGATGAAGAATGTCAATCATGAAAATATCTGTCGTGAAGCCGTTGAGGAGGAGGACAAAGCCGAGCTCGACCGCATTGCAGCTCGCGTTAGGAAGAAAAGGGCTGCGAAAGGAGCACAAAGCAGAGAGGACAGAATCATGGCGGACTTGTTAGATTAGTTCATGTTGAAGTTGACTTCTCGTTGTTCTCTCATTATTGTACGTAGTTAACCCCTCTATCTCATGCAGCTACATCACCCTTGTTAACATTCGTCCTGATTCTTCACCCTTAACCCTCGTCCTGATTCTTCACCACTGGTGACAGACCCTAGAAAGAAGCGCAAATAAACCAAAACGCTGCGCTGCTCAAGCGAGCAGGGTGTTCACTAATCGAATTGTTCACTAGAGAGAGATGCTTAAAGCCTGAGTTCATGCTCGTCGGTCATTCTACTGCTGTTGTCCACTAATGCTCTTTGAAACTTGCTTGAATACAATGAGACACGCTTTCGTCTTCAGCCCAGAAAGATACTGTTGCATAGTACATCGTCATGATATTTTTCATTCATCAAAGACGAAGTAGTGAAGATGAAGAAACGCAATCAATAGCAGAAGATAATTCTAGCCTGGCACGACCACGAATCTACTTAAGTAATAAAAAGCATTGTCCATCTCATAATTTGAATTTTATTTGTTTGCGAAGATGAATCAATTCCATTTTGAAGCAGAGTCGTGTTTATTGTGTGTTTCTCAAGAATGTTAATCCAACTAATTGCAATCATCAACATCATCTTCTATTTTCCTTGATTCTTGCAAAATGGCGTCGATAAAAAAACGTTCACCATCCATACAACGAGCTTCGTGCTTGTTTAGTCTTGCGTCCTGTGCTTGTCTGCTACCTGTCGCTGCATTGGGAGTCAAGAAATCTTCATCGTGGGGCGGACGTCAGTTTTCACCGCCTGTAGTGCGGCGTGGGGATGGTCAGCAACAACAGCATTCCTCTTCTAGTGCAACTCCAGGCTCGTCATCAAGTAATGTGGTACAGCAGCTAGCTCTGGATTCATCCACAGCAGATGACGACAACATTGATGGCGTTGTAGAACAGCAGATTATACGGTCATCGAGACCTCCAATCTCCGCGGCCTCAACTCCAGCAAACACTGCAGCATTCATAGAACAACATAAAAGTCAAGGAGCTGGTGGGACAACTCACGATGCTGGACGAGCTGCTGGAAGTGTGGGATCGGCCTCTGGGCTCAGATTGCCAGACCGCACTGGAACGGCAGAGCCAATCGATACGGTGAGGCCTCTAGGACCACTTGGCGGCGCAAAGCGGCATCATTTGCCGCCAGGCGCCACGCGCGCCTTATCCCGCTCTACCTCGTTTCTGTTAGACTTACATGATCCTCCGGGTAGCGCGACTGATTTCTATGCACATCATACAGAACCTCCAGAAAGTGGATCATCACGAAGAACTCGTGGAGAAACTACAAGCCCCTTATCCGCTTCGTCACCGATACTGAACAAGCATGGGGGCTATTTCTTTGGCAATCAGCCGACCGGCATACATCACAATCCGCGAACAAGAGATGACGACGCCTCCACCGTCGCGACAGCTACCCCTCTAGGCTCACCTGCAGCAAGCAGTTCCGCTAGCCCGGCTCTGAGCAATTCGGATCATCAGAATTTTCATCTTGACAACAGAAGGGAGAATGAAGTCGGTAGACGAGGTGCTGGAGACAAACAAGAATTTCTGGTTTCAGGCTCAGCACCTTCTGTAGAAGTAGAACAGGAAGAACCAGAACAAGCTCAAGCGGTGCCTGTCGTGCACGTCAGAAACACCCGAGCTCGTCCTTCAGAAAAACTACAGGAAGCAGGATCGACAGCAACTGCTAGGAGAATAAAAGAACAACAGTTGCAGTGGCAGCGCTACGCAGATGATCAGGCTACAAGCACTTCTTCATCTCTGCGTCGTCAAGATCAAGAGGAAGGCTTTTTCCTCAATGACCAACTTCTAGGTCAAGAAATGGACGAAGACAGCGGAGGACTAGGTGCTTTTGAACTACCGGAGGCGGCTGTCCCCGCAAATGCTGGTAACAGCGGAGGATTAGGTGCTTTTGAACTACCGGAGACTGGCACAGCGGGAGGTGAGGCATGGAAGAACGTGAGCGCACTTCCAACTTTGGATGAGGCAATGGCGCAAGATGGCCAACAAGTGCAAGAACAGCGTCAAGGGAAAGACTCCCCTTCACAGAGCGCTGATGTAGATCCCAGCACCCCAGCGTTCTCTTCGAGTTCAACTGCACCAACCGCAGCTGCCGCGACAACTGCACACCAACCCCAGGAGGCCTTGGAGGATATCGAAGCGGTGGTGTCAGTTGTACCTGAAGGCGAAGTGATCTATTGTCCACCACCACAAGCAGAAGGTACCACATCCACGACATCGGATGAGGACCTATTAGCTGCGAAGAGAAAGCGACAGCAAGAACGCTTGAGAGAATACCTGCGAACTTTAAGGGTACTAGGTAGTTAAAGGTGTTCTTATTGTTATTACCGTTTGTTATCGCTCTCCTAGTAATCCTAAAAAGGGAGACAGACATATTAAAAAGCGGGATGCTTAAACGAACACCAAAAACCTACCTCTAATAACTACTAAGGGCATACAGCAGGATGAAAAATACAGATACAGCGAGAACAGATGCACGTCCAGGAACAGATCAGCGTCCACGTCTACTACACGAGAACAAGCTTCAGGTTCAGCAACTGCTGCAACAGCATCGTCTAGTAGCATCGTATGGACACCACCAAAGAGGGAGGTCGACGGCGGTCGTGGTGTGGATGAATCGTCACCAATTTTGCCGGACACGCCTACTTCTTCGCCACAAGACGGATCAGACGACAGCGATGTGGGGACGAGTGAAGAGCAGACAAGTTAAGGCGGGTCGTTGTTGTTTTGGAATTCCCTATGTAGATCCATCTTCCATCCATCCATGGAGATGAATAAGTAGTAGATTTCGAATGGACTATAACACATACATAGCCCTCACCCTCTAATTCAATGCATTGCAATCTAGCGAGGTAGATGATCGAGACAGAAGTGAAGAGCAGGAATCAAGCACCCCGACGTCCACTGAGGAGGCATCATCTTCGCCGCAGGATGAAGGAGACCAAGATGCTGCTCAACAAGGCCAACAAGAGCAAAAATCAGCGCAACCAGTGGTAGGATCTATACCAATGGATGAGGAGTGTAGTGTACACAATGCTGGTGCGTCGAAAATGCTAGGCCCAGCACTTCTAGCCCCAAGTCCAACACCTCTAGACCAACAGACCGCTTCTGGCACCTTTTTACCTCCTCCCGAAGGTCCACGACTTGATGTTGATGTTTCTATGCTTTCTAGTAATTGTGTTTCACAAATCTTCGCTACCGCCAAAGGAAACCTCGACGCGCGCTTCAAGATCATCCATGTGCTGTACGAAGGGGTGGTGATCATGGTGCCAACTGACGTTTTTCATCCTGCAGAACAGGTCAAAGACATTTTGTATCGAGCCATGTCGCACTACTACACGACCATGGATCTATCTGGACGACAGTTGCCGGACCAAATGCCGCACCACTTGCTGTTATTGCATGTTTTGCCGGTTGTGGGAGAAGAGGAGCAAGGATTTAGGCATCAAATTATCAATGACGTTCTCTTGTATAGTGATCTATACTCGTATCCGCCCAGCGATAGCAGTTTTTTTACCGCTGTAGTAAGTTCTGAGTTCTAGGCTCAGAACGATTTTGTTCGTTTGAGAAGATATTCCGTCCTTTGGCCTTCCACGGTCCACCTCATTATAATTAAGGCAAGGATACAGCTTGATGCTCGACTTGATCTCTTTGAACTTAAGACTTATTCTTTGTTTTCATCTCCTCCTCTAATCGCACGGTCGATCTTCATGGTGGTCCCTCACAACAAGGGGGAGATGCAGGGGAGCCAAAGGAACAAGTGACGGCAGACCAGGTTGGGCAGCAGGTCGTCGTCCAGCATCGAGAATTGCAGCAGTGGGAGTTCATTCACAATCTACCCGAAGGCGGCCATATTGAGGTGCAAAACCAAATTATTGTGGAGTATGCAGATATGCCAACAGGGCAGTTCTACGCGTTGACATCTGCAAGTTACTACGAAATGCATGAGGATTTAAAGAGGCGTGCTGTGGCATTCTGGAGTGAGCAGAACGGACGACCAATGCCAACGAATTTGGAGGCGATTTACGTTTCCTACACAGCGCCATTGCGCATGGCATCTGTGAAGGAGCAGAGAACGATACCAGCTGGTACATAGAGACTTATACCTTTATTATCACATGGATTTCTACTTTCTAGTCAGAAGTCTACACGATCAACAACTACATGAGAAGCAGAGTCTCATCTTTAACAAGTTTATCCCTCCACAACTTGCAGATGGCATACCCGTGTCTCAAGACATCATCATGCGCGTGGTGGTTCCGTCGACCGTTTTCCAAATAACCTACGATGGTCACGAGTTTCCGTTTCTTTTATGAAGAGAGTACTGAGAGGAGTGTCGACAAATAGTCAATTTTTGACATAATTACACTTCCGACTATTAATATAATCCGCAACAACGGTTGTTTTTTTTGTTTTCTAGTTAGGTGTGCTCCACCGATAATATAATCCGCAACTACAAATCGATCATTACGTAGAAGTTTCCAATCAGTCGTGGCATCCTTCATATCTCCTCACTGGAACGATACGAGTGCGTGACCTGAAAGCGTGGGTCCAGAACCACTATACGAAGTCTCTGGGCTATTCAGATGCCAATTCTTTGGACGATTTGGACGTACTTAGTCTTCGTCTTATTTGTTATTACAGGAGTGAGTACTCTAAACGACCTACAATCAATCTAGACCTCTCATCATCCTCATTATTTGTTATTTTTAGTCTTGGACTTCAACTCAAGAAATAAATTAATGACTAGTAACTACTAATGAAAGCACCTACAATCTAAACAATTCATCACCCTTCTTATTTCATCTTCTTACACCACCTAGGTGCTCGTGCTCGATCGCGATCCTCGACAAAATCAAGAAGATACAACTGCTTATTATACCTTGTTATATATGATTTTCTAGACCCGAGGTCCTCTTTACTTTTACAACAGCCAACAGTACTTCGAGGACTGCCGTTTGTCAAGCGCGCCCCTGTAGTGGATATTCCCGAACCTCACATGGAAACTTATCGTTACGGCACGAGCGAGAATACTGAAGAACAAGCAGGAGGACAGCAAGAGTGTCCTGATGAAGAGCAAGCAAACGAGAACGCTCAGAAGAGGGACAACGAGCTAGACAACCTCAAC